TGCCCCTGTACTCAGGCCAGTCGGCTCCAGGGACCACACATTCGCTCAATAACACGCACAGACATTTCCCCTTACTTTTTAGGAGAAAAAATGTGAGTGTTATAGAGAGAAAAATTTGGTAAATCATTGTGTGGCTGGAGCTGGACTCTGGCACACCCTTCGCCACACCATATCTGCCCTGGGGGTTTCCTTCAGGCATGGGAGGAGCAAATTATGTTGTGCTTGCAGAAGTCATTCAGTGTCTGCAGTGATTTAGTTGGATACCCAGAGCTTGTGGCAATTTATGAACATTTGTGTTCTTTGGAGATGCAGTTGTGGTAGTGTCTATTGGGGTACAAAATATAGTTGTGTACTGATGCTGAAGAAAAGGGCTACCTTGAAGAAGCGCACCAGATTCCCTCCCTGCGACGACTGGCAACAGGCGCTATGTCACTTTTCCCTCTCATGCCGTTGGGCCCTCTCTCACTCAGGTAAATCCCCCCACCTCACTGAACAACCCTTTACCCGAAGGTTTCTTTTCCTTTCCTCTTATAATTCTAGCCCAGAGTATCCTGTGGGGAACCTTTTTGAGGAGATAAGTAGTAAATTGGAGTCTCAGGCAGGTTTTCTTAAAATTAAACAATAAAAATTTAAGGCACGATAGTATTTAATACAAATGGATTAAACTTTGGTTACTTCAGGAATACAGTGCGATTTCACTTTAATGCTTTCTCAGTTGTTTTCGAGTTATAGGTTTGGTTCCTTTATACGGTGATACTTTCTTTCAGTTATCCACCCCCTTTAACAATCCTGCTCCTGAGGTATTTTAACTAACAAACCAAAGGGCTCTCCACACTCCCACCTTTCAATGGGTTTGGGAGTTTGTTCTTTTCCTTAGAAGAATCCCCTCCGGACTAGATTTGAGTCCCAAGTAGGCTGTTCCTTGGGACTCCTACTTCTCCTGGCTCAACCTCTGTCTCCCAGTAAAATTCTGGTCTTTTCCTCCTATGGGACACCACACTCTCCTTCACTGTACTCTCAGAGCGGAAGTTGTTTTCCCTCAGAACCAACTCTTTCTCTCGTTCACTCTTTTATACCTCAGCCTGTCTCGTATTCTATCTCCCTACCTATCTCCTGATCTCTCCAACCTAAATTCCAACCCTGTCCCTCACTCTACCTAACCAACTGTAACCGGTCCAGCAAAACCACCTTTTTCGTGCCCCCCCCAAAAAAAATTACTAAGAAAATAAACATTAAAAGATGCAGAAAGTATCCTGGCACTATAGTACCCATGCCAATCCTAAATGAAACGCTCGCTTGTAGCAATATGGTATTGGCTTCACTTCATTCTACCTGCTGCTCCTAACAGAAGAGCCCATGATAGTTTTGTCTTGGACAGGTGTCTGTCTTTCAACCATTACAACATAGGAACTTTTAGACTTTTAGCACAGCACATAGTTAAAAACTGTAGAATTTGCTTCCGCAATGTGTGATCGCCAACAACCAAGATGGCTTCTAAAGAGAAATTGTTCATGAATGATAAGGTTACTAGTTGTGATAGCTATCTACTACCTCCTGGATTATGGCCCTGAAGATCAGTTGCTGGAGAACCACAGTAGAACATCAGCCTGGATAGCTCAGTTGGGTAGAGCATGGTGCTGATAACACCAAGGTTTCAGGTTCAATCCCTGTAACGGGACAACTGCATTTCCTGCATTACAGGAGGTTGGATTAAATGATCTTCAGGGTCCCTTCCAACTCTACAATTCTGTGAACAGAAGGCAGTTCTGCTTGTGGCCTCTACAAGCCTATGGGCTGATAAAGTAGGGCCCTTACGTTTTTTTAATATCTGCATATCAATACTGCTAGTGGGTTCAGACTGTTGAACATCCAGGTTACCTTTCGTTTATGCAATACTCTGGGTCTGGGGGGCAATTGCAGGGAAGATTTTCATGGCAGGATTCTTGTATCTCAATACTTACCAAAACCTATGGCATGTGGAATAATCGAATTTTCCTGGGCTGTAGTCAAAGTTTGGCAGCCCATAATGGAGTTGAGATTAAATTGTGAATGGTTTGCTTCTGTCTGGGTACTGAAATCTAATCACAGTAGCCTCTGTTAGCAACTTGTGTAGTGCAGTGACTGAGCTCAGGTAACCACCAGTCCAAAATATCTTATTTAAAGTGTCTACACGATGATTACCAGGGAGGAGCCAGTCTATGATGGCACGAACCTTCTGAAGACTAATGCTGCTATCTCATTTCAGGTGATAAGCAGTTTTTTTAAAGCAGTGGTAAAACTAAAAACCTTAAAAACGCCTTAGAAAAAAGTTTAAAGCCTGTAAAGATAAGACACCAATAACGTTGTTGAACTCCCTTTCAAACCAATTAACGATTCTTTGCTCTGCAGAATAAAACCGCTAAAAATTAAGACAGCTGCTGAGCAAGAACCAGCACTCTCACATAAAAAAAGCAAAGCCCAATTAAATTTATGCAATGCTGTACTCCAGAGCTTTCCAGACTGTGTGTCGTGACACATTAGTTTGTCGGCTTCAGTGTGTAGGTGTATCACATGAACACTCCCCGTGCTCCTCTTGGCTAGAAAGGAGTTAGTTTACTCTCTGGTTTGCTAGTAAAACTGAATTACTGTGTCCCGAAATGACGCATGTCTAAAAAGTGTTTCACTAGCATGAAAAGTTTGGAAAGCTCTGCTTTTCACGATTGAAACATTTTGCGTGTAAATGTATGCATGGACTAAGAATGCATTGTCTCTTCTCGCCCTCTTTTGTTAATATGATCAAAGTGTATTGCTGAAATGTGTCCTAACACATAATTCAAGGTTTGACACGGCTGTAACAGTGGGCTTCCCCAAGGTTTATTGGCTATATCAGAAGGTAACAAGACTAAAACTTGGGGTTTTTGTGTAGAAGTGTTACCTGATCTGCCAAATAACTTTCTGCCTGTATCCAAATTGGATTCCTCTAAGACAGGAGTTCAAGCTATGGTTTTCCCAGTAGTGATGTATGGAAGTGAGAGCTGGACATAAAGAAGGCTGATCGACAAAGAATTGATGCTTTTGAATTATGGTGCTGGAGGAGACTCTTGAGAGTCCCATGGACTGCAAGAAGAACCAACCTATCCATTCTGAAGCAAATCAGCCCTGAGTGCTCACTGGAAGGACAGATCCTGAAGCTGAGGCTCCAATACTTTGGCCACCTCATGAGAAGAGAAGACTCCCTGGAAAAGACCCTGATGCTGGGAAAGATGGAGGGGACAGGAGAAGGGGACGACAGAGGACGAGATGGTTGGACAGTGTTCTCAAAGCTACCAACACATAGCTGTCAATTTTCAGATTTGAAAATAAGGGATCAGCAGCCTCACCTGTTCCGGGGACAGTCTACAGGATATCTAACAATCCGGGATAGCAGCGGGAAACGGCGCCGGAATAAGGGATTTTCCTGCAAAAAAAGGGAAGGTTGACAGCTATGTACCAACATGAGTTTGACCAAACTGCAGGAGGCAGTGGAAGACAGGAGTGCCTGGCGTGCTCTGGGGTCACGAAGAGTCGGACACGACTAAACGACTAAATAACAAGACAGGAGTGGTGACCCTGTGGTTCCTGTGATGTTGAACTCCCATCTCTGGTCATTGCCCTTTGCCCAGGCTGGCTGGTGCTAATGATAATCCAACATTATCTGAAGTTCAAAGCTTCCTCATGCCTGCTCTCATACGATTTTCTGCCTAATATTTTGTAATTCCGCATACCCATATACTTTATGATGTGTAGCAAAGGCGCCAATTGATGTTACATTCCCTTCATCTATGAAGCAGCATATTGGGGACGTCTTGTTTATTTATGGGCAGGGAGTTTCCTCCCTGGGAACACCTGCAGTTTGCTAATGTGCACTCTGTACAGCAACACCAAGAAACACCAAAAATCAAAGGAACAGGCTCTGATGCTCACTGATGCAAACTTTGAGCTGCAATAGCTTTGCCTGGGGGAGCACCTGAGCCTCTTTTGTGCACATTGTACGGAGCAAACATAGTATTGTGACTTGTTTCTTATGATTTGAGGAAACCAGCTCTGAATTTTATACATTTAAAATGGATTTTATTCTTGTGCTTTCTTAAAAGTTATTTCATGTTATATGTGATATGCAATGTGTCTTAAAAACAGGCTCTGGTAAGTTCTGTCTGCGCTATGGATGTGTCTTTTCCATGTCTTCTGCCATCAAAGCCTAACAAAGCCACGGTTGTACAGAGTCTTTCCCCTTTTTCTTCCCAGCATCCATTAGTGGTCTTTGTAGGTTGGCTTGTGCCAACCTGTAGCTTGCTGGGACCGATGGGAGTTGTCTTTGGGCTTTTAGCGAGGCCAGAGGGAAAGAAGACAAATTCCAGAAAAAACGTCTTGAAACCTCAGAGCAGGGCTAGTCAATGTGGTGCCATCCAGTTGTTCTTGGACTATGGCTCCCATTAGCCACAACAAGCATGCCAACGGTTAAGGATGTAGTCCAGCAACATCTAGAAGGCAACGGTTGGTTTCCTCTGTCTCAGCACCTTTGTTCCAGACAGGTGTCCGTCTTAAGTCTGCTGTTAGGCAAAAACAAGAGGTCTTTTAAGACAAGTACATTTACAATGCATGTCTCTACTTGGGCCGGTTCCTGAGCGGTACGCACTGTTGATTTATTTTTGAGCTGATGTTGCAGAATTGCATTTTTATGGCCCGCGCATGCGGAAGGTCCCAGGCTTAGTCTGCAGCATCTCCAGTTGGGCGGGTAGAGACCCCTGCCTGCAATCCTGAAGAGCCACTGCCAGCTAGTGCTGAGAATATTGACCTGGATGAAGCCTTGGTGTGGCTCGGTATAAGTTATATTCCTATCTGCTGTGGACTACAGTGCATCGGATGAAGATTCCCCCTCAGGTATGTGCCCCTCTTACCCACCTGCCAGCCAGACCTGATTGCCTCTAGTCCACAAAAGCATTTCACCACAATGCTAGCATGTTATTACTGTTACTGATATAGCCTGCACAGCTCAGTTGGGGAGAGTGCGGTGTTAAAAATGCCAAGGATGCAGGTTTGATCCCTGTATTGGGACAGCTGTGTACCCCTGCAATTGCAGAGGGTTGGACTAGATCATGAGTAGGCAAACTAAAGCCTGGGGGCCGGATCCGGCCCATTCGTCTTCTAAATCTGGCCCGTGGATGGTCCAGGAATCAGCATGTTTTAACATGAGTAGAAGGTGTCCTTTACGGTAATTTAAAATGCATCTCTGGGTTATTTGTGGGTACTGCCTAGTGTTTTTACATGAGTAGAATGTGTGCTTTTATTTAAAATGCATCTCTGGGTTATTTGTGGGGCATAGGAATTCGTTCATTTTCCCCCCAAAGTATAGTCCGGCCCCCCACAAGGTCTGAGGGACAGTGGACCGACCCCCTGCTGAAAAGGTTTGCTGACCACTGGTCTAGATGATCCTCAGGGTCCCTTCCTTCCAGCACTACAGTTCTAAGATCCTAGTATGATATCATGCTGCAGGAGCCAGGTTAAATGTTGCATGATGTTTTTGCTCCCCGCCCTCAAAAAAATACAGTTTTCTAAACAACCAGCCTTTTTTTGGAAAATTCAGTGCTCCGGCCTTTTCTCCAGAGTTATATGTCTTTGAACCTGGAGAACAGGCAGAAATGAGTCTGGGATAGGCCTTCCCATTATCCTGCTCTTTATATATTGCTAAAACCTTAGGAATCCCACCACATGTGCATCAATGTGCCTTCTGCCTCCCTGCATTTCCAACAGGTGTATGGCCTAAATCTGAACATTTTGGCCAGTGTGACAGGTTTTAAATACCACCTGTAAAGCATTTTCATGCAGCTCTCTTTACATCATAGCATGTCGTGAATTTTATATCTTCCAAAGCCTCTCCCATGATTCCATTTGGATGTTGTAGCCAAAGTCCCTGGCCCACTGCACCATTACGGATTTGACTTCTTCCTCCTTGACCTCCCAGTCAAGCAGTAGCCTATACATTTTAGAGAGTGGTTTATATTTAATTTGAATCAAATCTTTTTCAAGTCTTGAAGGTTCTATGGAAAAACTGGTTTTAAAAAAATCTTTTTAGAAGGTCTCATTCAATTGGAAATATTGCACCCAGTGTGTCAGGTGATTCCTTCAATTTTTTTGAGTTTTAGCCTATTGTCTAAAAGATCAGAGAATTTTGGGAGATGATCCATAACAAACTTTAAAAAATGTTTAAATGCTCTTTCCCCAAGAAGTCCGAAGCCTTCCTGCTAGGAATAATGAGTAATGAAATCTCAAAGAAATTCAGGAAAATTTTCATGTATGCTACAGTAGCAGCCAGAATTTCAACTGCAAAAGGCTGGAAAGGAGACACTATCCCATCCAAATTAGACTGGCAAAACAAAGTGCAAGAATATGCAGAACTAGCCAGATTATCAGCAAGGTTCCAAGATGTTACAGATGAGAAATTCAATAGAGTGTGGGATGTATACAGTGTTTAAAAGAACATTGCAAAAATATAAATCCGTTGGCAGGTCTGGATTTACTTTCTGCGTAGAATAGGAGAATCTTATAAAATTAATGTAATTGAAACAACCTAGAGGAGACAAACTTTAGTGTGCAGATAAATAATGTAATCTGGGAACCACAATGGGGGGACCGGCGATCATGTTGAATCCAACTACAAATTGTTACATACAACAAGCACCAACTATGGAATCAATGTTTATGTTTATTTTCATTTTCTGATATTATTTATGTTACACAGTTTTTAAAACCAATAAAGCATATTAAAAAGCGTCAGCAAAAAAAAAAAAGTTTAGGAATCCCACCAGAACAGGGAAAGGGGAGGAATTTGGGATTGACTAATTTTTTTGGGGGGGGAGCGAGAGTTGGAGGATGTGAGGGGATGGCGGCACGCATGACATCATTCCCCTGCGACGCAGCGAAGAGGAGCTCAGTTCAGACCCGCATCCTTTTCAGGCTTTTACTATTCACCCATTTCCATTAATCCTCCTTCGCCCGGCCGCCCGCGGAACATTCATCCTACACCCGTCGCGAACCGCAAGATTGTTTCAGCGGGAACTGAGGCGGCGGTTCCGATTGGTCGGCTGTCTGAATGGAGAGAGGCGGGGGGGGGGGAGTGGAAGAGGAAAGATGTTCCTTCCCTCCTCCTGCTGCTGCTGCTGCCGGAAGCGCCCCAGGCGGAAGTGAGTGCCGGTGTCATCCGAGGAGGAAGCTGGCGGAGGGAACAGGCGTGCTGTCGAGCGGCGGACTTGGGGGCCCAGCATGGCGGCGCAGCGGCTGGGCGATCTGTGGGCCGAGACCCCCCTGGAGAGCCGGATCTTCTGCTCGGTGCTGCTCTTCTCGTGGGCCGTCTACCTGTGGGAGGCGCTGCTCGCCTGGCGGCAGGTCGGAGGCAACCTTTCCCTTTTCGTGTCCCCCCCCGCCCCGTTGAGTTGCAGCAATTGGTAGCTGGCCGCGTTGGATGAGGAGGAGGAGGAAGGACAGAAATCCCCCCCCCCCGGTGATTCCAGCACCCGAGGTTGCTGTCAAGCCAAGGGTGGGGGAATCTCCTGGCCCGCCTTTTCTCAACCTTAGATCCCCAAATGTTGGACTACCAACCCCCCCCCCATCATCCCTGACCCCTGGTCCCGCTTGCTTAGGGATGGCGGAGGTCGTGGTCCATGAGCATCTGGGCCACCCAAGGGTGAGAAAGGCTGGGTCAGATGTTGCAGGGCTGCCTCTCCCGTTGCCTGAGGCCGCCCCCCCCCCCTTGCTGAAGTTAAGCAGGCCTGGGTGGGGAGGCAGCCACGTTGACACTACCTTAAGTTCCGTCCGGGGGGAAAGCTGGGTGTTAAATCTGTGGGCGTGAAATAACAGCCTCCTGCCCTGAGAGTTTTGTTCCTCCTTTTCTTCACAGCTGTCAACCCCACCCCTGCTTTGGCAGCTGGGAAGGGGGTGCCCATCCATTGCTGCTGATCTAAGGCTTTTAAATACTGCACACGCTTTCTAAGCCGATAAATGATTTTATTAACTCTTCTGTAGTCTTTCCTGTATAGGATAGCTTTTGGTTTGCTAGCTCCTCTCTTTGTAGCAGTGGTGGAGAACCTGTGGTCCTCTGCATGCTGTTGGACTCTTATCAGCTGGAGCCATAGTAGTCCTCCACTGTCTGTTGGAACCCTATTGTGCCCTTTGTTTCTTTTCTCCATATATGGTGCCGAAGAGGATGCGATTATTTACTATTACTTCCTTGTCCCCTCTGTGTCCTCCTCAGCAAGGTGCCCCACTTTGAAAAGATGTCTAATAGCAGGGTTCTTGGATTGATTTAGTACAGCAATTGTGTGTTAGTGTTAAAATAAATTAGTAGACCCAAAGACTACAAACTTGCATCTTCCAAAGTACCCATAGCAAGCGGTTGATAAGAGCAACCATGCTGCTGTTAGACCTAATTCATTCAGGCAACCGTTCTGAGGATGCTTACAAGCAAGTAAGCCTCATTGGATACAGTGCTATTGATTTCTAAGCAAACATGTACGGGATTGTTATGTGTGTAGACCTTATTGGTGTGTGTATGCAAAAATTTCTTGGACTTCACTCATTGTTGCTGCCGGTATCAAATTTTTAAAGGAATTTTCTCAGTACATTGCTGAAACTTGGTTTATAACAACAGGATCATTGAGAGACTACAGTAAAATCAGACCCAAGGACACTTTTACTTTTCTCAAAATATGGGATGTAAGGTTTGCCTCAAATAACTGAATTGTGCAAATTCCCTCCATTGTAGCTTAAGGCTATGTAGATTTGTAGAAACCACAATGAATCTGTGGTGGAAATTAGGGCAAGTTGTAGTGTATGGGATTTTCCCCATTTAAATTTTATTAATGGTATTAATTCTGAAGCTACAGAGACAGACAATACTTTAACCACACCCACACATTTCTCATATCGTGTTTCCTTTCTCACTCCCCCACTCTTGAATCAAAGAATAGGGAAGAGGAAAATGTGGAGAACATTGAAGAGGCATCAAGTAGTCAAGTAGAACTAGGAAGTTCTGCCAGCTACTTTAAAATGTCTCAATGTTCTATTACTCTTGGCAAAAGTCACATTTTGCTGTTAGGCATAGCTTCTGCCTTCTATTTTTGTAGGCGTTTGTTTATTTACTTGTATGAAAATTTCTACCCTGCCTGTGTAAGAGTGCCCACAAGGTTAGTTTTTTAGGCCCATTGATTTGTTGTTCTATGCCCAGGCTTTGGAGGAGATCCCAATATCACCTGTGTCATTGTAGTCTTGGAATACTTTGTCACTAACAATCCTTGGATAGAAAGAAGAGGGGCTTCCTGTGACACCTGAGAACAGAGCTCTAGAAGGTAGATGGTAACTTGTATTTACTGCTATGTTTAAAATTTTTCAGAGGACTGTGTACAGGACAACCACCCATGTTCCACTGGAATTAGGACCAATCATGGACTCGGAAACATTTGAGAAATCTCGCCTTTATCAATTGGATAAAAGTGCTTTCAGCTTTTGGTCAGGGCTGTACTCAGAGATAGAGGGCACAGTAAGTATCTGTTTTTCCTCTTAAGTTCTGTGGTTTTTCTTTATTAGTTAGAATGTAAAATAGTATTTCAAAATGTATTGGGAATGAGATTTTCATTTAAGCATCAGAAAATGCACAATATCAAGCCTAATCCTATGACAGGATGTAAGAATCTTCTGGTATTTCAATTTCTTAGGACAGTCTTCAGACTTGTGGGATTCCTCCTTCTTTTTACTAGAACCCCCACAATCCATCACTGGAGCCTCATATAAATGGTATACTGATAGATTTAAAGAATTATGAGCCTGGGAATTTGTTTTGAGTATCAGAGCTGAATTAAACCCACAGTCTTTTTACATAAAATTTAATTTATGGTTACCTCTCTGCCCCACCCACCCCACAAGCTTCCTTCATTACAGCAGCACAAATAGGACAGAGACAGTCATTTTGTTGCTATTAAACAAATGGGAGTCATAGATCCTTACAAATCCACTGAAAATTACCCAGAGATCTACCTTCTGCCCTCCCTTGTACTAGAACACTGTCCGGCCAGTGGCATAGAATTTAGGGGGTGCAATGCTTTTTCTAGAGATGCTTCTGTCAGGAGATGATGTATGCTGTCTGTAATGATTTTGCTGCTTATTTAATGTTGGGGTCAGGCTGAAACTGTTAGACTTTGTGACACTCAGTTCGTTTAGATGTGACACCAAACCATGGTTTGCTGCTACATGGACCATGATTTAACATCACATGAGTAAGCCCTGATTTCTTCTCCTACTGCACTTCCTCTTTTGCAGCAAACAATTGTTTGCCATTTATATTCAGATTGACAAGCGTTGGTTTGTACTTTGCTTTCAGAAAAGAGTCACATACCAAAATCGAATGCTGTCATACACACACACACACACACACACACACACACACACTCTGACTTAGAAGGCAAGCACAAACCATAGCTTACTGATTTGCATATAATGGCAAATGATGGCTTGCCATGAAAAGGAGGAAATTGCCCAAATTTTGTAAATACTTTTACCCATTTACCAAGGCCTCTTAGGCTGTGATCCTGTACCAACTTACCTGGGAGTAAGCTACAATGAATCCAGTGGGACTTACTTCTGAGTAGATAAATAAGATTGCAGGTGCCTTCTCCTTTCAGTGTGAATTGCTGCTGTTCTCTCTCTCTCTTCCTCCCCCCCCCCTGGTTTTCCAGTTTGTTGATTTTAGTCTTACATTATAATCTTGATGGTTTTGTTTTCTAACTGCCTGCTACTGTATGAGTACTTCTTGACCTGAAGGCAAGGATAACAGGTGCATTCAATAAATACAAATAAAACAGACACTAAGCTACTAGGATTTCTTTTCTGGGTGCTTTCCACTGTAGCTTGGCTCAATCATTTCAGTTGTCTGGATAGTTTTAACCAAACTATCTCTTGAAGTGGGGAAAGCACTGTGGCATAGGGGACTCTTATACTTTTGCTTGTGTTTCAGCCTTTCCCCAAGCAGCTCAGAGTGGTGTTTCAGCTCCACAAAATCCCGCGAGATTAGTTAAGGAAGGGAGACCGAAGGGCTTTCCCAACGATAGCTGTAAGCAGGGTGGAACTTGTAACTGAGCAGATGGAGCTTCAGCTGAGTGGGCATTGGCAGCTAGATTTTTCATATCCTAGCTCAGCACACACTAACCCCTGCACAACACTGACTTTCTGGCTCTGTGGGTGCTATCCAGCCCCCTCGTTCTATTAGCACAAGGATTTGTGCTTGCGCAGCACAACTTCCTCCACCTGCATGTGCCCCATGCTCTCCCCAAATCTGCTCTGAAAGGTATGGGGAACCCCCAGAACAGATTTAGTAGACGTACAGAGGAGGGGGGGAGCCTTGTGCTAACAGAATGAGTAACTTAGCACCACTTTGGATTCAAGCCGTTGTAACTAGAGGGCAATGGGTTAGTGCAGTAGTCTTCAGCAGTTTTGCTGATCCTGGACCCAGCCTGCAATATGGGACCCTTGTTTGCTTTAAAAAAACAAAAACCCCACAAATATGTCACTAGTTTAAGAACCAGCAGGCACAGTTCTTACTCCCTAATAGCTGTACCAAAGAGGGGATTCTGATAAGAGCAGCTTGCTGGGTGAGGTGTGAAGCGGCGCCGGCTGAAATTCCCTCTTCACGGCTATTAACAGGAAAGACGCTCCGTTCTCTTATTTGCATCTCCTCTTCCCTTGTTAAGGTGCTCTTACGGTAGTGCAAAGGCGGAGGATGAGAGAGGCTTGATTTTGTTGTTCATGTGATTCCTAAATTTCGGGGCTAGCCTGTTCCATAAAGCTGTGGGTTGGCTTTTTACAGGTAATTCTTCTGTGTGGAGGAATCCCTTTCCTCTGGTCTGTATCTGGAGACATTTCAGCTCGTGCCGGTTTTGGGCCTGAATATGAGGTAGGTCCCAATGTCCCCCACTCCACCTGTAACTAAACTATCCATTTTTAATAAAATTCCAGCTGCTCTTCCCTTTGCCTTTTTAAATATGAGCAATGAGAACATGGAAAAAGCCCTACCGAATGGGACCAAAGGCTGATCTTGTTCAAGACTATGTTTTCCTGCAGTGGCAGGCCAGATGCCTTTATAGGAAGTCCCTAAGCAGCGCGGGTGGCGCTGTGGGTTAAACCACAGAGCCTAGGGGTGGCCAATCAGAAGGTCGGCGGTTCAAATCCCTGCGATGGGGTGAGCTCCCGTTGCTTGGTCCCTGCTCCTGCCAACCTAGCAGTTCGAAAGCACGTCAAAGTGCAAGTGGATAAATAGGTACTGCTCTGGCGGGAAGGTAAACGGCGTTTCCATGTGCTGCTCTGGTTCGCCAGAAGTGGCTTAGTCATGCTGGCCACATGACCCGGAAGATGTACGCCAGCTCCCTTGGCCAGTAAAGTGAGATGAGAGCCACAACCCCAGAGTCGGCCACGACTGGACCTAATGGTCAGGGGTCCCTTTACCTTTACCTTAAGCAGGGCATGGAGGCAACGTGGGGATAATCCCCAGAGCAGTATGTGGGGGGAGGAGAGAGGCACTCATTCCGTCTGGCTCCCACAAGCACAATGGGGATTGTTCCATATGGAAAGCAGGGATGCTTGCGCTGATGGAACAATTGTAATAGCATGGCATTGAATTCCTCCCAATGTGTCTGAAGTTAGGGAAGTACTGACTTGTATTTCCCCCCTCCTTACGCATAGATTGTTCAGTCCTTGGTGTTCCTGCTGCTTGCTACACTCTTCAGTGCTGTCACCGGTCTTCCGTGGAGCCTCTATAATACTTTCGTCATCGAGGAAAAACATGGATTCAACCAGCAGGTATCTTATAGTATTTGTTGGTCGCCAAATTGATAGCAGCAGTTTTCCTTCTGTGCCTGCATGATTTGTGCTTATTTGGCTTTTAAATCTATATAAGGAGCTGTGGGAAGCCTTTGGCCCTCCAGATGTTGCTGAATTACAACCACCGTCATTGGCACGCTTGCTAGGGTTGATGGGAGTTGTAGTTCAGCACCATCTGGAAGGCCATCAGTTCCCTATGCCTGCTGTACCGATTCTCCTGCTTCATCTAACTGTTCTCCAATGGCCTAGACAAGTTTTGAGTGGAGCTAAAGAGCATGCGATTTTTGAACCTCTTATATATTCACATAGCTGGCTTCCAAACATTTCATCTTATTATCTCTTCTTCTGCAGACTCTGGGATTCTTTTTTAAAGATGCAATCAAGAAGTTTATAGTGACCCAGTGTATCCTGTTGCCAGTAACGTCACTTCTACTTTACATCATTAAAATAGGTGGAGACTATTTCTTCATTTATGCATGGCTTTTCACCTTAGTAGTTTCTTTGGTGAGTATGTGATGCAGTCTGCTGTGTCCAGAATTGCTTCATGTGTAACTCTTATTAAATTGGGGAGTTGGTTGTCTCAAGTCACTAAAACGGCTTGCCTGCTTATCATGGCTTCCTTTCCATCTTGCCCCGTAAAACTGTAACTTTGCTAACAGGTCAGTTTAACTAAATTATTCTTATTTAGTTAACCTGGCAGCTGTGGCAGGGGGCACAATCTAGTCCAGGTTAAGCGCTATTCAATCTCTGGCTACAACATTTAATTAAAGAATCAAATGAAAATGTGTCTTGATTAATCAGGCAGTTGATGTTTAAGTTTGATACACATTTTAAAATACACCAAGCAGCATTTTAGAGGCGGCTATTTCTTCTGTGTGTGGCAGAAGGGGTGCCAACAGGATTTTCGGGGCCCACTGCAGTGTATATGGATTCCCCCCCCCAAAAAAAAGAAGCTGTTGAAGGCGGACATTAGGAAATTTTGAGCCGGGTGTCATCAGTATGTTGACAATAATATCCGGACCTGAGGTGCACCACCACTGCATTAGTAACTCTAGGCTGGATTACTGCAATTCTCGCTTATGTAGAAGTGCCTTTGACATTGTATTGCGCATTCCTGGAGATAAATGTTAATGATGAATAAACTGGCCTAAGGTGTCTCTGTTTTAACAGTTGTGCTCCGCTGTAGGTCCTTGTCACAATCTATGCAGACTACATTGCTCCCTTGTTCGATAAATTCATCCCACTCCCTGAAGGAGAGCTGAAGCAGCAGATTGAGGAGATGGCAAAGAATATAGACTTTCCTCTGACCAAAGTGTATGTGGTGGAAGGTGAGAGTCCATACATTTCTGGGACAGCACAAGTCACAAGGCAGCTTGTGATGATAGGAAAACAGCAGAATATATTATCAGGATCCAACCCCAATGCAACTTAAAATGCATTACACTCTTACAATACGTTACACCCTTAAATATTTATCATTTTACTATATTTTTTACCATATTTACCACAATCCATTTTAGATTGTAAAAATTTGGGGTGATAGCCAGCCTTCTTCATAGAGTAGACCCAATGAAGCCTGCGGATGCAAGTATTACTTAGTTGACTATCGCCCTTGGACTAACAGGATAGACAACATGCAATGGCACCAGTCATGCTTTCCTGGGGAGGGACAGAAGGATCACCATTATAGGGTACCATCAAAGGAAGTGTCTTTTATAAGAAGGGCCCTACTGGGTTGGGCCAAAGGCCCATCTAGTCCTTCACTCTGTTCCCACAGGGGCCAGCAATAGTCACCCACCTAACCTCCGAGGGCTGGGCCAGCTGACGATCTCGGCTGCAGGACAGATTCATGTGGACTTTCCTCCCCACTTAAAATCTGTCCCCAAGATAAAGGGGACATGTTCACTTGCTTGCTTCTGTAATGTGACTTTGTTCCCACTCTTCTCCCACCTGCCCCAGGTTCCAAACGGTCTTCCCACAGCAATGCTTATTTCTACGGCTTCTTCAAGAACAAGCGTATCGTGCTGTTTGACACTCTCTTGGAGGATTATTCTGCCCTTAACAAAGAGCGCCCTGAGGAGCCTGGCTCAGAGAACCAGGTGGCTGGAGGAGACGGGGAAGATGCCGAGGCAAAGGCTAAAGCCAAAGTAAGCATCTGGATTGGGGGGGGTATATCACTAAGGTGCAGCTGTTCTGATCTAAGATTTCCTAGGTGGACTGGAAAGAAGGCAAGGGCAATTGTTCAGGGAGTGCAAGTGTGCACATCAGATCCTTGGCAATAAATGCTAAAGTGGTTGTAGGTGGCTTTTACCCAGGGCTGGGGAACCTGAGGTCCAGAGGCCAAATCCAGGACTCCCTATTCTGGCCCTCAGGGCTATTCCCTTCACTGACCCTGTTCGGTGCCCTCATCACGTTCCTTTGCATCGGTGGAATGTGTACTGTTATAAAGCTTCTGGCTTGCCAGGATGACTTTTGCACAGGTGGAATGTAGCCTTCTGCACAAAGAGAGGTCACCTATGTTCCCCCGCTCAATTTTGCCTCTGGCCACACCCACCTCTGCTACGCAGCCCTTGGGAGGTTGCCTACCAGAGAATGGTTTCCCATTTTTGCAATAACCCTAAAACCTGAATGTGGCTCATAATTCGTTGTAGCTATGAACTTTTGTTACCTGCTATTCTGCACATTTCTTTTGAGGATAAAGCTCTGAGCAACCAGAGCTTTGCTGCAGTAGCTCCATTACTTCACAGATCTCTTCCCAGGGAGTTAAGCCATGGCTTCCTCTCTTATTTATTTTTACGGAAACCCTATTTTAAAATCAACTTTTGAACGACCTTATTTTTCTGATGCCACTTTGAGCTGTTGCTGTTATTGTATGGCTAGATGTGTTCCGCCACGCATTAGGATAATACGCTTGAAAATATTTATATTATGAGCCATCTTGGCCTCAGTAACCCTGACAGGAGGCCTACAGATACAGTATTATGGTCCCAGGGTTGGTTACGCAAAGTATCAAAATTTAAAAGGGGCTTTCCCGAAGCGTCCAGTATTGACCCTCTGGGATTTATTAGATTGTGCAGCAGGGGTGACTAAGGACCCAGAGAGCCAATAGAGTGTCAAAAATCACCCAGGTGTAGGAAAGCTATTCGCAAAGTATCATGTGAAGAATTTCTGCTTCCTGTCCTGCATTCGTGAGCTTGGAAGATGGTCTTTGCTCATGCTTGGATAACATGTTCCTTCTCTCTCCTCCTCACCCCCCCTCCCCTTTACTCGAGAATAAGAAGCAAGGTTGTAAAAATGAAGAAGTCTTGGCTGTTCTGGGTCATGAGCTGGGGCACTGGAAACTTGGCCACACGATTAAAAACATCGTCATCAGCCAGGTGAGCAGAAAGCACCGAGGAAATTCCAATGGGTTTTGTTTGAGTGTGCTTATATTGTCATGCAGTGTCATTCCTTTAGTTATGGAAGCAGTGAAAAGGAATGTGGGCAAGCAAGAGTGTAAATGGGGAGGTGTGTTAACAGAGAGGTGACTTAGAGCTGAACAGCCCATTACACAGAAATCTGATTGACCTCCCACTTTCCCCCTCTTAAGACTTAAAAAGCAGTCCAGGAGACGGGGGCAGGGGGATGGAAACAGACTGCATCAGTGCTTAGGTGCTATTGGGGTGGAGGTTAGCTTTTCTCTTATTTCTCCCCTGCACTGTGGTCCTTGGAAGCAGCTATGTATTTACCTGTATTTTGGTCCCAGATGTGGAAGCTCCAGCTGCTGCTGGATGCAGTGCCAAGACTGCTGATGCAGGCAGATGGCTAACAGCATGTGATACCTTTCTTAAAACATCTACACTGCGCTACTGGACCAGGTTCAAGACTCTTGTGCTGATCTGCAGAGCCATGAATAACTTGGGTCCGGGACATCTTAAGGCCCGCCTGAGCCCTTACATCCCAACCCGATCACTGAGATCATTTGGAGGAGCACTGTTAGTTGCCCCGCATGTTACAGAGCCCCGGCTGGCCTCCACTAGAAGTTGGGTACTGAGCGTCACAGGCCCCATGGTGCAGTACACTTTTCCAACAGATTCAGCAGGCATTTTCGCTTCTGAATTTCAGGTGCCTATTCAAGGCTTTTTAAGCCAACTCTGCAATTCCACATTTTCTAATTTTAATGATTGCTCCCATACCACTTTAAAAGGTTTAGTATTTTATTTTTATATTGTTGTGCACCGCTTTGATATTTTATGAGAGGGTGGTATATAGATACTTTTACAAATTTTACAAAGGTTGCTAACAAATCATTAAGGCAACACATGCTGCTCTTTTTCTTTCCTAGATGAACTCCTTCTTGTGTTTCTTTTTATTTGCCGTGTTGATTGGTCAAAAGGAGCTCTTTGCAGCTTTTGGATTTTATGATACTCAGCCAACCCTGATAGGCCTGTTGATCATCTTTCAGTTTATTTTCTCTCCTTATAATGAGGTAAAGTTCTGCTTTTGATTGCACACTCAAGCCATTATTGCTGAAATGCTAGTAGTTTCTTTGCTGCCTTAAACCCTCCTATCCCACAATAATGCTGTCAGTATTCTGATTCATTTTTTAATAGTTTCCTCAGTGGTACCAGTTGTGTAGCATTTCTTTGTTTTTATTTTGCAGATTTATAAACTGCTTCACATCCAGAAGCTGTTGAAGTAGTATACAATTTAAAGAATTGTCTTTACCATGCAGAAGGCTAGTGGGTACAAGGCTGGGCTTTGGAGGATTCTGAAACATGTTCTGAGTTCTTAATGTAACTTCCCTATATTGTTTCCCTTACAGGTTCTCTCCTTCTGCTTAACTGTATTAAGTAGGAGATTTGAATTTCAAGCGGATGCATTTGCTAAGGATCTTGGAAAGGCTACAGACTTGTATTCCGCTCTGATCAAGTTAAACAAAGATAATCTGGGATTTCCTGTTTCAGACTGGTTGTTTTCAATGTGGCATTATTCTCATCCTCCGCTGTTAGAAAGACTTCAAGCACTGAAACAATCTAAGCAAGACTGAATGAAATAACTACTGGCTCAAAGGAGCTTCCATCCCAAAACAAATTTCCAGTTTTTAAAAACCATCTATACATATATATATTCATTCCATTCCTGAGCACACCATTCTGCATAGCAACATGCGCTGTTCACCTTATTTGAAAGTAGCGCCCAAAAATCCTGTATCCAATTTACGGAACTGAATTTTAAAGAGAAATACCTTGCGGGGACTGAATTGGAAAGGAATGTAACATGTAAAGTTTTATCTGAAAATCTTAACAAAGCCGTACTTGAGGGGAAAGTTTAACTTGTCACAACCTGAAGTATCCATGCTTGAATTTGTGAAAGCTTTGAATGTGACTTTTGTACCTTTTAAGCAGTTTGTCTGGATGTTCTTACAGTACGATAAACTTCTAGCTTTCCTACCTCATCCAATGAGGGGGTCTGATCCTGGATAACTATCCTTCCCCCCTCCCCTTCTGACCGTTGGATTTCAAGCATTTAAACCAAACGCTGTCTGGACTGAAAGTGTGAACTTTCCCCTTTAGGTCCAAGTTCATACCTGCAATGAATGAAAAGGCTACTTTTTACAGAGAAAATAAAGTCGCCTCTCTCCCTGTATGGGGAATGGAGAATAAATTGCAGCTCATGAAACATCCTGCTTATGTGTGTCCCATATATTGTGTGTATGATGATGGTTTGGAACTTGTCTGGTCTCATCTCCCCCCTACCCACTGATTTTCTGGATAGCAGGGGTTTGGAAGGAATAACGGTGTAACAAAAGCTATACTCTTTGTCAAGAAAAAAGAAACTGACGTGGCTGACTTGCATCATTGAATAGTCATACAGTCATACTTCGGGTTACAGACACTTCAGGCTGCGTTTTTTCAGGTTACAGGCGCGCCGAAACCCGGAAATACCGGAACGGGTTACTTCCGGGTTTCGGTGGATGCGCAGAAGCGCCAAATCGCAACCCATGTGTGTGTGGACGCTGCACTGGGGGCTGCGAACGTGCCTCCCACATGGATTATATTCGCAACCCGAGCATCCACTGTATATTCAATCTCTAACGTGGGTGCTGTGCAGCCATTTACTAGATGTGGCGGCTTGCCATTATCTTCTGTCTCCTTTGTTTCTCAAGTCTGTATCATACAGGCAGCAATTCAACATGCTCCTTTCTCTACTATGGCACTATAGAAAGTGGGGAGGGGGAGCCTTGCCTGTTCATTTAGCTGTTCAGTGCACACACTTGGATTCATCCACTGATTACTCCAGTGACTACAATACAGAGCACTGATGAAAGCAAGGATAAACACTCCTGGACAAACAATTCAATTATGGTAATTTAAATTGGTTTTAAGCCTTCCTGATTTTAACATTTTCCAAATGTGTTTTTTTTTTCTTTTTTAAGGAGGCAGAGGAGAAATCTTCCGTTTTAATTTATTATTATAATATATGTAATATTTATATTATGTTTTATATATGCTGTAAACCGCCCAGAATGGCTGGGGAAACACAGCCAGATGAGCGGGGTATTATTATTATTATATATAATAATATATATTATATAATATATATATATATATATATATATATTATATATATAATATATTATATATATAATATATTATATATATATTATAATATATTAATATATAATATATAATATATAATAATAATAATACCTGGGCTTTTCCCCAAACGGAGGCTCACAGGTAAAAATAGGAAGGCACGCTTGGCAAATCCACACAGTGATCAACTCCCGCCCGGAAACCAATGTCCCCACTGTGGAAGAACGTGTGGATCCAGAATTGGCTTCCAGTGTCACTTACGGACTCGTTGTTCAAACCATGTTTATGGAAGACAATCTTCCTCGGCTACGAATGACCGCCAAAGAAGAGAAGGTAAAAACAAGAACCGCTAATAACATTGGGGGGGGGAAACTTAGGCAGGATTAAAACTACATTCATATATATAACCTATTAAAATCATGCCAATACTATTAATCAATCACATATGGAGAGACGGAGAGCCCCATTCTAGGTGAGGGCGGCTGTCCCAGAGGCACGTGCTACGGCGGCCGAGACAGGACTAAAAACGGTTCGCTGGGCAAGAGCCCCGCCCCTTCCTCCCCCTGGGAATCGCGCGCTCGTAGGAAGGGGGCGGGGGGTCGCGGGCGGTGACGTCGCGCCGCCGCCGCCGCCAGGGGCGGAGCTTCTCTGCGCGTTCGCCGCCTTTGTCCCGCGGCCTGACTCGGCTCGTCTGAGGGGATGCTGTCTGCGGGGAAGAAAGCGGCCGCGGCGGAGGCTCCGGTAGGCGGTGGCGGCGGCGGCGGCGCGGGCGGCCCGGCGGGCGATGGCTCTGCCGAAGCCCCGGCGCCCCCTCCGCCGCCTCCACCCCCGCCGCCTCCGCCCCCTCCGCCGGCCCTGTCGGGCTCCCTGGGCTCCTCGGAGGGCGGCGGCTCGGGGCCCTCGGAGCGCACGCCCCGCAAGAAGGAGCCTCCGCGCGCCTCGCCGCCGGGGGGCTTGTCCGAGCCGTCTCCCCCCGCGGGGCCGGGGGGGCCCGTCGGGGGCTCCGAGACCACCAGCATCGCCGAGACCCCCGAGGGCCGCAGGACCAGCCGCCGCAAGCGGCCCAAGGTGGGTGCTCTTGCCCCGGCCGCTGCTTCCGACCACCGGGGCCTACCTACCTACCCGGGGCGGCGGAATGGCTGGCTTGGGTGGGCCGGGCGTCGACTCCCACGAACCGGTTTGTGAGGAAATCTGTGACTTTAAAACGGTGGAGGTTCAAAAAAGCGGGCGGCTGGGCGGCTTCGGGTTTAGTGCTTTTTATTTTTATTCTTTTCGCTGCACGTTAAAGCAGAAACCGAGCGCTTGTTTCCTGCAAGGAGAAACGTAAAGGCCGGGCAGGCCTGTAAATTCCAGTTCGCTGGGTGGCCTTCAGCCAGTGAGGATGTTTCTCAGCCTGACCTACTTCCCAGGGTTGCTGTGGGGCCGAAATGGGAGCGCGCCTTTTATCCACACGGATCATTTGGGAAAAAGCGGGGAGTGAAACAAGAAACGATAATAATCGCAATAAGTAGAAGGTTGGCATTGTAGTCTTTTCCCCGTAAGTGCTGGATTCCTCCTTATTGGCGGAGTCCAAACAAAAAAATAAAAGTGATATGTCAACATCTAAAGTGGTACAGCCCACTCTTAAGGATTTAAGGGGGCGGGCGATGGTATTGTGGCACACCGTAAAGAATGGCAGTTCTTGTGGCACAGGTTTGTATAGATTAAAGCTCATATCATCAGATGCAGCTGGGATCTGGTTGATGAAACAGGCCACAAACAGTCTACAGGGCTTGCTTGTGGGGGTTGTGTGTGCTAGATTGCTGTCCCTCTGGTATCTCTTGGGCACATACTACCTTCTGTATGTACCGTATATTGATTATCCGTTATTGTTAATTAGACTTTTTATTCCAAAATGGTACACAAGGTTGATGTGACGTCAGAGAGTAGCTAGAGCCTATGTTGCAAGGCACTAATGAATGTCATTTATTGTTTGCTTCTTAATGTGTAGGCTAGACTGCTACCTTTGTTTTACAGAAGCAGATTTAATAGTGTGCAATGCAGTAAATGCCCCAAAGCCATCTTAATAAGGAAGGGAAATAGATCCTAACAAAATCAAGGGTTTTTTTCTTTTGGCTCTTGCTTTTCTAACACAAAGGATCCTTTGTGATCAAATAAAGCTTTGAAATATGTTTTGATATTTGTATATTTGTATCATGTAGATGCACAGGGAAGATGTTGAATATAGCTTTGGAGAGCATTATATATTTAACAATTAGACATTGATTTCATTATGTCATCATCAAGACTTGAGGGTTCCACTTTCTTTAATACAGGGAAATGCTTGTAATACAAGGAAAGTATATAACACATGGCTTGACTAGATTTTAGCATTGATTAATTTGGGCCCTATTCCATTATGAGTTCTCTGCATGGCTTACAAATAGGAATGCTTTTTTGAAATGAGGGCTTACAGTTAGATCTGTTGGTCCTTTTTAGTTTACTTGTAAAACTTATAAAGAATTATTATTTAATTTACTTGAATCAGTTTGTACAGTATAGTGGGTACAGGACTTGAATTTTGGGAGGACTTTGAAAACAAAAATTATGCTGTCCTTCTCCCAATGCATCCTTATTGATGGCTAGCAGCAGCTGCATAGGAGTTGGAGCTGCACTTGTGAGGCTCAACAATGCTTTCCATCCCTTCCTGGAATCCTATGCCTTTGTAGGATTTCATATATAATGTGTAGCCTACTTTAGTTTGAGTTTATGTGACTTAGGTTGCTGCAGAACCTGTACAGATCCATATAAGAAAAAGCTTCAAAACACATTATAATGTACATAGACTGTACATAACGTGAAATCAAAGGCTAACTCATTTTTATGGCATAAAGCTTTTATGGATTAGAATTCAATTCATCCAGTTTTGTGAAGTGCTATTCTCAGGTGTGTGGGGGGGGATGCTAAACAGAACAAATATACCAAATAAAAAAAAAAATTACAGACACCAAAAATTCAGTTAAATATGTATAATAATCACTCTGGCTTCCAACAAAATATTAAAAATACAATAAAACATCAGACATTAAAAACTTCCCTAAACAGGGCTGCCCTCAGATATCTTCTAAAAGTCAGATAGCTGTTTATTTCCTTGACCTCTGGTGGGAGGGACAACCACACAACTTTTATGTAGACTGTTTTGGTTTAAAATTTGCTCATGTATGTGAGATAGGAAGTGCTAAAAAGAAACTGTCACTCAGTGTTAAAAATTAGCCGGGTGTTAGGCGCATTTTGTGCCTGAAGATTTTCCATTTGCGAGCACCTAAAAAAGTCTGGGTGGCATTTTTTGCACCTGGCTGACACTCAAGGATTACTGAAATGTATGTACTTTGAAGCCTTGAAGTATATGTTAAGGATAGACAATATGTTAAGAAGTTTAACAATAAAGAGTGGAGTGTTTTGAAAACGAAAGTATGGTACTGATATTTTTTACAGTATTGTAAACACCAAATTAAACACATATTAACAATTTCTGTTAAAATGTGATATTAACAATTTGCCACTTATGTGAATTATTTTCATGATTATCAAAATAATAAATAAAAAGTGTTGCCGACCCCTTCCCCGCAAATGGCGACTAGACATTCTGTTTTGGCGCCCACAACCCAGATCCCAGGAACCATTTGACTGCTAGTTTTTCTATCCCACTTCTGTCACTTCCCAGTATATGTATGCTACTATTATACACAATTTAAAAATGAATTATGCTTTATCACCTATACAGATGTCTGCTATTTGTGTCAATTGTCACATGTCAAACCTGATAAGTGTAGCAGCTTAAGGGGAAACTGAAGGCAGGCTAGATTCTTTTCTAGGGTGGGACGTGTGTGTGATGCAGGACACAGTTCATATTGTATGTAAAAATGGGACTTCCGGGGTGGCGCCATCGGTAATGGCGGATTCCCTCTGACTCGGAGGGGACTGGCTCTGCGGGAATCGGGTCTGCACCGCTACGGCGAAGCGGGGACCCTTCAAAAATCACAGGCGGGTGAAGCCTGTGACCGTGGGACTCGGCGGGCAGCTTTGCGCCCCCCCCAACTTGCAAAGGAGCCCGATTACGGGTTCCGGAGTGAAGCGGGGAAGCGGCGCGGTGCTGTGAGTCAACTGCTTCTTCCGTGGAGCGAAGCTGCACAGCCGTTATCGGAGAGCGCTACTTTTTTCCTGTGACAATTGGACTACAAAACAACGATCCGTGAGTAGGTTAATTTGGGAAACGAGAGAAAAAAAGAAGTAATTGGATACCGAAGCGGAGAGGCATAATCAGGAAGTCTGCCTTCCGTTTTTTGTAAATAGAGGAAAGCAATGAACTTGTAAGCTAGAACCTTGAAAGACGCTTGAAAAAGAGTATAATTCTATCCTCTAAAACAAGCAATTTCCCCCCTTGACTGCAGGAGAGAAGGGGGGAAAGGTTTGAACTGTATTTTCCTGTAAAAAGAGAGAAAAGGAAGCTAAGAATCCACCGCTTTAACCGGGGAACGGACTGCCAATGAAAAATAGAATGCCGTACTGTGAAATGCGCTGTTGGTGAAAGTACTTTTTGACAGCTAACTCCGCAAGTCTGATACAAGTGAGATACAATATTTCTGGCTGGTTTCCCCTGGTTTCAAAGTAACTGGAAAATAACTGAATTTAAAACTGTCATCTATTTTGTGAGCTGGGGGATTAAAATAAAAAGGACATTTATTTTAAAGTAACAACTGTTGCCTGTTACTGTGTCCCCCTAGAGGAAGTTTGAGATTGTTACAATAACAACTGGGCCAGGGGAATTTTCCACTTCATAACAAACTCTGATCGTGGGACTGACCTTGAGTATTATCTAGACTGTTATGGCAAATGGAAAAGAGAAGATAGATTTGCTTCAGGAAAAGCAACGAGGTCTGGTAGAGTGTTGCGCACAGACGTTGGGCTGCAGCGAAGAGCATCAACATCTGGCCCTCCTGGTTTACCAACAGGAGCTGCATTGGCACAATCTAAACCCAAAGGAATGGCTTCCGAAGATGTTTTAGCTCAGGCACTTGGCAAAATTAATGAATCTTTGGAAAAATTAAGTAAACAAGTAGCTGAAGCATCAAATAAAATTGATCAAAATACTACAAGCATTAACAATTTGGGACAGAAGGTAAATACTAACACAGAAACTATTGAGAAATTACTACAGGAATCTACTTCGACCCAAAAGACAGCTGAAGAAGCAAAGGAAATAGCAGTGGCTGTAGAAGAGAAGTTACCACCGATACACAAGCAACTGGAAGACCATAGGTCAATACTGTCTATGATTGAATTGAAGGAGAAGCAAACGAATCTAAGAATCAGGGCTGTACCCGAACTTGAGAAAGACAACTTGATTGATTTTCTTACGCAGGAACTTGCAGACTTTTGGAACCCAGATTTGGAGAAGGATAACTTCAAGATAGTGAGTGCTTTTAGGCTTGGAAGAGGAGGGAAGAAGAACAGGGTGAGAGACTGTTTGATCACCCTCCGAACAAAAGAGGAGAGAGATAAAATCTTGAGTCTGCACTTCCAGAAGACTTTGGTAATACATCAGTCAAAAGTGGAGATATTTAAGGACATTCCGAAATATCTTCTAGACCTTAGGTCCAATTATAGAGATTTGGTTGCCCTGTTGAGAAACAACAAAATTATCTTTAGGTGGGAAGTCCCCAAGGCCTTTCTTTTAGCTTCAAAGGAAGAAAGATAAAAATAAGATGAGAGGACGACAAAGCAAGATTTTTGAGAGACCACGGTGAAGACCTGCAGAAAGAAACTGGAGAAGAGCCAGGAATACTAGAAAGAGGAACTTTAGACATACCAAAACTAGCTTTTGAATTAAGAGACCGCCTGGAGAAGGTGATACCACCTACAGAACAGGAACAAGCACTTGGTGCAGTTGGAGGAAAGTAAAGCAACTACATCATGGCTCTGCAACTACTAAGCTGGAATTGTAACGGTTTGAATTCCCCTCAGAAAAGGAAATCTGTGTTTCATTTACTAAAAAAGGAACAATTGGACTTGATTTGTTTACAGGAAACACATGTAATAAGGCTACACAGGAAAGTATTGATTAATAAAATCAATTGGGCCAGGAATTTATTTCTTCGGATAAATTTAAAAAAAGAGGCGTAGTGATTTATGCAAAGGAGAGACTATTACCGAAATTTATCTTCAAAGATGACCAAGGAAGATTTGTGGCAATTGAAATTCAAATACAAGGAGAGAAATTTTTAATAGTAGGAGTTTATGCACCAAACGAGGGAAAATCTGAATTTTTTAAAAAGCTGCATGAGACCTTGATGGACTATTTGGACTATAATGTGATTTTGATGGGAGATATGAATGGAGTGGTATCTACACACATGGACAAGGCACATAGACAGCTAGTCACTAAGGATGGTAGACTACCGAAAACCTTTTTTGAGATGACAGACAACTTGGACTTAGTCGATATTTGGAGAACAAAGAACCCCTTGGCTAGAGAGGGAACCTTCTTCTCTGAAGCCAAACTGACATGGACAAGAATTGACCAAATATGGGTAACTAGAGGAATGGCACCAAAGACAAGAAAAGTGGAAATCTGCCCAAAAACTTGCTCCGACCATAACGCTGTTAAGATGGAAATGAAACTAACACCAACCGGTTCCTTCAGATGGAGGATGAATGACACCTTATTTAGAGATGAAGAAGTGATTAAGAAGGCCCAAAAAACCTTGAGAGACTATTTTGAGATAAATATGAACACCAGTGTTGAAAAAAGAGTAATCTGGGACGCAAGCAAAGCTGTTATGAGAGGGTTCTTGATACAACAGAATGCATTAAAGAAGAGAATCCAAAATGAAAAGAAGGATAAAATATTGGAGAAAATAAAGGAAAGTGAAAAGAAATTGAGAGCAAAACCAAAGTCGCAAGAGATCTTGAGAGAAATAAAATTATATCAAGTACAATACATGAAAATGATGAATCAGGAGATAGAATGGAAAATTAAACAAATGAGACAAAAGACATTTGAGTCGGCTAATAAATGTGGGAAATTATTAGCTTGGCAAATGAAAAAAAGACAAAAATTAAATACTGCTACAAATTTAGAAGTGGAAGGAAGGAATATACAGAACCCAGTTGAGATTAGAAACTGTTTCCAGAGGTACTTTAAACAATTATATACACAAGGGCCACAGAAAGAAATTGACGTAGACCGATTTTTGAAAACAAATGGATTACAAAAAATTTCTCAAGAAAATAAATTAATGTTGAACTATAAAATAACTGAACAGGAGGTAGAAGGTGCCATTCAGAATATGCAACTAGGTAAATCTCCAGGACCGGATGGATTGACTTCTAGATACTACAGATCTTTAAAAGAATGGCTAGTACAACCTTTAAAAGAAGTCTGTAACGAAATAATGGGAGGAAAAAGGGCACCAGAGTCGTGGAAAGAAGTGTATATTACACTTGTACCGAAAACAGAGACTGAAAAGACTCAGCTTAAGAACTACCACCCCATATCATTGCTCAATGTGGATTACAAAATCTTTGCAGACATTTTGGCTAAAAGACTAAAAAGAGTGCTAGTGGAAGAGATACATAAAGACCAAGCAGGCTTTCTCCCGGGTAGACATCTGTCTGATAATGTGAGAAACATAATTAATATTTTAGAAAAATTACAAGTGAACATAAATACTAAGGCAGTTTTGATATTTGTGGACGCGGAGAAAGCTTTTGACAACATTTCTTGGAGTTTTATGAAGAAGAACCTACAGGGGATGGGGGTAGGCCAAGGTTTTGAAAATGGTATAAGTGCAATTTATTCAGAACAAAAGGCTAAATTAATTGTAAATAACGTGGTGACGGAAGAATTTAAGATAGAAAAAGGGACACGACAAGGTTGCCCAATCTCCCCACTGCTTTTTATATCGGTCCTGGAGGTTCTGCTGAATATGATTAGAAGGGACCAGTTGGTTAAAGGTATACAAGTCGGAGCTAAACAGTACAAGTAGAGAGCATTTGCAGATGACCTAGTATTGACGTTACAGGAGCCAGAATCTAGTACTAAAAGGGTTTTGGAACTGATTCAAGAATTTGGTCAGGTTGCAGGATTTAAACTGAATAAGTTAAAAACTAAGGTTTTAGAGAAAAACTTAACTGTGATGGAGAAAGAGAGGTTTCAGAATGAGACAGGTTTAACAGTGGCTAAGAAAGTGAAATACCTGGGGATTAACATGACAGCTAAAAATGGGAATCTATTTAAAGACAATTATGAAAAATGTTGGACTGAAGTGAAAAAAGATTTAGAAATCTGGTCAAATTTAAAGCTTTCACTGCTAGGCCCTATCGCTGCTATAAAAATGAATGTTTTGCCTAGAATGCTGTTTCTGTTTCAAACATTGCAAATTTTGGACAAAATGGACTGTTTCAAGAAGTGGCAGAGAGACATTTCTAGATTTGTCTGGCAGGGCAAGAAGCCTAGAATAAAATTCAAAATACTAACGGATGCAAAAGAAAGAGGTGGATTTGCCCTGCCAGACCTTAAACTTTATTATGAATCAGCAGCTTTTTGCTGGCTGAAAGAATGGCTGCTTCTTGAAAACACAGACATTTTGGACTTAGAAGGTTTTGACAATGTATTTGGATGGCATGCATATTTGTGGTATGATAAGGTCAAAGCACATAAAGCATTTAAAAATCATATTGTCAGGAAAGCATTGTTTAATGTCTGGATAAGATATAAAGACCTACTGGAAAATAAAACCCCAAGGTGGCTGTCACCGATGGAAGCGAAAGCTCTGAAAAAGCTCAATATGGAGGCCAAATGGCCGAAATATTGGGAAATTCTGGAACAAGAGGGAGACAGATTGAAACTGCAGAGTTTTGAAAAACTAAAAAATAAAGTGCGAGATTGGCTTCATTATTATCAGATAATGGAGGCATATAATTTGGACAAGAAAATTGGCTTCCAGGTGGAAAAATCAAAATTAGAAACAGAACTGTTAGAACCCAAAACGAAGATTTTGTCAAAGATGTATAACTTGCTGTTGAAATGGAATACTCAGGATGAAACGGTTAAATCTGCTATGATTAAGTGGGCACAAGATGTTGGACATAACATAATGATGGCTGACTGGGAACAGTTATGGACCACAGGTATGAAGTTCACGGCATGCAATGCCTTAAGAGAGAATATTATGAAAATGATATACAGGTGGTACATGACACCAGTCAAGCTTGCAAAAATCTATCATTTGCCCGATAATAAATGTTGGAAATGTAAAGAAACTGAAGGCACATTCTTTCACCTTTGGTGGACGTGCCCAAGGATTAAGGCTTTCTGGGAGATGATCTATAATAAAATGAAAAAGGTATTTAAATATACCTTCCTGAAGAAACCAGAGGCCTTTCTCCTGGGCATGGTTGGCCAATTGGTGCCAAAGAAGGATAGAACTTTTTTATGTATGCCACAACAGCAGCAAGAATACTTATTGCGAAGTATTGGAAGACACAAGATTTACCCACTCTGGAAGAATGGCAGATGAAGGTGATGGACTACAGTGGTGCCCCGCAAGACGAATACCTCGCAAGACGGAAAACCCGCTAAACGAAAGGGTTTTCCGTTTTCAATGCGCTTCGCAGGACGAATTTCCCTATGGGCTTGCTTCGCAAGACGAAAATGTCTTGCGAGTCTTGAGATTTTTTTCCGCTTCCCCCCCCCTTTTTCTAAGCCGCTAAGCCTTTAATAGCCTTTTAGCAGCTAAGCCGCTAAGCCGCTAAGCCTTTAATAGCCGCTAATAGCGCTAAGCCGCTAATAGGGTTGCTTCGCAAGACGAAAAAACCGCTAGACGAAGATACTCGCGGAACGGATTAATTTCGTCTTGCGAGGCACCACTGTACATGGAATTGGCGGAAATGACTGGCAGAATCCGAGACCAGGGTGAAGAGTCAGTGGAAGAAGATTGGAAGAAATTTAAAGACTATTTACAGAAAAATTGTAAAATTAATGAATGTTAGAATGATGTCAGAATGAAATTAAGTGGTTCTAGCAGCAGTGTCATAAAGGTATATAAAAAAATGGCTGGTCAATAGGTGAGAATTTAAAGCTATAATATATTAAGTTAAAGGTCTAAGACAAAAACAAAGAGGGAAAGGAATTGCTGAATTAACCAATTGAACTGGAATACAAAAAAGGGAGGTGAGAGGTCAGGAAGGCAAGGAAATGAAATATAAGATACGAAAGGATAAATTTGTTTCTAAGTGTTCTTTCTATATTCTTTTTTATACTTTGCATTTTGTATGTTTTTTCTCTTTTTTTTCTTTTTCTATATTTTTCATTGTCTTTTATGTAACTTTTTGTTTTTGAAATCTTAATAAATATCATTTTTTAAAAAAATAATATTGTATGTAAAAATGCTGTATACCAGGCATAGGCAAACTCGGCTCTCCAGATGTTTTGGAACTACAACTCCCACCATCCCTAGCTAACAGGATCATGGAGCACCATATGTTTTACTCTCCCAGCCACTGCTCTCATTGGCTGAATTGCCCCTCTAAGTATTGCAGTATAGTAGTGCCGTATTAGAGGGAGCTTTGTGTACCTGTGGCTTTTGAAGCAGACTGTATTTTCACTAGATTAGGTTATAAAAAAGATTGTGCTAAATTAGCTGATAAATCTAGGGGGATAACTTAGTGGTAGTTGAGAGAAAGCTCTTAGATTTTTATTTTTTGAAATGTTTGTTAATTTCCTGGAACAGTGATATTTATGGTGTGTATTGATTATTTGTTGTGCTGCTACCATCTAGGCTGAGAAGTATAACTGAAAAAGGTTCTTCAGTATTTTCTAAATATATTAATAACTGCCGGGAAACACTTACTAATTGCACTGTACACAAAAATTAAGTTACAGACTGTAGCAGTCTAATGTGAACAATGTTAGAGTGAAATATAGTGTACTTTGCATTTATTTATTTTTAATTTAAGTGGATGAAATGAGGTATTCCGTGGGTAAGTCATAGAAAAAGCGAATTGCAAATTGTAGAGTGCACAGACAGACAATAATGCATTATGGCACTGTCTTCAGCTTGTGTATCAGGACCCACTAGTGGGTTGCAGCCTGATCTAAGGTGGGTTGCAACAGGAGCACAACCACCATGCAAATATATAGTAAAAAAAAAAAAAAGGGTTCCCAAATGTATGTTTGGGTTAAAAATCCTGGAACTGAAAAGGTTGACCAAGGTATAGACCCAAGTGTGAGGGACCTTTGGCCCTGCAGATTCTGCTGAACCACAACCCCCATCACCTTTGGGGTTCAACAACATGAGGTCCACAGGTTCCTCACTTTTGCGTTAAAGTGAACCCTTCAATTTACCCATGAGAATTCATTTTAAAAGTTTGTTCTGTTAATCACTCTGCTGTGCCAATTTGCTTGTTCTGTATTGATTGTATTGGGGGGGGGACATTCTGCTTACAGGTAGAATATAGAGAAATGGATGAAAGCCTTGCTAACCTTTCTGAAGATGAGTATTACTCTGAAGAAGAAAGGAATGCTAAAGCAGAAAAAGAGAAAAAGCTGCCTCCTCCCCCTCCCCCACCACCTCCTGAGGAAGAGAATGAAAGTGAGCCAGAAGAGCCATCTGGTGAGTAAAGGGCCCCCATCCAGCAGGACAACAATGGTCTTGCACATTTGAAGGCAATATGATTGCACAGACACTCCCCATCCACTGAGTTTAACTTAGATTAGTTATGGCATGAAGGACTGAATGCCATGCAGAAGGTATGGATGATAGGCCACACATGAGCAACATTAATGTGACCCTGGAAAAATATTATTTGCTTTGAACATGTATCTTCAGATTTATTAATCAACAACCTTAATAGAGTGACTTCACTGACTCCATTGCTTCCTTACCTGGCCTTAGATTTACTATGCTCGCAATCATCTTTCTGTGGTCTGTTGAGAATCCCACATATTGGCTGATGAAATTTTCTAGCTTTGCTTTGCTAAATTGAGTCATTCTCATCTCGCTCTTTTTTTGTATTCTGGGTTTCCCCCCATACATTTTAGCTACTTGGCAACACGTTCAGTTGCCTTTAATCCTGCTAATAAAACTGGTTCTGCCTGGTCTAAAACTACTGTGAATCTTGATTTCTTAATAAAAGGGCCACTTTTATTTTTGTATGAATCTAGTTGTAGCTTAGTTCTCCCTCTATTAAATGTCAGAAGTTTAGCTTGAGGAGAGTAAAGAGTCTCGCTTATGTCCATCCCTAAAATACTGCCTCCAACTTGTAAGAATTAGTGGTTGTGAGCCAAAGCTGCACCCTGGGGAATCTCCTAGCTGGCTGACACAAAGTATGCCCTCTGTGTTTCTAAAGCTGCCTATGCCAAGCTTCAGTTGTAGGATGTTATGGCAAAATGGCAGTTGACATACCACCATGTGCTTTGGGGGGCGGCAAATTGCATTTTTCTGCATATCACACTTCCTCACAGTTTGGGCAGGGGCTGACCAGAAGCCTAGGTGGAGTTGTAGCAACCCTTTAGCCGTTGATCTCCTGGCTCTATTATTTGGGTTGAGGAGTAGGCATCAGCTGAGTGAACACAGCTTGTTTTAGGCCACTTAAGTAGGTTTCAGACAAAATATTTTCTAATTGAATTTGTGTAGGTAGACTTCCTACTTGAAAGATCTATGTTCTTACTTTCCTTGTTACATGTCATTGTCATCTGTTGCAAAAGGGGAGAAATGTCCATCTCATGCAAAATGCAAGTCTTCTGCAATTGGATATTTTTGTCAATATTTTTTTCTGCCACAAGTTTTTTCATAGCCCACATCTGCTAAGAGTTCAGCTTCATGGAGTAGATGCTAAGGACATTTCCTCTTCCCCTGGTGAAGAGGGAAGTGGATGTTTGTGCCTCTTGCTATGAGAATGGTCTAGTCATATAAGGTGCGTCTTCCAATTGGCTGCAGGAGCTTCCTGCACTCAATCGGAAGCCGCGTCGGACGTTTGGCTTCCAAAAAGCGTTCACAAAACGGAACACTCACTTCCGGGTTTGCGGCGTTTGGGAGCCATAATGTTCAAGTCACAAGGCATTCCTGAACCAAAGTACGACTGTATTTATGTTCAATGCCTTTCTGCTGTCAGTTATAAACATAAATATTTTGGGTTTGGTCCAACCTAAATTAGTTGAATTTGCTCACTGATTTCAAGTTAGTAATGACTTAATTTAGATTGACTTTGAGGGGTTTAGTGCAATGAATGTTGTAAATAAATAACTTAGTTTGGATCAAACCCATTATCTCAAATTTATGAGTATTTTCTCCCCACTTTAAGGCTCCATTCTTTCCCCATTATTCATTTTAGACATTTTGCCAGCTTTAGTCCAAAGTGCTACATGTCTGTACTCCTACACTAGTTCACCTGTACATTTCTTCTTAGTGACCTATTTTGCCTCCTTTTTATAGCAGATAACTAGTCATGTGCCAGCCTAAAATGGTAAAATCTTCAACCTCACTGCTTTGCATACTGCCCTGGAATGCGTGCCACTCCTAAGCCAAACCATGTCCTAGTGAGAGTGTGCAGGCTCCCAAAGTGGAACTCACAGCTGCCTCCCTAGTTATTTTTGCTGACACGCTGCACTGAGCTAAGCCAAGGTCTGGTTTCACATTTTGTTTGAACAGGCGCTCATGGTTAAGTATTCTCTGGACCAGGGTTCCCCAAACTTGGGTTTCCAGCTGTTTTTGGACTACAGCTCCCATCATCCCTAGCTAGCAGGACCAGTGGTCAGGGATGATGGGAATTGTAGTCTAAAAACATCTGCAGACTCAAGTTTGGGAAACCCTGTTCTAAACTAACCATGAGGAAATAACAGACCTTGGCTACAAGTGGTTGTTAGTCTGGAGTGTGCTTAACTACAAGCCTAGGTCTGGACAACACACTAAACCAAACCTTGCCTTAGCTCATAGCAGCAAAAGGATTGGGAGCCAACAGGTTTGCATTAAGCCATAGCTAGGCTTAGTGTGTTGTGCAAACCAGGCTATTGAGATAGGGACTCCTTTTTTTGCTCCTTTGTCAAGAACGACCATCTTCTTATGTTAATAGGACAGCAAGATGTTGAAATTATTGAGCACTTCAGTGTTCTGCAGATAGGCAGGAGAGCCAGAATTAGAAAAGTGAGTTGTTTTGTATGGAACATAAATTTGCTTTGTGATTTATTGAGAGAAGCTGTTTCGAAATATCCGAATAAAACATTTTAAACTCTCCACCTGCATTGTTGCGGTTTTTGGAGCTTTCCAGAAATAAATCAAAACTTTATATTCATTTAAATAAAAGAACTTTGAAAGGTATATTTTATTATATTTTTATTTTTTAAGACCCCAAAATATTTTGTGTCATTTCCCTATGTGTAAACATGGCTTTAGAGAGAAACGTTAGGATTTTATTTTATTTTTTTGCCAGCAACCCTATAGTTGTAGTTCAAGCACATGCTTTTATATTTTCCCTGCCACAAAAATGGAATGCAAATGAAATATGTTGACTTTGAAGTGAGAGTACTCTTACAAGGTTGTTAAGAAGTTAATGGTACAGAAGACTTTTGTTCAGAAATAGTTTGGTTGAGAACCAGTGTGGTGGTAATAGATAGAGTGCCAGTCTAGGGCTGGGAGAGCTGGGTTCAGATTCTATGCTAGCTCCATGCAAAACACAGTTGGCTAGTCTGTGGTTTAAGCATTGCTTCCTCTGCTCTTTCTTCACGGTAATGCCCCCTGTAATTTCACAGCTTTAGTCATCATTTCACATTGCGTATGCTCCAACATAAACTATAGATAAGACAACCCATTATTGAACTAGTTTGCACATTACAGCAAACCATTATTAAACTGTGGTTTAAGAAGTCTGAGCATCATGATGGTGCATGCTACTTATTAATGCCTTCTTTGTTCCTCTGTTCCTGTCTTTGCTGTGCTGAGAGGAAAACAAAACAGAGGCTGGCTTTGCATTTTGTATGAATCCACTTGCTTTGTTTGTTTCCTCCAAAACATTATAGATGTTAAACCAAGAAAAACCTTGCCTTTTGCTCGTGGTTTGTTTGCAGAGAAGCAAACCATGAGTACTGGTTTGCACATAATTCTAAGCTAGCCTCTAATTTGGTACAGCAAAGGCAGGAATGAGGGAAGTGGGCACTAATGAACAACACACTACTCATTCTTTTGTAATCAGAGATTGAATTTAGTATCCGCATGGTTACAAGGCAATGTGATATGTATTGGTGCGTTTATAATGCAAAATCATGTTTCATACTGGAAGTGGGGTTGGTTACACACGTGATCCTGAGGTCAGCTTCCAGTTTGCAAACAACGTCTTGCAAGGAACTAGCATTCTGTCTGCTCAGAACCCAAGTGACATTAGCCAGTGCTAGGAATTGGGATAGAAAAGCTTGGAGCCAAATGGCTTCTGGGACCTGGGTTGTGGGTGCCAGAATGTCTAGTCACCACTGGGGGGTGGGGTGGTTAGCAACACACTTTATTATTTTGATAAGCATGAATTAATACGTAATTCACATGTGACACATTGGGAGGGTAAAATGTGGGGAAGACCCGTAAGGATAAATAATGGGTTACCTAAAGGACGTAAATTTAAACACACAGATTTGCTGTGTGGTTGTTTTTTTAATAAAATCCTTTTGGGTAAAACAAATGTTGATGAATTTCCCCATTATGATTGGAGAAATATGCTTGGCTAAGCAATTTAAAATCCTGTTTTACAACTCCAAATGCTTCATAGATATGTGTGAAATAGTATAGTTTGAGGTTGAATCCTGACAAGACAGAAGTACTGTTCTTGGGGGACAGGAGGTGGGCAGGTGTGGAGGATTCCCTGGTCCTGAATGGGGTAGCTGTGCCCCTGAAGGACCAGGTGCGCAGCCTGGGAGTCATTTTGGACTCTCAGCTGTCCATGGAGGCACAGGTCAAATCTGTGTCCAGGGCAGCTGCTTACCAGCTCCATCTGGTACGCAGGCTGAGACCCTATCTGCCTGCGGACTGCCTCGCCAGAGTGGTGCATGCTCTGGTTATCTCCCGCTTGGACTACTGCAATGCGCTCTACGTGGGGCTACCTTTGAAGGTGACCCGGAAACTACAACTAATCCAGAACGCGGCAGCTAGACTGGTGACTGGGAGCGGCCGCTGAGACCACATAACACCGGTCTTAAAAGACCTACATTGGCTCCCAGTACGTTTCCGAGCACAATTCAAAGTATTGGTGCTGACCTTTAAAGCCCTAAACAGCCTCGGCCCAGTATACCTGAAGGAGCGTCTCCACCCCCATCGTTCTGCCCGTTCACTGAGGTCCAGCGCCAAGGGCCTTCTGGCGGTTCCCTCATTGCGAGAAGCAAAGCTACAGGGAACCAGGCAGAGGGCCTTCTCAGTAGTGGCGCCCGCCCTGTGGAACGCCCTCCCTTCAGATGTCAAAGCGATCAACAATTATCTGACATTTAGAAGACATCTTAAGGCAGCCCTGTTCAGGGAAGTTTTTAATGTGTGATTTTAGTGTATTTTTGGTTTCTATGGAAGGCGCCCAGAGTGGCTGGGGAAACCCAGCCAGATGGGCGGGGTACAAATAATAAATTATTATTATTATTATTATCTGCTAGAAAGAAAACCTTTGCAGTAAATGTGTAGTTCTGTATTTCTGTGAAGCCCATTTTAATTGAGGGGCAGAGGAGAGTGTTGGTTAGAATTGGAGTTTGCGGGAGGCACAAGTTGTGCGTTTCCACACAATAAGTGCAATCTGCTAGTTCACTTTTCCATAATAGAATGGAAAGAATGTTACACACGCATGCACACATGTTACCTATGGTCTGTTTTCATTTTTTATGTCAGTAGTCAGTAACTGTTGTGGCTGAGGAATCAGATTGAGTACCACTGTTGAGCAGGAAGCCAAGTCCCAGGATTCTATCTTCTGTACTTCCTCTCTGCCTTTGCATTCCTTTCTTAGTGCATGTGTCTTTCACTGTGCTGCCCCTTCATGGCCCATATTACTTCATTGGCAACTAAAAAGGGCAAACTGGGGCAGGGGGATAATATCTGTTCTTAAAAAATTCCAAGCATAATAAAGACACATGTCCATATGGCCCTTGCATTTTATTGGGATCCCCTCTTCTGAAAAAAAGGAGACTGAAAGAAAAAGTGAAACAGTGCCAGGAGCAGGTCAGAAATAATTCACATGGCTTCAGTGAAGTTAACTCTTTAGTCAGAGGAACAAGGCAGCTTAGGAGGTCAGGCCTAGAGAGCACAGCAACACTGGGTAGCTCAGTTGGTTATAGCATGGTGCTGAAAATGCCAAGGATGCACAAATTTATATATTATTTGAAAGAAAACTGTAAACACCTGAAAACGTTTGTAACTTTAACGTGAAATGTTTTGTAATGATGAAACAAGGAGCTAATTTATAAATGAGAGGGTGATTTTTAAATGATTATATAAGATAAAGAAGTTATTATAGAAATGTGATAAATATGTTAATGTTATAGGAAAGTCAGAAAAGAGGGAGGGAAGGTCATTGCTCTTTTTGAGTAAAAATGTAAGCTTTGGATATGTATTATGAAATGAATGAAATATGGAAAACTCAATAAAAATCATGATAATAAAAAAAAGAAAATGCCAAGGATTCAGGTTCGATCCCCTTAAGGGACAGCTGCACATTCCTGTATTGCAGGGAGTTGGACTAGATGGTTCTCAGGGTCCCTTCCAACTCTTGTGATTATGATTATCCTTCCTGATAGAACCTGCCCCTATTTGCAAGGACCGAAGGTCTCCTTCACATCTCTATCGTCTCCTCTTCCCCCAGTTCCTTTCCAAGCAATCTGAGGCTCCTTTGTCTTCAGCCTGGCTTCCTAACCAGCCTGACTCATTGCTGCCCCTATGCTCCCCTCCTCTACAGCCTCCTTTTCTGCCTCTTGCTCTGGACTGCTCTCTGCCACAGACTCTTCCTTCTCACTAAACCCTGTTAACCCTTCAACCCAAAGCCCTGCTGTTCAGAAACTACGTTTCCCTTCCCACTTGTAGGTGCATTATCTCATGCAAGTTGAGCTTTTGTACTTTAAAATAAAAAAGTGCTTTAAAATAAAGAAAGTGCCAACAACACGTTGCTGCTGCTTTCTGCAAAAATCTGATGGGAATGGATAGATGTCTGTCAAAGAAACAAGACATAGTCCATTCCTCTTACCCTTTTGCAAGCGACAGGGAGAAGTTGCTGCTTTCTCCCAAATGCCAACCCACAGGGAGAAAATCTACACTGGTTCTCTGCTGCCCCAAGCACAGGAAGAAAAGGTGGTTTCACTCTGTGTTGGGGCTTTTGCAGAAAGCCCCAGCTTTGCCTCTTTGTTGCCTCTTGTAAAAACCTAAGGGGAAGAGAGTAAAGTTGCCTTTTTCATTAACTGACCTCCATTGCAAAAAGAGCCAGTAGTTGCTTTCTCTTTCCCTTATTTTCTTCACAAAGAATGGGGGAAAGTGAGAAGTGGCTTCACACCTGCAGATTGTGCTTTTGCAGAATATGCAAAGCATTGTCTTGCTGCTTCTGCCTCCTGGAAACTCGCAACAGAAAGCAAAGAAGCGAGATCTTGTCTTGGCAGAGGAGAAGGGAGGGTTTCTCTTGCTTCCTATTGAGCTTTTAGAGGTGGTAGCAGCACAGACAACGTTCTGCTGGTGTTTTCTGCAAAACTACAGCTTGCAAGATGAAAACCTCTTCTTTCTCTACCCCCACCCCCAGTCAGTACAAAGAAAAGGAGTGTTTTTTTCTCTTTTCTCTTTGTGCTTTTGCAACAGGTAGCACTAGGGCTGCTCAATACCCTTCTTTTCTCTGAGTTGAGGAAAAGAGGGTTTTCATCACAGTAATAGTAAGCCAGCCAAAACATGTCACCACTGTTCAAAGTGCCCTTTTCACCATATGAAACAGAAAAGATGGGTATAGTAGTTCATTGAGAATAGATAGCCATGATATGGCTCCTACTGGGTCTGATTACCAAATCTTTTGAAGTTTTACCGTGTTCAGAGTAGGCCAGAATGGTATGGTGAGCTGCTTACTGATATGTTAGTATATGGTTCAAATATGCTCCCCTGTTAGCTCCCCTTCAGTCCTGAAAGGTTATTTTGCATGTAGGAGACCTTTATTAATCATACTCGTTCAGAGAATTGGAGCTTCCCATAAGGTACTGTTTTGGAGGCATGTTGATGTAGGCATAGCCTAGCAATGTGTAGCTGAGGAGCAGCAGTGTATTCCCAATCCTTTTCCTTTTAGAGATGAATTACATAGTTAGAAGCAGTAGAATGAAGCTCAGGCCTGGTGTGTGTATGTATAGATATATAGATACACACACACACACACACACACCAGATATATAGATATATGCCACTATAGTTTAGTGGTATACATACATATAACACTAAACTATAGTTTGATGTTACAGGAATGATCCTGCTTCAACTCAAGTTATCCCATCTCCCATTCCTCCTTCCAGGCACGGCTAAGGAGATTTGAAGCATTCAATTCCGGTTTAAATGAAGTGTAGCTTCTTATTGCCTTCACTATGATTTATTGAAACAAGCACGGATCAAACCATGGCTTCTCACCCTGGCTTGTTTAAATAAACGGTAGTTGAAACTACGGTAATTACAGTTTGCCTTTATGACCCACAGTGACAAACTGCTGTCACTTTAAACCAATTCATCCTGGTTGTGTGCCTGGGTGTGTGGTGGGGCTTACTGGGCGTGCTCATTCCCATAATGTAAGGGAGAGATAATTTAAATACTTATTTCAGGGACATGTTTTTCATGCTTTCTCAGGATCTGTTGAAAGCTCTAAATCCTGTAGTTCAGTTCTTTATATGTGTCAACAGTACGCTTATGGGTGAATGCTAGCACAGTCAGCGTAAATGTTATTTAGTATTTGTGTAGTTGTAGCCTGCATATAGAGTCAGTGAGTTTCTAGCCTTAATATGTTTGTAGCTTGTAGAAGAGAAGTAAGATAGCATCAGATTGGTTCATGTTTCCAAGCAAGACTTGGCTAAGCCGTAACAGATCCTTGGTGTTTCAAACCCTTGGCTAGACTGTCCATCTACATATTCTTCCTACTGGTCACAGGAAGTATTATCTTTATTTTGTACTAATCTGTTTAAAAAATTGTTTCATAAATTTTTAACAGCTAGGTGCCCTGCCAATACGGTGTATATCTATTGCTCGTGCCCCGCAGGAGTCTGACAAAGGGTTCCAACAACAAGGATGAAGCATTAGAAGATTGCAGAGTGTGATGCCCTTGACCCACATTCCAGAAGATGGAATTCTCAGGAAATGTCCCCCCACTAGTTGGTGAACTACTAAACCTGAATCGCCAGCTATCAGGCCTTCATGTCCCCAAATGACTTGAACTTGTGGAGCAAGGTCCCTGAGATCTCCTCTTTCCTTCCACAGGGCAAGCAGGAGGACTTCAAGACGACAGTTCTGGAGGGTATGGAGACTGCCAAGCATCAGGTGAGGGTGGCGTTTGATGCTTGCCACTTAGTAGCAAGAGCCCCCAAAATCAGGGATTGATGCTTGCAAGTGCATGTGTGGGGTGGTGGTCAGGTTTTAGCATGAGGCGCAGGAGAAATGCATTTGCCCACTGAAAAGGAGGGATTTCTATTGCAGCTGGAGAACATGATGGGAAATTAAAAGAACTCTGAAATTCATGGGACAGATTTCATAGCTTCACCCCCCCCCTTCCCTGTGTTTGGTAGAGAAAACAAAGTCACTTTACAAGTTGAAGGGGCACTTAGACTCCCTCCTTTCAGAGCTGTAGGACTTTTTGCACAGTGTGACTCTGTGTGGGATTCCAAGGAATGATATTGAGAGGAATATCTTTTTTCTAGTTAGTTGCTGTATGTTTACATAGAATTAGGGAGGAAAGCCCCAGTGAACTTTGTGAGACTTAATTCTCAGTAAACATGCAGGAGGACTTCAAGTGGATAGTTCTGGAAGGCATGTGGACTCTCCTTCCTTGAAGGTTTTCAAGCAGAGGTTGGATGGCCATCTGTCATGGATCCTTTAGCTGAGATTCCTGCATTGCAGGGGGTTGGACTAGATGACCCTTGGGTCCCTTTCAACTTTATGATTCTATGATTCGATGCATAGGAATGTATTGTAAGTGATATAATAGCCTCAGGATATGCAGACTGTTTTAATTTGGTTTCTTTAAGAACACCTCAGATAGTTCCAGATGATGCACATGGGCTTGAATTTATGTCTAAGAAATCACAATTTTGAAAGCTCTTTTTGGTTCATGAAATGAGATTATGGAGTTGGCTCTAGGTACATTTGAAATTGTAAAACCAGTGCCGATAAGACATGGTTTCTAGATACGGTAGATTTAGGGGTGCATGGTTTTCAATTTTTTCTTCAATTTATTTCCAAACCAATGCATGTGTTAGATATATGACTTCTTCAGCTTCACTGATTTGTGTGAGTGGTGGAGCAAGAGAGCAAGATGTAAATGATTAGAAATTCAGCCTGAAATCTCCATGGTAGTTTAGCTATGTCAGTAGTCAGACAGTTCTTACTTTGAAATGTATTGTAAGCATTATAAGTACTTCTTGAAAGGTTTGCAGTGTTGGCTTTTGAAAGAGTGGGCAGGGAAAATGCTTGGCTGCATTTCTGATGCAGTTTGATGAAGCTTTAAAGATTTAAGGTTTGTGTACAAATATTTCAATGGGTTGTTTTTTTTAAATGTCTCAACAAGGTGTTATATTTATATGTGTGATTATTTTGAGTCCTTAAGTGGAGACTGCCTTATTTTATTTTATTTTTAAATAATTTTTATTAACCGGCCAATCAAATCAAATTAAATCACATCACATAAATTCCGAATTACAAAGCCGAATTTTAAATTTTGTTGTTGAGGGGACCCATATTTCAAGATCCGAAGGGGGATTCTGATCATCTTCTTGCTACTGCTTTAATATCCAAATCAGTCCAAACAGAGTTCATAATTCTATTCAGTCTTGCTGTTTCCACATCACATCTTGTTCATATATTTTCTCTTTTTTCTTTATGATCTCTCCTGATAGTCTCCTTAAGCCGATAAACACCAATAATAATCCTGTGTGAATTTTTCCGTTCTTCCAATCCTCAAATCGAGATGGTTTCCATATATCATCGCCTTCATAGATGACATCGCTCGTTCCATCATTAATTACAGAACTGTCGTTCTGAAGTCCCTCTGAGGAGTTTCACCCACAATATAAAAACAGCTCTATTTCTCCTCCCAGACTTAAGTCCTCCGACAGAACTTCCCAATATGGCGACGGCATTTTTAACTGCGTCATTCCAAAGCCCTTATACATTCCACGCTCTTCTTAAAACATGCTTTGGTTCAAAAGTTTATTTCCACACAGCCTTAAATCCACAGCTTAAGTCCTTAAAACGACATTTCTGACTTGTGAGGGGAGGGGATTCTTGTTTAATCACATAAGGAAAGAAAGGAAAGGTGTTTTTTTTCCCCTCCCCCATCGGTCGTCAGTCCCTTTACCATACCGAGTCTTGGCGTATCTTCTCATAATCTATACTTGTTCCTCCGACTCGTCTTGTTTTATCAGAGATCTCTTCTGTTAGCAGTCTTTACTCCCCCTCCTTCCTTGAAATATGTGCATTCGCTTCATCCAAATCGTTTCTTTTGAAGTTCTTGCAGCTAGTGGCGCGGATCAGAGACGGCATCCAGGAGCGCCGAAATCCCACAGGAGGGCTTTGTGCCTAGTGCCCCCATCCCCACAAATTCGGGGGGTGGTATAGGGCACAGCAGGCAAGGGCAGTCCCCCCCACCATCCTGGGGGGGTAGGGAGGCTAATTACTCCCATCATAGCCTCCAAATTACCTCGTGTGGGTCGGAGAGATGTTATTGTCAGCCATCTTCTGATGCGCCCCCTAGTGGCCCCCTCAAGTGGAGACTGCCTTAAATCACTTTTTCTGAATTTGGGATGAGTGGGTCATTTATTTGTTAAATTGTATCCTGCTTTTCTTCCATAGAGGAGGGAGATCCAACATATTTGGGTTTCCCAGGCAGGCTGCTATTCAGTGCTTGCCTGGCTCACCGCTAAGCGTCAGACTTCAGAAATGGAACTGTGTCAGTACGTTTGTTTTGTTTTCTGGGCAATCTTTTGGAAGGCAGGAGTTAACACACACATAAGCCAGATATGCACCTTGATTCAGGCCACATGATGGCATCATTTCCAAGTCATGCATTAGAAGTGGATTTCTGTCATTGCCAGAGATTGGTGTGACTGATTCCTACCCTCAAACTTTAGGAACCAGCCAGAGATGGAAAAACTCAAGCTCAAGGGCCAGCCAAATGCTGATCTCCAGGCCCTTGGGTTTCTGCCCAGGCCACAGCCCTCACTGCTCTACACCCTCCAGTGATTTTACCTGGCTGGAATGTGTGCTTGATCTGTGATAATACCTCTTGCTTTCCTGGATGGAGAGTATTGTGCATCTAGCCACACCTACACTTCAACCATACCCACCACTTGTGTGTAGCCCGCAGAAGATCACACATGGAGTGTTGCCCTCAGGCAGAAAGGGTGCCCCAGCTCTACTTCAGACCCATGGGACCCTGCTAGCATTTTCTTTTTCATATACAGTACTTCCATTTTGGTTGAATGCTGCTAGGGTATATTTTTGTCTTTGGCATAACTGCACACATTGACATAGAGGAGCTTGCTTTATGAATTGCTATTCCAAACAAAACATTTGAAAATAGTTTCACCTGTATCAGGATTTATTTAGCTGGCTCCACACCAGGAAGACTTTCTTAAGTGAAATCTGAAAGCTGTTCATCATACTGATCTATATTAAAAATGTGCACTGTGTGCTGCTGATTATATTCTACACACTTGACTTGATTTACAAGTTACTTCCTCAGTGTACAATGAGTTCCTGAGCAAGATAAAGCAGACGAGCCTTTAATATGTGGACTTGGAAACTAGTTCTTTGATGTTACACTGAACTGTGTGTTGACGGCTGCTCTGTGCTAAAACACCCATGCTTAAATAAACTCTGCAAGTTTGCACTCTTCCTTATTTTGTGTGTTTCTGCCATACAATTTTAAGCTTAACTGCAGGTATAAGGCCTAGAGATCTGATTACTTAAAATAAAATTCTAACATCTCAAGGTACTGAATTATATGGCAGAAACCAAATTCCAGCAATTGCACTCTGTGGCAGCAAATAATTGAACATTGAATTGTATCAAATACCTTTCCAAAATATGTAACCATAATGCGCTTGCAGCTGAAAGAGACTGATTTTCATAGGGGAGAACACGATGCTGGACTTAGATGGGAAGATCTAGCGCAACTCTTTTCTGTTGAATTTGTGTAACTAGTAGACTGCAACTTCTCAAATCTGCTGGCTGGATTTATATATTTTTTAAAAATAACTGCGCTCTTGGGAGCTTGCCATGTTATGAATATTTATGTAGTGAATGTGTAAACCACCCTTCATGACAAAACTGCCGGTGGCTTAGGTGGCTACAGCAGGTGGTTGCCAATGTGCCTGCATGCCCATCAGTACCTCCTCTGGCACCCATGAAGGGTCTAAATAAATATCCTCTCAAAAATCCACAATGCATGGGAGACGGTGTTCCTCTTGGCACTAGCTTCACCTCATAAACACGCTCCCATTTCTTGGATGGCAGTGTTAGTCACCCACTTCTGTTTCATTCTGAACAGAAGAGAAGTACAAAGTGCTTCTCTCTGTGAAGCTGGTGTACATTTCATTTCCCCATTGATGTGGGGCATTCCGGTACTATTTTGTTGTCCTGTCTTTATTCTGTTCTTCTAGATGTGGCAGCCATTTTGTGTTATGCTACCACCCCCACAATTTTGTACTATGCCATGCCCTACTGCAGCCATTTTCTGACTGGTGCCCTTGGCACTTCCTCAAAATTCCAAATGTTCTCTGTAGATTTAGTTGGCAAAGGCAATTGCTCCATCCTCAGGATGCCCACTGCAAAGTTCTTTCCTGATTTTCCAGCATATTTGAGAGAAAATGAGGAGGAAGGGAGTTCCCCTCCCCTCCATGTTGTGGTTTTCCAGAAAGCAGAAGCTTTGAGGGCAAACTGTGCAGGAAGTGAGATAAGACCCTGTTTCTTGACCAAGTCTATACAGCACGGGCAGATAAGCGAAGACAACTGGGATTGGGGGCTGTCAGGGTGGCAAGGAAGGGACTGGTGACTACTATGAAGTCAATGCTTCAGTGTGGATATATGTTTGAAAGTACAAGGTTGGAATGTAGTTACCTGAAGCAAGCATTAAAAAGTACAGAAAACTTGCAAGAAGAAAATGTACTCCTAGGAGAAAAAGTTACCAAGGGAAAGGAAGGTGAAGCAAAGCTTGTGGCGAGCAGGAAAAGGAAAGTTTGCTTACCCAGCCACAACTACAACCCAACATTATGGCCATATTTGCAGGCACATTCCTACCATTGGTGGACATCTTGCTAAGAATATTTATAATAACTGTATTCAGTTGTCTGAAAGGTAGGGCTGCCATACTTTATCTAACCAACTGAGCTAACTGAGCCCCATCGTTTTAGATTTCCATTCTGTTGTTCCCCACAGAAGATTAAGTTAACCAGTGGGGTATAACACCCGTCACTTGTTTTGGACTGTCACGTTTCTTCCTTAGTTGACTCATTTTCTCCCAGGTTTAGTTTGTCCTTTGAATGCGTTTTCAGCAATGCCAAACTGAAATGCGTTTTCAGTTGTCTTGTGTCCGTCTGAAGAGCATGGTCTGTCTATCCCTAACTCATCATTCAGAGCTGTCGTTATTGCTCTTGCAGGAGACATTTATCAGTGCATTTGTCACTACATGTCTGCCATCATCTCTTGGGATTGTTCTTCACAGATATTAGCCAGTAGCCTTTACACAAGGCTTGTTCTTAGTGTTGCTTATTGTCCAGATCACTCATTGTATAAAGGCACAGAGTATTTGGGCAGAATTCAGTAACTTAGCCACTGAAATTTGAGTTAAACTTGGAAGCTATTTTGTTTTTAAGAAACTTGCACAAGTTAAATTTAGCTTTGATGGCCTAATATGTATTAGAAAAGCAATTTATTTCGTGTATCACATTACAACTTTTAAGTCCATACTGTGTTTCTAACATTGTTAAGATTCCAAGTTTTTTCCATTTTCAGTGTAGTGCAAATACTTAGGCTGTCATTATAAGTTTGCATATTCAGCCTGAATTCCTAGAAATACTTAATAGGGAATACAATGAACCTTACTTGGATACAGTGGACCTTACTTCTGAATAAGCATGCATAGGAGTCTGCTTTCAGTTATATTCCCATTGATTGCAGTGGATAATGATCTACATGCAACTGCCTCAATGAACATTTGAGCAATCATGTAAATTATTTGTAGGATTTTAATCTTATGCACTCAGGTCTGTGTTGAAGCATCAGTGTAGAACCAATTACTAGATCTGTATTTTGTGACCTTTTAGCACTTTACAGCATTTAGCTGTTTTCATTTCTGAAGAACTTAATACCTAAATGATGCTCATTCTTGCAATAGGAATGAGTGTTATTTTTAGGGCATTTTATGAATTCAGAGAAGCCGTCTGTTAATTGCACATGAAGTTGTTGCAGAGTTTTAGCCCACCCACTTTTGGGTAGGTGACATTAAAAACAAAAAACATTTCAATATAAACCTGCAGTTGTTTTTACTTCTGGCAAAAACCACTTGCTATTTCAATCAATCACCTTCTCAGCCTTACTAATAACTGGAAATGTCAACGATAGCTTAACTGTTTTTGACATTGTAAAATCGGAAATGAGCAATTTTGTGCACTCAGCACAAGTTGTTGTAGAAGAGAAGGGCTTCTGCCATAGAGACATTAAGACCTCAGTCCTAAACCCACTTATCTGTGGGTGAGCCCCATTGAACCTTCTGTGACTTACATGTGGGTAAACTTACTTAGGAGTGCCTTGTAAAAGGTGGGATTTGGTAGGGCTGTCTCCTGATATTTAGAAAAAAATTAAATGATAAAAATTGTAAGTAAATCAAATTAATATTTGTGAACATTTGCATATGATTAAACAGATGTTGGATGACCATCTGTCACAGATGCTTTACTTGAGATTCCTGTTTTGCAGAGGGTTGGACTAGATGATCCTCAGGATCTCTTCCAACTCTGATTCTATGATAAATTAATATTTTTAATAGAAAAAGTATACTTTGGGTGGTTGTCAGCTAAATTAGAATAATCCCACTGAAATTAATGAACATGAGTTAGTTAGGGACATTAATTTCATTGGGTCTACTCTGAGTAGAACTTCGTTGGCTACAATCCATAGTTGTTGGTTTTCTGTTTTTAAATGATTGCCCAGTTACAGATGCCCATTGCATGTATTGAAATTTTTAAAAATTGGTTAATCTTATAGATTAATCAATGAAGGATTGCATTCCTAGATTTTATTGAAGATGAGTTACATTGCCTCCTTTCATTCCAATCCAAAATGCCTCTAAAATGCAAGGGTGTAAAAATGAAATGCCTGGGTATGGAATTAGTGTTTCAGTGTTGCCCTCAGATTAATTTTTTTTAAAAAATGATATTTATTAAGGTTTCCAAAAGAAAAGAAAAGTTACATATATAAGAAAAAGAAAAATAGAAAAAAGAAAAAATGCAAAATACAGAAAAAAGAAAAAAGACTTAAAAAAACAAATCATTCTTTCCATACCTTACTTTTCATTTACTTGTTTCCCTGACCTCCTCACGCCTCCCTTTTTTGTATTCCAGTTCAGTTAATTAATTCAGCAATTCCTTTCCCTCTTTGTTTTTATCTTAATCCTTTAACTTAATATATTATAGGTTTAGGTTCTCGCCTGTTAACAATCCATTTTTACATACTCCTTTGTAACATTGCTGCTAAAACCACTTAACTTCATTCCGACATCATTCTAACATTCATTAATTTTACAGTATTTCTGTAAATAGTCTTTAAATTTCTTCCAATCTTCTTCCACCAACTCTTCTCCCTGGTCTCGGATTCTGCCAGTCATTTCCGCCAATTCCATGTAGTCCATCACCTTCATCTGCCATTCTTCCAGAGTGGGTAGATCTTGTGTCTTCCAATACTTTGCAATAAGTATTCTTGCTGCTGTTGTGGCATACATAAAGAAAGTTCTGTCCTTCTTTGGCACCACTTGGCCGACCATGCCCAGGAGAAAGGCCTCTGGTTTCTTCAGAAAGGTATATTTAAATACCCTTTTCATTTCATTATAAATCATCTCCCAGAAAGCCTTAATACTTGGGCACGTCCACCAAAGGTGAAAGAATGTACCTTCGGTTTCTTTACATTTCCAACATTTATTATCGGGCAAATGATAGATTTTTGCAAGCTTGACTGGTGTCATGTACCACCTGTATATCATTTTCATAATATTCTCTCTTAAGGCATTACATGCCGTAAACTTCATACCTGTGGTCCATAACTGTTCCCAGTCAGCCATCATTATGTTATGTCCAACATCTTGTGCCTGCCCTCAGATTAATAGTCAAAAACCTGTTTGGGGGACTTAGGTGGTGGTGTGAGGAAAAGAACTTTGCTAATGTAAATTGGATTCCCCCCTGCAAGTAATCCTGTGTAACAAATACATTTTGGCATTCTTGATTAGATTGTTGCATTGATGCTGGTTGCAAATCGCTTGGGTTTCTAGGTTAACCATTAAGATGTACCTTGACGTGATAGCCTTCCTTCCTCAGTCTTCATGATCCTGGAGTCTGACCCCTTTTTTTTACTTCCACCATTCTGTCTTCCCCCTATTCCTACAGATGTACCAGACAACTTAGCCTCTCCTGAGGTCTGTGATTGCCTCCTGGTCTCAGTGGGTTGCTGCTGTTGACCGAACTGCCCTACACTCCAGGTCCTTTTGTGCTCCTTGCCTCCTGCCATCCCATACCTGGTCATGCCTGACCTGATTCCTTTGTTCATCTGTGTCCTTGCTGTTCCTGAGAGGCAGCTGTGCACTCACACAATGAAGATAACTTCTCCTATCCACTATTGACAGCAAAAGTGCTCTGCTTTCTGTACAAAGCACTTTGGTAGTTGCCTGCTGTTAGGCTGGCTATATGAATGCTTGCCCAATCCCCCCCACCGCACCCTGTTCCACAGTTGTCCACAGTGGCTAACTTTTAAATGGGCAATTATTGCATTCTCTGCACTTTACAGTATATAAAATCAAGAACTTTGCTGTTGGTTGATCTGCCTAACTGCACTGTGACACTGTGAATGTGTTCATACACATTTGAGTGCTAGCTTGTTAAGTTGTGTCTTGCATTAATATTTCAAAGAACTAAGTTTTAAAAAGTAAGGAGGTCCAAATATTTTGCAGGCAGACACAGTTTGAGGTGACACACCTACACTTCTTAGTCAGGGATGAAAGTGTCTCCTGAGTTGCAGCATCCTGGCTTCCCGGGTGTTTCGGCAGTACTTGTCACGTGTGGGTTCTTTCATTGTAGGTGTGGAAGGTGCCGCTTTCCAGAGCAGACTTCCACATGATCGGATGACGTCACAAGAAGCTGCTTGTTTTCCGGATATCATCAGTGGGCCGCAGCAGACTCAGAAGGTGTTCCTTTACATCCGAAATCGGACGGTATGTTGATTGCTAAAAGTTTGATGGAATATTCTCAGTGGTCTTTGGTACTGGGGTCTTTAGTTTTAGGTGGTGGTGGTGGTTGTTAATTGAATTTATATACTGCCCTATACCAAGAGGTCTCAGGGCGATTCACAGAAAAGATTCACAGAAAAGGTTGTGTATGCACTATTTCTTCAAAGCACAATCTTTCCCTCAAAGAATTCTGGGCACTGTAGTTTGTTAAGGGTTACTGTGAATGGTAATTCAGGGCGGGGTTAAACCACAGTGCCCAGAATTCTTTGAGGGAAAGAAGTTTGATTTTTTTAATGTGCTTTAAAGGTATAGCATTTACACAGACTAAGACTCCAGAGTGAGGAAGCCACACACAGTCCTCAGGGCCAAATATTCAGATGCACCAGCTTCTTTAAAAAACTACAGCCAACCAGTCTCAGGAGGTCTGGATAAAGAAAGCTGGTAGGCATGGAGACAAGTTATAACATTGCCAGTAATTAAAATGTTGAAAATATTTCAGATTCTTTAAAGAAGCCCATTCTGCTCCAAACCCAGCTGTCCAAATACTGATTCTTGTGGCACATCCTGACAAACATTCATTTTATTAAGAACAGAATTTGTAGCCTTCCATGGCATTTGCATTTTAGGGCATTGACTACTCAGATGAACTGTGCAGCCCAATTAACTTCTGTTTCATTAGCCATATTCTTTTCTGAACATGACTGGGGAAGCATGCCAGTCATTTCACTTCATTAAGCACAGGGTTCAGGGCACTTTTTCAGCTGGGGGCTGGTCCACTGTCCGTCAGACCTTGTGGGGGGCCGGACTATATATATATTTTAAAATGAACGAATTCCTATGCCCCACAAATAACCTGAAGATGCATTTTAAATAAAAGGGCACATTCTACTCATGTAGAAACATGCCGATTCCTGGATGTCCACGGGCCGGATTTAGAAGGCAATTGGGCCGGATCCAGCGCCCAAGCCTTAGTTTGCCTACCCATGATTAAGAAAGTTACCGATAGGCAGCATAATCACTGCACATTAGAATTCTTAAGTAGCCACAAAGCATATATATGAAGGGTTTTTCCCCTCAATGCTTTCTAGTAATTACTAGCTCAGTTACAGAATTTACAACAGTTTTGTATGTTTGTGTCATTCAAATAGTTGCAGCTTTGGTTGGATAACCCAAAGATTCAGTTGACGTTTGAAGCAACACTACAACAGTTGGAAACACCCTATAATAGTAAGTTGCCGTTCTTACCTTGCGCATAATTGTAAGCTCCTTGGGGTGCTTGACTAGTAAAGCTGGATAAAGAAAATAATAACAGTAACCCTTTTCATGTACAGTCGTACCTTGGTTTTCGAACAGCTTAGTTCTTTAACGTTTAGACTCCCGAACGCCGCAAACTTGGAAGTGAGTGTTCCGGTTCGCGAACTATTTTTGGAAGATGAGCGTCTGACGGGGCTTCCGTGGCTTCCAGTTGGCTGCAGGAGCTTCCTGCAGCCAATCAGAAGCTGCGCTTTGGTTTTCAAACATTTTCGAAGTCGAACAGACTTTCAGAACTGATTCCGTTTGACTTCCAAGGTACAACTGTAAATCCAAACTGCTGTTACAAATAGACATTTGTACAGTCAAGTCTCTTCTTCAGGTGCTGAGCAGCAAAAGCCTCTTGTGACTATTAAAAACATATTTTGCTTGTGGTTATTTCTAGGAAAGGAGTTTCCCAATTTGTGTGTGCATTGGGGAAGTTCGCTCTGAAAATGCCTTGTTTATGTACATGCCACTCAGAGCCCATGACTCCCCCATCCAGTAGATCAATATGCAAGCTATTACTGCAGGGGGAGATATCTAAGGATATGAATTCAAACTAAAGCATGGTATTTCAGAATAAGCTTTCCCCCCACTACAGTGAAACTAGCAGCATTGTAGGCCTGCTCTTCAACAGTTTGTATATTAAGAGAGTTTTCTATTTTGTAGGTGATACTGTACTAGTTCACAGAGTCCACAGCTATCTGGAACGGCATGGCTTGATCAATTTTGGCATCTACAAAAGAGTGAAGCCCCTACCAAGTAAGGAGTTCAAGTCAACACTTGTTCTTTGAATCAGAACGTGTCATTTACTTCATCATTACAATAAAGATTTGGCGGTGGGTGGGATGGTTAATTGTTCATTTTCAGGCTTGATCTGTCATACGTCACTGTCTGGAGTGCAGACTCACCTTTGCGGTTTATGCCATATATAAATTCAGTTTGAAGCCCAGTGCTCTTTCTGCAGCCCAGCATGTCTGTTTGCCTCCTATGTTGCAGTCCTTCATTTGCAGCTATTTGAATACAGTTTTCAGACTAGACCAAACCCTTCAGCTGCTAGTTCTCATCACTAATATATTTCTCATTCATTTATTGTGTTTACATCTTGTCTTTCTTTCACTAGAGAAATTCAAGGCAGTTAACTATAAAATCAAAATGGTTCAAAGCAGTCCAGTGGAAGGAGCCTCATCCTTTCTTTTCTCCTTCAAAATAGTCAATCACTGACGAAGCAAGAGAGGGGAGGGGTTGGAAGGCAAGCAGGCAAATGCGCTTTCTGATAAGCTGCATCATCTGTTTACTGTGTTGTCCTGTAGATCTGAGTGCCTGGCCTTGTGGCGCTGTCTGCCCGTCAAGTTCAGAGGGTTACTATTTATGGAATTCTGACCCTTTGGAACAATTACTTTTCTGTCAGGGTTCCAGGTTTGATCCAAGAGTTCTTTCCGGGTTGCTGATTTTCTGATGCATCTGAAAACTTAGTTCAGGGATTTGTTCAGACAGGGGCTTGGTTTGCTTTCCCTCCTAGTGCTAGCATGCAGTGTTAAGCAATTTTCTTAATCTTGTAACCTAAAACCTCCCTCCAGCTGACAGGGAGAAAGAAAGAAACAGAAACAGTGATCATAGCTCATATTGGTTCTGGCCTTTCTCATTTTGCCAGAACCTAGCCTGGGCTAATCAGTTCACTAACATACCATTGTTTATCCATGCATTTGTGCTTTTAGCTAAGAAGACTGGCAAGGTGATCATTATTGGTTCTGGGGTCTCCGGCTTAGCAGCAGCTCGCCAGCTACAGAGCTTCGGAATGGATGTCACACTTCTAGAAGCAAGAGTGAGTGTCTTGCGCAGTATGTCTCAGCCTTGTAATTAAGTCCGGAAGTTACAGTATTTTTTACTAGGAGCCTGCTTACCCACACATACCTGCACAAATCATTTGTGGCCTCCTGACGGTTCACATGATGGCACCACACATCAAGAGCAGTAGAAAACCTCTGCTGAATGAGAAGGAGGAGGCTAAGATATACCTGGAAACTGCCTGAACATCTTTACATCCCGTTTCAGTCCCTGTCACATGTACCTTTGAGCATGGCCTCTTCTGCACATCTATGTTCTGTCTTTTGCAAAAGTGTAAGATGCAAGGGTTACGAGGACAGACTTTCTCTGCAGTGGCATTTGCAATCTGTGGCCCTCTCAGGTATGCTAGGGGGTCCTTGCTGATCATTTCCCATCACTACGTAAAAACCTTGCTTTTTGAAAAGCCTTCCATGCAGGCTGATCTATGCTGTTGTAAAACAGTAATGGCCACCAGCTTGGATGGGGTTGATTAGACAAATCCATGGGGTGTAAGGCTATAAGCAGAAACTAGCCACGATGGCTGTGCTCCACCTCCATGAATTGAGGCACTATGCTTCTGAATACCAGTTGCTGGAAACAGCAGGAAAGGAGAGTTCTATTGTGCCCATGTCCTTGCAGGTTTCCCACAGGCATCTATCTGGTTGGTTACCATGGCAACAGGATGCTGGACCAGATGGGTCATTGGTCTAACCCAGCAGCCTCTTCTTATGTTCTTAAATGTTGTGTAGCACTTTAATAAATCTTATTACCTGTTTTATTTTACTGTAGATGGTTTACCATTTTTATCATAATTTATTACTTTTTTTGATATTTTATTTTACTTTGTAAGCTGCTTTGGGGGCTGTGTGAAGAAGAGAATGAGGCACAATAATAATTTGAATAAGCACATGAAAAACTTGTTTGTTCTTATGCAGACCTGTTTCTTGTTTACAAGCCTCTTCATTTCCCCACACAGGATGCTACAGGGCCTGAGAGATGGATTTGATTAGACACAAATTACAATGAATTCAGGCAAGAGATGAGAAATGTAGAATGATTTTGTCACCAAGGGTATAGTGGTGCAACAAAAAAAAAAACAACAACCCAAAAGTTTTCTGATTCCCTGGCCTTTTGCTTCATGTTTTTAAGATACACACCTAAAATACTTTCTGTATATCTAAAAGTGCAGCTTGTATAACATGGAGTTTAGATTGACAGTGGCTCCCAATAGTGGTTTTAGGCATTGGAACTTGATTTTGCCACTGAAAAAACTGTGAAGCAGCCCACATTAACATTCATTTTTATGACTGAAGAATATCAGTGTCAAGCTTTAACCAATAACAGGGCCTTGAACCCTCTTGTACTGTTTTATTGTTGTTAGCCGCCCTGAGCCCGGCTTCAACTGGGGAGGGCGGGATATAAATAAAATTTATTATTTATTATTATTATTGTTCAGTGTCCTCTTATCCTTGACCTTACCTAATTCTTCCCGTGCCAGAGTGCTATTGCCAGTCTAGGGTAGACAATACTGAACTAGATAGACCAATAGTTTGAAATACAGGCAACTCTGTAACTGCTTCCGGCAGTGTATTTGAAGTTAGATAAATATTTACTCTTAATACTGACATGGAGCTCCCAGATAGTTTTCCGATTCATGCACTGACCAGACTGAGACTTAGTTGTATTACGTGCCTTCAGATCATGCTTGGGATTGATGAGAAGTTCAGAGTGTGGCTGCAGGGATATAGTTAATAAAGAGAAAATTAAGACAGGTGTCAGGGTAATACTTTACAGGTACAATTCTCCATCAAGCTGCTGCAGTCTGTTTCCTCTCAAGGGGCTTCCTGTTTAGTTTTAAGCATATTTGGATTTACTAACCTGTTAGTCAATTTCAACACTCTTGTTTCCTATTCTGTTTTTTGTTTTGTTTTTTACAAGAGGGTTGAGTTTTATTTAAAATTCGCTGTCCAACACTTTTTTGAAAAATAAAGCATTACTGGTAGTGTTTCAAAGGGTTTACTAAAATTAGCATATAGTTTCAGTGAAAGCCCTGTAAATGTAACCCTCGGAATTTTTCTCTCTTAAAGGATCGTGTAGGGGGCAGAGTTGCCACTTTTCGCAAAGGAAACTACGTTGCAGACCTAGGAGCCATGGTAGTAACAGGACTTGGTGAGTCTTTAAAAACAAGTCTGAATTCAAACTCTGCATCTATGGGCTTATTACTGAGTAGTTTTGCACATTCCTTGGCACCCAATTTTTATGATTGGCAATAGCAGTACTCCATGGCTTCCCCATATGAATATTTTTTCTCCCTTTTTCTCTCTCTGGCCTTACTTGGTGGGCCTGTGGCCTGATTCAGATTTTTAGTTTATTTCATCAGACAGTTGATCAGTCTTAGATCATTCTCTCCCCTAAAGGAAAAGGTGAGAGAAAGCAAAACTAGACGGAGAGAAGGAGGGCCCTTCCCAATCTCACTACTGGGACTCAGAGTAAACTATCCAATATTTGTGATTAGTTTTATCTAGCTGTATTTTAAGAATGAGATGTGTTCCTTCTGCAAGTTTTCCAGGTTTCAGTTCCTTCATTTGCTAGATACAATCCCTCTGGAAATGGGAATCGAAACAATTATATTCTTCTCTGTACGATCTCTCTCTCTCTCTTTTTTTTAGGAGGAAACCCAATGGCTGTGGTGAGCAAGCAAGTAAATATGGAACTGGCCAAAATAAAACAGAAGTGTCCACTCTATGAAGCCAATGGACAAGCGGTAAGTTTGATGTTTCTTGGAAACATTCACTTGAGAGAAATAGTTTGGAGCAAAATTACATACTGGCTTGAAAATATAAGTCTGTTGCTAAGCTGTTGTTATACTAGATAATATTTTCTTACTGTTTAATCAAACTCTTCCTCCTACAACTTAACGCCTTTAGCTGTTCTGTCCACATTTTAAAAGGGCTGGGTGGTATATAGTGTGTGAGCGGAAAGTGCTTCTTGAGCTTTTGTTGCTGTTTTACGTATGATTAACTTGAAGGATCCTTCTTGCAGGTTCCAAAGGAGAAAGATGAAATGGTAGAGCAAGAGTTCAATCGTTTGCTGGAAGCTACTTCATATCTCAGCCACCAGCTGGACTTCAATGTCCTTAATAACAAGCCTGTCTCCCTGGGTCAGGCTTTAGAAGTCGTCATACAGTAAGTGAGGTTATGTTTCATTGATAACTCTGAAAATGTCCTCAGCTGTTGCTGCTGCTGTTGATGAAATTTATCTATGTGAAGAAAGAAGCCTAGCTTAAATTCAGTGGATCTGACCTCTGTGTGTTAAGTATATTTTGCTGGAACGTGTCTTCAGGTTTGTAGTATATTAACTTTCAGATCTCACTTTTGCCCGCATGCCTTCAGAGAAGCCCTGTATAAGCAATGACAGTGACCATTTCACGTAGGGGTTCCGTTCCAGGCCCCCATGCGTGTCGGCAAAGTGGGTAGAAGCATGCCCCGCTCCTTTACACCCCACCTCCCTTCTGCTGCCTTAAGGGTCCAAAAGGACCTGTGCGTTGGCGATCACATGTCAGTTTGACGCACTTAGAATGGTTGCCACTTGTATTCATGTTTGAGTCTGCCTTAAACCAAGGAGGAGACTGCCAGTCAGTGGGCTTTACAGCTTTCCTTGAGTGTTAAATACGGGTTTCTTGTGTTTTTGAAATGCTTGCCAAACGTTTCTGTATCCCCCACCACTTCATCTGGGAATTTGATGGAGTTGGCTGCTGACAGAAGGCAGTTTCACACGTGACCTGAACAGTACTTTGAGGCAGCTGCTTGAACTTCTGTCTAGCAAGTGTTGCAATATGGCCTAAGCCATGCGTGGAGAACTTCATACCCAGGGGCCAAATGCAGCTCTTGGGGGTCTCTCTTTTTGGCCCTTGGGGCTTTCCCAGACCACCCCCCTCACCGGCTCTGCTTTGCACCCTCCTTGAGTGTTTTTTTGTTGGTAGAATACATCCTTGAACTCTGGCAATGCCTCTTGCTTGTTTGTATGGAGGATAGGGATGGGTGTGTGAGTGTGTGTAGAAACTACTCAATACAAAGGTAATATTTGCATTCGTCGCTCAAACCACTGCTCAGAAGCGGCATGTGGCTCGTAGAAGGTTGGCAGAAGGGAATGTGTATCTTGGGCTGGAAAATGTTTCCCTATCCCTGGTCTAGGCCCTAGATGCTGCTGCAGCCTGAAATCCTTACCCTACCTCTTGTTTTGCCATCTGCCATTCTTTGTTCTTTCTCTTTTCCTTACTTAGATTGCAGGAGAAACATGTGAAAGATGAACAGATTGAACACTGGAAGAAGATAGTGAAAACTCAAGAAGAGCTTAAAGATCTTCTTAATAAGGTCAGGTGCTTATCCCAACCTGAGACACGCACAACTCCGTTCCCTTTATGTACAACTTATTTCTTGGTGTAGGAAGGTTTTGGCCCCATTTTGGGGCCAGTGCAGTGGCTTGGAAGAGTCCTTTATCTGTGCAGTCCTACATATAAGAGTACGATACGCCATTGCTGTAGAACAGAGCTTTCCAAACTTTTCAGGTTGGTGACACACTTTTTAGACATGCATCATTTCGCGACACAGTAGTTCAGTTTTACTAGCAAAGCGGAGGTTAAACTAACCCCCTTCCAGCCCTGGGCAGAGTGCGGGGAGCATCTGCCCAACAAACCTACAGTACACCTTGCAGCCGACACACTAACGTGTTGTGACACACAGTTCAGTAAGCTCTTCTGCAGAGTCCTGAAAGGTACAAAAGGGCTTTCCCCCTCTCTTCCTGCTAAGCGTTTTTTCTCTCTACCCCACCCACCTTTATAGATGGTGAACTTGAAAGAGAAGATAAAGGAGCTCCACCAGCAGTACAAGGAGGCATCTGAAGTAAAACCGCCTCGAGACATCACTGCAGAGTTCCTTGTGAAGAGTAAGCATAGAGATCTTACTGCTCTGTGCAAGGTAAGGATCAGTGTGAAAATGGCTTTGCCTACTGAATACATTTTTTTTAAAAAAAAGAGTCCTCCAGCTGTTTTATATCACAACTCAGGTAGTTTGCACTGCTACATATGACTGAATTTTGCATCTCATTTTTGGATTGGTGCATTAAAAAATTTCATGAATCTGTGTGTGTGTGTCAAGGCAAATTACAAAGATGTCATAGAAGATAGTTAAACATCGTTTCGAAAAACAGCATCAAAAATAACTGAATGTAGCCTTAAAAACAAAACAAAATGAACAACTGAGGCAGAATTCTTTTTATCCAGCTGAAGAAGCCTGTTGAAACAAAAAATGTTTCCAGAAACTGCAAATGGTGGGCTGTGCAGCCCCGCTGGTCAGTGCTAAAAGTTATAGTAGAGAAGGAAGATTATCTCCTATCCTCCTCAAGCTTAATAATTACAGAGACCTGACTGGCTTCAACCAGAAATCAGACAATTTGGTGTTGCCAGTCCCATGCTATGGAACACTTTTCCAGCAGAGATTCAGCAGCACTCTCGCTTTTGACTCTCAGAGGTCCCTTAAAGACTTTTTTATACTGATAACACCTATACAGCTATTTAAAACCTCTTGACTCAACAATCATTTTAATAATTACTTTGATCCGTTTTTAATGTTTTTATATTTCCATGTATGCATATGGCTGTATACCAGCCCAATATTTTATCAGAGGGTAAATACTATTATAAACTAAATAATAAGAGATTTCTTCAACATTGCCCTTCAGTAATGTTCTCTTTATCTATGCACTTATCAGGAGTATGATGAGCTGGCTGAAACACAAGCAAAGCTGGAAGAGAAGCTTCAGGAACTAGAAGCCAATCCTCCAAGGTATAAAAATGTAGATGTACTCATCTGGGTGGCTGGATGCTAGTGAAGGTGCTTTTTTTCTTTTAGTTAGGTCTTCCTTGAGTTCTGCTTGTCAAAGAGATGCAGTGGAATAGTTCAGATGATGAAGGATAAGCCAGTGGTTCTTGAACTGTGGTCTGAACACCGACCAGAGGATTTTGCTGTATTCACAACTAGTCCCCAAGTTCATGATGAAAGTAGCATTCTGAAGAGTTGGTGGTTTCTTGGAGGCTCCCACCGCATGTCAAAGAGGAAATTCGCTTCTCAGCCTAATGTTAGTTTTAACCAAAAGTGGTTTGCAGTGGTGGAAGCATCAAAGAAAGCTTTGCAGTGTGCACAGTTCTCTCCTGTGTGCACATAGCACTTAGTTCAGTTGCAGCAGAAGACAAACGCAGCACATGAGCTCTAATTCATACTGCCTTTCAACCATCGCCTTTCACAGCTGGCCGTGTTTTATTTATTTCATAAAATTTGTACACAACTTGATTGTAAAAAAACCCCACACACCCAAAACCTCAAAGTGGCTTTAAGGGGAGTAAACGTGGTCCTCGACAGAGCGGTGTTTAAGAAAAACTCTCAGTAAATTTATTGTAAAGCAAAAAGCCTTCACGGTTGAAGCAAGCTGCCATGGCACATAAAATCTGGAAGCTAGAAGTCGATATTGAAATGTTGACAACTTGAAAGAAGAGGAGGATGAACAATGGGGAAAGGAGGTCAGGGGGAGGGTACCCTTAAAAAGGATAGGGAGAATTTCAGTTGGCTGACCATTAGGATAGTGTGGAAGCTATAGGACTGGATGTGAAAACGGAAAGAGGACAAGGATATGAAATGGTGAATTGTACATGGGAGAGAGGATTTTGGCTGCTTTTCAAGGGACTGGATGAGTCCATACTTCACCTTCTTTTCCCCCCCTGTGGCTTATGCTCTTATGAGCCTTCAAGGCAGAGATCAGTCTCTTCCTGTTTATAGATCCACTCTGAGCTGACAGGTTAATATGCAGTGCAATAAAATTAATAAAAAACTGGGTGCTGGGTACAACATTGGATAAAATCTGAATGATCAGTAACTTTTCACCGTTAAGGTGAAAAAGTAGTGAATGAGTTCCTCTCAAACTTGGCTGTAAGCACAAGGGATATTCAGTTGTGTTGAAGGGCAAGAGGTTTGCAAATGACCCGATACAGGACCATGCACTGGTAGAATCCCCCTAACAGCATGTTTTGTTTTTCTCTTTGTCAAAATTATTTGCAGTGATGTTTATTTATCATCAAGGGACAGACAGATCCTTGACTGGCATTTTGCAAATCTTGAATTCGCCAACGCCACACCACTCTCTACTCTGTCATTGAAACATTGGGACCAGGTAACTCCATGTTTTCTCCATTTAAGTGAGTGAGTGTTTCAAAAGAAGTTTGAATTTATCCGTATGGAAAGATGGAATTGTGGAGCAACTCATGGCCAGGATTGTGTATATTCTTGCCCTGAACACAAATCTGCTCCAGGGTAACACAAATTCTGGACCTCCAAAGAGCCTGAATGTGGATTTTGCAAAATTCTTTTTTTAAAGTTATTTTGCAAATAATTATGTAAAGCACTGAAGTCCCAACCTTTTGATCACTGAAAGTGCTCTTTCCAAATGTTTACTCACAGACACACACACTTTCTATGACTTAGCAGTATGATTGCAGAAAATACACAGCCCTGGCACCATTTCTAAAATGCAGCTTTGAGACACAGGACACACTCAAATACAGACTGAAAACTCCACCTGCACTTTATTGGTTTCTTTTCAATGTTGCCAACCATAGCAGATTAGATGCTACTTGGATTTATTACTTCAGCATTCTGGTTTCCTCTGGGCTGGATGGAATGTTGCCTGGATCAGCTCCCCTATGCACACATGGTGGGGAATGAGAGAGCACCTTCCTCCCCACTTATCTGGTGTACCTTCAACACTACTGGATGTCCATGGTATAACATTCTTAAAAGGGATATATCCCAATAAAATCCAATAAGGAATATATCCAATAAAATCCAACGCACACAGGCCTAATCATGCAAATGATATTCCAAATAAATTATATGAACCGACTACAATCTGGGTGCAGGAATTTATACTTAGCATGCCTTTTAAGAACGTTGTTCCCTTGTGTAGACGCTCACAGGTGAGACAAGCACGCTGGGTGGGCAGGAAGGAAAGACGTGCTCTTGCTGCTGCAGCTGCTTCTGCCTTCCTAGGATATTCCTCCCTGAACTGGCTCAGCTTAGGCAATTTCCACTCTTTTCAGAATGCCCCCTGCTTCCTCCCAGAGATACCCGTTCACTGCAAGTAGCCAAATGTTCTGTTTCACATAAGCAGTAGCCTTTCGTCATTGCCATCTGTGGGAATTTGTCACCACTTTTTGTCCATGGGCAGCATGTGGGGAATTCACCAGGGCCAATTAATTGCCTTACAAATTCACCGATGGGACTTCTGAATCTCCCCTTCTCCATTTCAGGATGATGATTTTGAGTTCACAGGCAGTCATCTGACTGTGAGAAATGGTTATTCCTGTGTGCCCGTGGCTCTGGCCGAAGGACTGGACATTAAACTTAACACAGCCGTTCGGCAGGTTCGCTACACAGCCTCAGGTGAGCAAAACTTGCAGTCATCGCTGATGGTCCCGTAGTTTTAAGGCTGTTTGCTCACTACCTCCAGGGAAAGCCAGTGGATGGTGTTGCACCCACTAGTCATGTGCCTTCCGTCACTGTTTGGTGATGAAGGATATTGGAATGCTGACAAGGTCTCAGGATGTACGTAGACAATGAAAGGGAAAGCCAGAGCTTGAAAATGGGTGTGACAAGGGTGGGTGAGGTTTGTGGTGGACAAAGACACAAAGAGACCACAAATATAGTGGTTTGGGGGGAGTATATAGAGGAGAAGAGAGGCAATTGAAACTGAGAAAGGGTAACAATTCAGGTATGAGGAGTCATGTCCAAAGATGTGAAGATAAATAGGGGCTACTGTGGATGAGCTTGCATGGAATGAGGACAGCCAAAATTGGGAATAAGGGGAGATGTGCAAAAGAACTATAACTGGCTGTCATTCAGTGGCTTCAGGCAAAGACAATACAGTGCCAGTGGGAGAGTTTGGTTTGGAGAAGGGAAAGGCAGATTTGAATCCCAAGTTAGCTCTAATGTCCAAAGGTGGCATTGAGCAAGCAATTTTGCAGAGTGATTTTTGAGGCTCTTGGAGATGAGGATTGTGAAGCAGGTTGTACACTGGAAAGACCAATAGACATGATGCTAGGATTGTGAGCTGGCAGAATCTCAATCTACCTAATATTAAGGAACTAAAAAAATTGTTATTAGTACTTTAAGATGTCTGGGCAGCCATTCTTTCACCCCTATAAACTTACCCAACAATACTAGCGATTTTCTTTCATGGCATTCTCTTCTCTTTTCCCCCTCCCTTCCTTTTTCATTTTTCCAGGATGTGAAGTGATAGCTGTCAACACCCGGTCCACTAGCCAGACATTTATTTATAAGTGTGATGCTGTTCTCTGTACCCTTCCCTTGGGAGTGCTGAAGCAGCAGCCTCCTGCTGTACAGTTTGTTCCTCCTCTTCCGGAGTGGAAGACATCTGCTGTGCAGAGAATGGGATTTGGAAACCTTAACAAGGTAGCTTGAAATGTACAAAAGTGGAGCAGCGGGGGGTGGGGTGGGCAGGAGAGAGCAATTACAGTAGCTATACCCCTACCTGCTGTGGATAGGTGGAAGCTTTCTTCCTCAATTCATTTCAGTGTTCCATAGCTGAGAATAGAGCACAAAACCATTCATATATAGCTTTGCCTTTTTTGCTTCAGTCGGGGCCTGAGTAGTGCAAAGTATACCACATGCTGAAGAAAATCATGCCCTAGAAGAGATGAATCAATTCTAGCAGCATTGAATCGGAAAGCTTAGCTTGCTTTCCACTTACACTTGATAGCGTACTGGGGGTGTCAATGAACGTTGGCTGGAAATCGGAGAAACACTTTCCGAAGCAAATGTATCTTATTCTTATAGTCTGTTTCATATATATTAATTCATACGTGTATGTCAGGGTCTGAAGTATTTTCTGAGTTTATTTTGTGAAAACACAAAACTTGTATATAGATTTCTTGTGACATGAAAGAAGAAGCAGAACAAGGGGAAATTATTTAAAGCACAGCTTGGAACTTGTGAGAAATGTAAAGTGCCCCCCTTCCCTTGCGATCCATGTGAAAAAGACAAGCGGCAGCAAATCTTAAAACGCTGAACCAGACCAGAGTCTTTCCTGAATCCTAACGTTTCCTTCCTTTTTAGGTTGTGCTGTGTTTTGACCGTGTGTTCTGGGATCCCAGTGTAAATTTGTTTGGTCATGTTGGCAGCACAACAGCCAGCCGAGGAGAGCTTTTCCTGTTTTGGAATCTTTACAAAGGTAGTTGGCACCAAAGCATGTAAATATTTTCACGGGCGCCTTTGGCTGAAATCCAAACTGTGGTCCACCTCTGCGGTGGTGGAGTTGGATGGAGCAGGACTCTGCCCAGCTCAAAAAAGCTCTGCCAGCCCTCAGGGGGACACCAGTGTTCTGCCCTCACAATTGTGTGCTGAAGTTCAGGAACCCCCCGTTCTGGGATAGGGCTGAGCTTGCCTGGCACCCACTGACCCAGTCCTGTTGCTGTTAGCGGACTGCATTTGATCTGATCCAGCCCCCTGCCCCCTTGCTATGCCAGCTTCTGGTTGCATGTCTCACCATAAAAACTAAAAAACTATCAGTCCACCTTGCTCAGTGTTGCTCAATGTCACTGGCAGCAGCTCAGCTGGGCAGCGAGAAGTCTTTTGGTTGAACTGAGCTCCCTTTTCTCACTTCTCAGTTGGAGACACTGTGTTTATTGTCAGAAGCAATATGCATAACTTAAGAAATTTCTAAGTGGTTAGAAATGACTCCTACTTGGCACCATCTTTGCCTTCTGTGCCCTCATAAGATGATAAACTCTGTCTCCTTAAGAAACAAAAGCCATCAGTTTTTGTTTGGGTCTTTATCTGAGTGAGAAACCTTGTTATTTAGGCTGTTTGCCAGAGAACCTTAATAAAGCACATTCCTGTGCAGGATGAAACTAAAGCTATTTGGCTAGCGCTTGCGTTCTGCTGATGTCCCAATAATCTTTTCCACAGCACCAATTCTTCTGGCCTTGGTGGCAGGTGAAGCAGCCGGAATAATGGAGAACATCAGTGATGATGTCATTGTCGGGCGCTGTCTTGCAATTCTCAAGGGCATTTTTGGCAGCAGTGCTGTCCCTCAGGTATCACGTTGAGCTCTTTATAGTTCCATATTTAGGTAGGTAGCCGTGTTGGTCTGATGCAGTCGATAGATAGATAGATAGATAGATAGATAGATAGATAGATATAAAATTGTTCAGTAGCACCTTAGAGACCAACTAAGTTTGTTCTTGGTATAAGCATGCACACTTCTTCAGTTCCATATGTTCAGGATCCTAGCCAACCTTACCTTTATCAGTGTATGGCACAATATGAGCCTCTTGATACCACCTATAGCATGATCAAATTTTCCAGCTTCCTTAAAGGGATTTATGATTAGAAAAAGCCTTCCAACAGAGAAGGGCCATTTCTAAAATGAGGAAAGAGCCTAAACCCTATAGTTTAGGATTGCATACTTTAGGCTGCAAAGAGAATCACTTCTGTAGGCTTTGTTTTCACCACCTGCTGCCCTCAACTAGAACTGCTTGGACTCCCTTCCCTCATTCTGGATGCTCCTGCTTTCCATTCTGCAGACATGGGCCAACCTTGAAAGCCTACCTGACAGGAGAATAATTGGGCATTGCTGCCAGGCCTTTAAGGGCTTTCTGTTGCAGTTTTCCTCAGCCTAGGAAAAAAACCTGTGGGTATGTGTGCCTGCACACATCCTCCTAATATCAGGGACTTCACGAAACATTACACACTTGAGTAACACCCCCCCTTTCTTTGTCCTCAGCCTAAGGAAACAGTAGTATCTCGTTGGAGGGCCGACCCATGGGCCAGAGGATCCTATTCCTATGTAGCAGCTGGATCTTCAGGAAATGATTATGACTTGATGGCTCAGCCAATTACTCCGGGACCAGCCATTCCAGGAGCTCCCCAGGTGAGAACTGCATTCCGATTAGCACCAGGAAGCAGCAGGATCCTTTGACTTTGTACCACATTTTTTCCTGGAACATTTCATTATATTTATAAATGTATTTTTATTATTAATCTCAACCCACTTGGCTTCCTTGTCTAGCATGGGAGGGAGCTGCTTTTTTTCTTAATACAAGTATCAGTACAACTCCTCATGAAAGCAACCTTTTTACTTTTCTTCGGCATTTTCTTTTTGGGGGGGGAATCAAAAGGGAAGATAAAAAAACATGGCAACTTTGCTGGTGGTTAACATTGACTAGGAGCAACCCATAGCTGGGTGCTGTTCAGGCCATAGAAGGAGCTGATGCCTGCCCTTTGGGCTCACTCTGCAGTAGGTGTAAGGAATTATGAATAGTGGGAATGAAGTAACAGTTCCCTCTTGCCACTCCCCACCCACCAAATGTGTTTGTTTGCAAACTCCAGAAAGGGGGACTAAATTTAAGGTGCAACTTGGGAATTGGTCCTGCTATCTGCTTCTGAAACCAAGCAAGCGGCCTTACCCCAGTGCACTTGGGTCATTCTATTCAAGCACACACACAGAAGTAAGTTTAAACCAGCTTAAGATGCTGAATGTTTTTTAAGTTCACAACAACCTGTGGCTAAATTTGCACTCTGCTTCCCTTTAGACCACAGGGAGGAAAACTGGTCCTCTGCCACATTGAAATGCCAAACACATTTCTTCTACTCTCTCTGTGGGCAATCCATATGGGATGCTTGATTCTGGGGAAAACAAACAAATGCTATAATTATTCCCAGGCGTCACTTGGAGTGGCAGTATTTTAGGAAACCTTCCTTGTTTTGCAGGTATGCTATATTCAGCAGGTAAACTGGGGCTCTTGTAACATTGCCAATCTCTCATTTCTTTTCCAGCCAATTCCCCGCCTGTTCTTTGCAGGAGAACATACAATTCGCAACTACCCAGCGACTGTTCACGGAGCTCTGCTGAGTGGACTGAGAGAAGCTGGACGCATTGCAGACCAGTTTCTCGGTGCAATGTACACTCTGCCTCGCCAAGCTACTCCTGTTGCAGCTGCACAGCAGGCTCCTGCCATGTAACAATGCAGTGGGTTATGAATGCCTTGCATGGACTTGTGATTAGAAGCAAGTGGCCTTCCTGGTCTGTAGCACTACCAATTAGAAGGCGTAACCAGGAGTCAAAAGCATCGCCCCTGTTGAGCGGCCTTCCTAGACTTCAGTCGTCCTAGAACGCAGTTCCTGACTGCCACAGCAGCCTCGATTCTCTGGAGCGGTGCACCTTCTCCCCCAAATCCAGACTTCTGGTCTCTCTTGACAGAGATCTCTTTTGGTACAGATGCATTTTTGTTTGTTTCTTTCCAGGGTTTAGATCTCTTGTAAGTTAGCTGCTGTTAGTCACTAAGGTAAGATTGTCTTATGTGGGTTTTGTTTTGGGAAGCAAAAATAAAACTTCCTTTTTTATAAAAACACGGACAACAGAAACACAGTTTCTTTTCATTTGACTATGATGCAGGATGCAATGCCCTACTCTCTGCTATATGCAACTAAAAAGTTGATTAGATGCCAGTTAAGGATCCTCAGAGATGTGAGGGGAAATGGCTGAGTAACTCAAAGTGCTTAGAATGGAGAAGGCACATTGAATCTGGGACAGTTACAGATAAATGCTGCTTCTTGCTAGGAAGCTAAAGGGGTGGAATCGGTTTTGGTGCAGGCAAAGTATGTGCTGGGATTTGATGCTAAGTAAGGGGATATTCAAAGGCCAGGACAAGCAAGAACAAAATTGGAGGACACCAAGGACTGAGAAACTATATTTATACTTGTTTTGTAGTGAGATTCCACTCCCCTGGCCGGGCTCTGAATCCTGTGTTTCATGGCCCAGTGTCTCATCCAGTCCTGCCTTCATTTGACAGGGTTGCCAGAGGCCGGCAGCAAGAGGTACCTGATACACACAAAGGCAGGTTCTCTTGTAAATCCTATTCTGTTATTGGGCTTAATTTCAGGGACAAAAATTGTATTGTTCAGGTTCAAAAAATGCCTGAAAAAGTGCTAACTATTTAGCAGCCATGTGGATCTTGAACAAGTCAATGCAGTTCTCTGTACTTAGAGCTGTTGCCAAAACACTGTGGGTGGGGTATGCAAAATTGGCTGGGCTTTATTCTTCTTCACAAGAAGCAAAAGGTTTTTTTCCATCTCAAAGCAATTCACACATTTGAGTAACATACAAATAGTTTTATTGATTAAGTACTGTAGAACAGACAGCATTAGTCAGAAGATAACATGCGGACAAATGTTTGCATTTAAACATAGCATGCAGACTTGTTGCTCTGTGACTAGCAGGCTAGCACCACCTGCTGTCCCATGTGCAGGCAGGTTTGGGAGGTGAAAGAGCAGGGCCTTTCCCCAGCTGAACATACTAGCACCACAGTGCTTCCTTTTGAGTCAGGAGTGGAGTGATTGGGACAGTGCTGGTAGCTTCCTGGGTTCTGGAGGGCTGGCAAATGAGGATCTCTGAACACATTTTGCTAAAAATTGCACTTGCTTTCTCTTAACCTGAAAGTGAGGGAATGTTAAGGCAGGAGATGCTCATCTGCCTGCAAGCACACCATGTCAGGATTCGACAATCCCTTTCCACCCAGTCTTAACATTAGCAAGTAGAAAAAATATATTTTCATCTCTTAAAAATACATTCCACACAATCTGAAGGATTCTCAAGTGTTTACAAATGGCAGGAAGACCGGCGTGCCTTCCCCCTTGTGCAGACGTGGAAGGAGTAGACTGTACTCCCAACAGCCACAGAAAGGTTGAGCAAATCCTTTGGTCTCTAGCCAAGAGGAAAGAGAAAGGGGAGGAAGGATGTGGGCCCTGCACTGCAGTACCTTCACCACTTTATCCCTCTTTGGATATAATGTTGGGGTTTCAACTGAAGCAGCAAGATCTTTTGTGGGGTTGTCTTCCACTGATGCCCTGGGTAGAGGGGTGGCATCATGTAAGCCTCTCTCATCTCATATACACATTTTGAGAAGGGGAAATGTCAGTTCCAAAGAGCCTGTGAGACAATAATAAATGTCCTGGCTGCTTGCATACGTAAGGGTCCCTTCTGACAAATCTATGGCTAAAACTCTACGTTCTTGGCACTCTTGACATCTTGTCGTAAAACCAGAGATGCACTAATGGCCTGAGGAAGTATGGCGTTACCTTACACTGGGCTGGCCTACCCAAGTATTGTCAATGGACTGGCTCTCTCTTTCAAGGCCTTGTGAATCCAGGACTGTCTGCATGCAAATCATCTGCTCTACCACTGAGCTATGGTCTCTCTCTGGCTTTTCATCGGAGAAGCGGTTCTGCTTTTTGCAATGAAGGGAGGTGAAGGAGCAGATCTTACTAGGCTATGCAACATTGTGCGGGCTGTACACAAGGGCAATTCTGACCTCCAGTTGGAAGAAGTTGCTTTTTTTTGTTTCTCGACATAAAAAGGAATAATCACATGCAGCACATATAATTACAACACTGGAATTGTTTTTTTGTTTTGTTTTTTTTACACACAAATTTTCAGCATTAGAAAGTCCCTGGGGGATTCCTACTGTATTTATATGCTACAGTTAAAACAAAAATTAACTTGCCAAAATGCTGGCAAATATTTACAAATACACTTTACAGCTGTTTATTTTTAAAGTGTGCAACTTGAGCCAAACAGTCTCTTGTTTCCTGAACTCACCACTGCTAGTTCAATAATACAATCAGCTCCTATTGCACTCAGGGTTAAGGTCTCCTTAGGGTTTTGTCATCCTTTTTTATGGGGCCATCAATAAAATAACCCCCAACCGATACTGTAACGGATATTTACATTCATTCCTTATGTTTAGTGAAATGTAAGACTATCAACAGACCCCAGGCCTGAAAAAAATAAAGGGGGGGGGGTTCCTCTGCCCTGAAGCAATAAACTAGCTAAAATAACTCAGGGCAAATTCATTTCTCTTTTACGGGGAGGTGGGGAATCCATAACGTGCCTTCAGAAAGGAGGCAGCAACCTCATCCATCAAGCCCTATTGCCGAAGCTGAGGCAGATTCCTTGGTTAAGCAAGGCCAGGTGTTACTGTTATAAAAGCTTCCTATCTAATCTGAAGGGGGGGGACTTGTATTCTTCCTCTTCCCAGCTGCTCAAGTATGTTCTAGGAATGTGGAACCTGTGGCCTTCCAGCAATAGTTGACTTGCAACTCCCATCAGCCCCACCCAGGATGGTGGTCAAACTCTAGCTGGAGGGCTCACATGCTCCCCATCTAGGGAACAAAGGCCTAAGTCACAGATAACTGGTTCCTTTAAGTTTTCCCTTTTTGTAAAAATCTGGACTGCCACTGGGTCATTTCTTCCCCAGCAAAGATGAGGAGGACTTTGCTATGTCCACTTGGCAAGGGAAAGGTATCAGTGCAGCTTTCAGAGGTGCTATCAGCCTAGGAACAAGGGACACTTGCCCTCATCCTTCTGTGTCTGGCTCAAATGCCAAACCCTTTATTCTTGGGTGACTTTTACTGGGACCCAGATACCTAGCTTTCTGACCCTGAGCACTCAGTCCTGGAGAAAGCGTCGTTCAGAACGATCTTTTGCGCCAGTGCGTGTAGGGTTAAACTTGTGAACGCGTTAGTCATGCAGAGAATAGTTTCAAATTCAAGTGAATAATCTCTAGCTCTTAATGGTAAATGGAGTGCTCAGAGGGGGTGGAGCATTTTCCAGATCCTGTGAGAAGTTTGCAGTGTTGAATGCGGACAAGCCAGCTTTCCAACAGGGAAAAAAATTTACCTGGGTTGTCGTTTGCATGGTGGGGCTTCTTTTGCACCAGAAAATCAGGCAGGGCGTTCTAAGGGCACTCAAAGTGTCACTGCTTTGAACAGGCACAATAAAAATGGCTCCAATTTCATCATGCAGAGGAGGGGCAATGTCCATTAAGGCTGCATTCCTAAGTATAATTACAGACAAACAAGTCCAAGAGGAACTTATTTTCATATAAATAAGTTTCAGTAAGGGGCTATTTTATCAATGAACTAGTGGTCTTGGAGCTGGTGCATGTCACAGGAAATTCTAGGCATTTATGACCCAGCCAAACAAACGGCTCAGATAGCAACACCCCCCTCCCCGTTGGTTGGTGGCTTGCTTTAATTTTCAAGTAGGCTGAGATCCAACATCAGTGTTGAATCGAACTTTTCAGGTGCTAAAGTGCTTTCTTGAATCAACTACGACATGGCTTTAATTTTTTTATTTTTTTTTTTAGCAAAAACAATCACCATCCTACTTTGGATTAAATCACAGCCCCCCGTTGAACACTAGACAGGCACCATCTGAGCATAACGGGGTGCGTCAATTCAAAATGGCTGCTTACAGATCAGTTATTGCTGAGACCTTTATGTAAACAGACTACCCATCAATGGAAGCAAGCTAAAATCTGTGAATTGGCCCCCGGTGAGAGGCCTGTAATTGGTGAATGAAAGTGGGACCACAGATATGCTGTGATTACATCACAAAGAGACGGAAGCATGAAACACAAGGTTCTAGACCTCAACACTGAAAATATGCGTGAAAGAGCGTGGGCAATACTTGAGATGATCTCACTGTTTGGCTGCTGTGCCTTCCCCAGTCCACTGACCAGCGGGAGAGCACGTGAAAATGTGAATGATGCATACAAGTTGCAGAAGTTAACTTTTGTTAGCACAGTTCGGGTAATAATTATTTTTAAAAGATGGTGCACACCCTTCTGCTCACCTCTGTGAGAAATCGGTACGTAACAATGGTGCCTTTCATGGCACTGTTAGCCAAACTCAGGGGCATGTAAACTTATTCTTAGAACACTCATGCTTCAAGGTGAAGCTTGTGAACACTTTTAACCACTTGGTCCGATAAATGGCACCATTGTCCGCATTCTGTGCCTCTCACATCTGAATCAGTTAAAATACGTTTTTTAAAACCTTTGGCTGAATTAAAAACTGTTGGGTAAAGGATAGAGTAGGAACCACAGCAAACCTCAGTTATTTCTAAAGGTTCACAATGTGTGTGGTTTTTTTTTTTAAAAAAGGCAAAGTAGTGAATTCGGGGTGTTTTTTCCTAAGCCAGGTTTTCCATCTGAAACCCTGGAAGCCTAGCCTGATGCTCTTGGCTTTTCAACAGAGTCGCAGGCCTCACCTAACTGTGCATGTGTGAACTCTGGGCAGAATGAATGGACTTCATGCACCAAACCCATGTGGCGTTGCATTGCTAATGCACATTAAACTCTATCTAACTTTTAAAACATTGTTTTGTTCCCAATTCCTTTTCATGGGGAGTGAAACTGAGCTGCCTCCTTCTTAAGTCTGAATGGATTACCTCTGCTTGGCAGGAGAGTGGCGGGGGCACTGTTCCTCGAGGGAACAGTGCTGTCCGATCTGCCACCAAATGGATACCTAGAAAGGCCTGGCAGGGGAGGTGGGTACAAAACACTTACGTTTACAGCAGCATCTAAGCCTTATGTGCCAAATGCATGGGGGAAGACTGAGAAGACTAAGCCAAGGTGAGCAGCTGCCGTGGCACTGGTGGGGTCCAACGTTCTGTCTGCTGACTCGGGTGCAGAAGAGGGCAATCGCTGTGTCTCTGGATGAGTCTCCGCTGGTCCCTTTGCCCATGCAAGTGAAGAGTGAGGTAGCAGAAATAAAGGAATAACACCCCCCCCAGATATGTTGAGGTGCTGAACAAAGGAGCCTCTTCTTCCCCACTTTTCTGAGCAGGTTGTGCCAAATGCCCAGTGGCTGCCCCAGTCCTGAGGTGTGGTGCAGCCCACACTGAGGCCTCAGGCTGTTAGTTCAAGTAATGCGCCACAGGCTCTTCCAAGCAAGCAAGGCCCCACGGAGCACTCCGCCTCCTTTGGCTGGGATGACATTGGGCTCAGGATGTCGGCGAGGTTTCTTGCTCCGCCTGATTTGAGTCCAGCCAGAGTTTGGATCCTGCGAGGCTTGCGGGCAAGGAAGGAAGCGAAGGCAAGAACTCAAGCGCTTGGGGAGGGAAGGGGCTGCTTCCTCAGCACCCAGCCTGCAAAGCGGGAGATGGGCGAAAATCTTGGATGTCATGCTTATTGCTTATGTGTCAGGCTCAGGCAGAAGTACTTGCAAATGGCCAAGCCACTGCAGTGCAGGTATGCTGCGAGAGAGCTATGGCTGGTGGGAAGCAATGGCCTTGGAGTGGGGTTCCTGGAACTGTGTCATTCCCCTCCCCGCACCATCCTTTCCGGAGCGGCATCTCAGAGAGTACTTGCGGCACACGGAAACCAGCTTCAATGTAAACTTCTTTCTGAAGATGGAACAGCAAAAATCCGGCGAGGAATGGAAATTCTCAACGTGCTGCTCTGGGCTCTTGAGATCTGGCAAGCAGGTGCGTCTGGGGCAGTTCTCGCTTCTTGCAGTGGTTACCAACACCCACCCGCACACACAAAACTACACCTCTTGCTTCTCCAGGAAAAAGCACGGCAGATGGCAGAGGTCAAGGCTGTTTGCCTCAAAGGTTTGTCCAACCTGATCCAAAGTTATTGGGTACCTCCTAGAGAGATGCAGAGCCGTTCACCAGCCATGGGTTACCATTGATTCAAGCTCAATAAGATTTCAGAGTGGGATTCCCCTGAGCGAAGTGTCTGCGGCCTCCTCCAGGGAGGAGAAGGAAAACACAAAGCCACCTTTTAAAAAATTAAAAAATAAAATCCACCCAAGGCTAGTGGGCAGAAAGGACCTTGAGCACTGAAGGGGTTAAAAGTCAGGCACTGTACATGTCCCTGTGTTGGACTGGCTGCAGGGAAGAGACCAGTGTAGGGATGAAGAATGAAGCTCAGCTTCTGGAGGTCATGCAACTGGAGGGGGAAAGACCCTAGGAAGAGAGAGAAGAAGAAAAAAGTCACCACATTAAGCCATGGGATCACAGACAATCATTCTTTTTCGCAGATCACTTCTGCTTTGCTCTTCCTGGTCTGTGCAGTCACACCTACGGGGGTGGGAAGGAGAGTACTGCAGGGTCAGATCAAATCCCCATCTAGTCCATCTAGCGTCGTTTTCACAATGGCCAACCAGAAGGGAAGCCTGGAAGCAGGACCTGAACACAACAGCACTCTCTCCACACTTGTGACTCCCAGTAAATATGGGTCGCAGGTGGCGCTGTGGTCTAAACCACTGAGCCTCTTGGGCTTGCCGATCAGAAGGTCAGCGGTTCGAATCCCCGCGATGGGGTGAGCTCCCATTGCTCTGTCTCAACTCCTGCCAACCTAGCAGTTTGAAAGCACGCCAGTGCAAGTAGATAAATAGGTGGATAAGGTATACGGTGTTTCCGTGCACTCTGGTTTCCATCATGGTGTTCCATTGCGCCAGAAGCGGTTTAGTCATGCTGGCCACATGACCCGAAAAGCTGTCTGTGGACAAACACCGGCTCCCTTGGCCTGAAAGCAAGATGAGCGCTGCAACCCCATAGTTGCCTTTGACTGGACTTAACCGTCTAGGGGTCCTTTATCTCCTCCCCCTTTTTTTTACTCCCAGTAAATGTAATGCATAGACAGACTGCATACATTTGCAGGCCCAATTCAAAGTTCCAGTTCTAAATTACAAAGCCTTTTTAAAGATTGGGATCCCAATATCTTAGGGAACATTTCTCCCAGTATGCATCCACCTCTCGGACCCTTACGTAATTATCTGAGCCTTCCTCTTCATGTCTACTCCAGGAGAAGTACAGAAGGCTGCCAAGAAAGAGGGACTTGCCAGGAGTGGCCCCTCCGACTGTGGATTGCTCTCCCCAGGAGGCCTGCCTTGCATCAACCTTGCAATTCTTTTCAGTGGTAGGTCAAGATTTACCTCTAGGTGGTTTGCTAGTTTTTGTTATTAGCTGTTTTGATGGTGATCATGCTAATGTTTGTGCGGGTGGTTGGAGGTTTTCAGTTATTTGAAGTTGTGGTCAGTTTGTTCATGGTTTCCTGAAATGGAATCCATTTTTATACGACTTCTGTCCTACACAAACCACCTTGAGATCGCACGGCATGAAGCCATACACGGAGCAATACATTATCATTCATTATCATCACCATTCATGGAAAGCCTGTGACATTTTTGCACATGCAGGGAGACTTTGATCAGATGCTTTCAAGCAAGTGGTTTGCATGCTGCCCCGTCCAACTTAAGCACATGGCTGAGATGACACAGTCAGGCACTACCCATAAGAGGACAAAGTGGGAACAAGGACCTCTTGTTTAAAACAACACGAACATACCTCAACATCAACAGGCTCAGTTGTCTTCTGAGCAGCCTTTGGTCCAACGCCTCCGCTCCTCAGCCTTGCTGTCCGACAGCTGGCGTGTCGTCTCCAGCCTGGCGTCTGGCCTCTTCCTCGGTGTGTCAGCCCGGGCAAGCTGCTCAGAGGAGCCAAACGGTTTTCTTCTGGAACTGGGAACAAAATCTTTGTTTTCCTCCTGTACCAGAACCGGGAAAAAGGTTGGGTGCTTTAATACGATGGAGCCCCGCAGGAGTTGCTTCCAGACAGAGAGACTGGATAAAGCCATCGAGCCCAGCCCTCTCACTTCCCCCAGGGCGAGTTTTCCCTCCCCAAAGCCTGACTCCATGGCTTGGCTGTGAGCTTTCTAAAAACACAAGCCACACAGTCCCCAAGTCTCCCTCTCCAGCCCTGCTTTCCCTTTTGGTCAGCCACAGGGCTCTCTCATTTCCTTTCTTCTCGTTGCAGCTAGGATATCAATAGTGGGAAAGTGAGAAACATCCTCAGCCCCCTCCACCGAAAACTGGTACCAGGCATATTTGATGTCTGGCTTTGATGGAGAAACTTACTCATAATTTGAGACTGGCCAAAGGCCAAGCTAAACCAGACACGTTGGAAAATGTGCGGTTTCCATTTCTGACTTTTATTAATTCCACCTCCAAAAGTCTGAAGCCCTCTGCTCTGGATGCTGGCTTTGCGAGAGACTCTGTGCATTTGCATGACTGGTTCACCATTTTTCTTGTTCTGTATTTGGCACACTAGCTTTTAGCCCCCACCTGCCATGTATCTTAATTCACCGGGGGGGGGGGGGAGAGAATGATATGAGATCTGCATTTGTTCAATTTTACTTTACTGATCTTTTGCTGATCTTGGATGAAAAATTACTAAAATGCCTTAAAAAGAAAAAGAAACAAAGAAGGGCAGCTGCGGCCAGCAAGGCACCTCCTCTCATTGCCTTCCAGTGGATTTAGAAATGCCTATCTCCGCAAACACAATGTTGAGACATGGAGTTAAGAACTGCTGCAGCACTCACAGAGTCAAGCTGCACTTCCTGGGCCAGCAAATAGGTAGATCCAAACATAATAATAACGGTGGTTGTTGTTGTTGTTGCATGTATATCCTACCTTTTTCTCCAAGGAGCTCAAGGTGGCAAACTTGTTTATCCCCTCACCTCATTTAATCAACAACAACCCTGTGAGGTAGGTTGGGTTGGGAGGCAGTGCCTGGCCCCAAATCACCCAGCCAGTTTCATGGCCAGGTGGGGATTTGAACCCTAGTCTCTCAGGTGCTAATCCAACCAGCGTACCAATGAACCGCTCTGGGCATAACAGTCTGACAACTTACAATTTATGAGGTGGTCCAATCTTTCCCTCCCTCCCTTTCTTTTTAAAAAATCATCTTCAGCTTCCTTGGAGCACCTAGTAAGTGAAGCACAGCACCACATGCAGAAAATGCCTTTTAAAATGCTCTAGGAAGCAACCTAGGGACGGGGGTGGCGCTGTGGGTTAAAACACAGAGCCTAGGACTTGCCGATCAAAAGGTCGGTGGTTCGAATCCCCGCGACGGGGTGAGCTCCCGTTGCTCGGTCCCTGCTCCTGCCAACCTAGCAGTTCAAAAGCACATCAAAGTGCAAGTAGATAAATAGGTACTGCTCTGGCGGGAAGGTAAACGGCGTTTCCGTGTGCTGCTCTGGTTTGCCAGAAGCGGCTTAGTCATGCTGGCCACATGAGCCAGAAGCTGTACGCCGGCTCCCTCGGCCAATAAAGCAAGATGAGCGCTGCAACCCCAGAGTCGACTACGACTGGACCTAATGGTCAAGGGTCCCTTTACCTTTACCAAGCAACCGCACATCATATTGGGCAGGCCCCCTCCTAGGGTACTGTAAGGAGAAAAATATGTACAGTACCTTTTAGGGGCCTTGTATTGAGGGGGAAAGGTGGCTGCCCCCATAAGTTCAAAAGGGGCAGCAATCTTGTTCTCAGGAGGGGACTGCACTTTGACATCTGCCAGGAGGCATTCCGCAGGGCGGGTAAAAACAACCACAATTTCCCTGCAATTTCACTTCTCACAAAAGACGGAACTGCCAGAAGGCCCTCAGAGCTAGACCTCGGTGTCCAGGCTGAATGATGGAGGTAGAGATGCACCTTCAGGTATACTGGGCCAAAGCCATTTAGGGCTTTAAAGGTCAACATCGACACTTTGAATTGTGCTCGGAAACGTACTGGGAGCCAATGTAGATCTTTTAGGACCGGTGTTATGTGGTTCCAGCAGCCACTCCCAGTCGCCAGTCTAGCAGCCACATTCTGGATTGGTTGTAGTTTCCAAATCACCTTCAAAGGCAGCCCCACGTAGAGCGCACTGCAGTAATCCAAATGGGACTTTGTTGGGGTGTGCGTTTAAAAATAATAATAATACTGCAACTTGCAGGCTACCACCAGCAGAGGGAACTAAAGCACAAGGCCGTGCTTTAATTTCAAGCTGGTATGATTCAAGTAGGGGCAGTAGCCAAACCCAGAAACGTTCAAAAATCATTCCGTATGAGTCCCTCAGAATCACATGTCCTTTAAAACAAAAAGTGCATGCACGCACGCACTTTTAATTGTTGCCTTCTGCTTCCTCGAGCATTCAGAAGGCTGTGCACTTGAGGTCTGCTAAGTCTTCCCTCTACCCGAAATCATCTCCGTGTTATGAATGTTTCGCTGATTATATTATTCGAACAAATGGCTATCACCAGAAAGGGAAGACCCTCCCTAATGTCAGGGCTTTCCCATTTCCAATTTTTCCTGCACACACACACACACACAGGGGTGGACAAAAGCAACAGGATTTGATTCTCATCTTCCATGTGTTCAAGAGACAGCTGCGAAACAAGAGATCGTCACTTAGGAACACAGGTAGCTACCTGATACAGAGTTAGGCCAGTATCCCCAGGTTTTTAGGGGAAGCGGACAATCTCAGCAGTACCTGGAGATGCTGGGGACTGAACCCGGGACCTTCTGTATGCAAAGCGCGTGTTCTACCACTGAGCTATGGCTCCTCTATTAAAAGCTTTTGTTTAGGGAAATGGCACAGAAGTGAGTGGAACTATGCGGCATTTTGGTTACAATCAAACTATTTCACTGGAATGTAATTTGTCAAGCTGCCTGGTCTTAGTACTCTGCACTACTGTGACAGTACTTTAAACGGTCATGATTTCCACCAAAGCATCTTGAGAGCTGTAGTTTGTTTAGGACGGCGGGAGTTCTTAAAAGGTAAAGGGACCCCTGACCATTAGGTCCAGTTGTGTCCGACTCTGGAGTTGTGGCGCTCATCTCGCTTTATTGGCCAAGGGAGCCGGTGTACAGCTTCCGGGTCATGTGGGCAGCATGACTAAGCCACTTCTGGCAAACCAGAGCAGTGCATGGAAACGGCGTTTACCTTCCCACCGGAGCGGTACCTATTTATCTACTTGCACTTTGATGTGCTTTTGAACTGCTAGGTTGGCAGGAGCAGGGACTGAGCAACGGGAGCTCACCCCCTCATGGGGATTCGAACCGCCGACCTTCTGATCGGCAAGCCCTAGGCTCTGTGGTTTAACCCACAGGGCCACCCGTGTTCTTAGGAGACCTCTATTCCCCTCCCTCATAGAGCTACAATTCCCAGAGTTCCCTGGGAAGAGGGACTGTTAAAACACACTGAAAACTGTAGCTCTGTGAAGGGAAAAGGGATATATCCTAACAAGAGAGTCAGCAAGAGATTCCCCTGTTTCTTAAGATCTTCCCAAAAAACGTTTGGCATATCTCAGTGCCTTTGGCAGCTCCTAAGATACAAATTTCTTAAAAAGTGATAAAACTCAACAAATAAATCCCAGGGCATGACTTTGAAGGGATACGATGCAGCAACTTCGCTGAAGCTAAGCAGGGCTGCGTCTGGATGAAAGACCCCCCTGGATCAGAGAATCACGGCATTGTAAGGGACCCTAAGGGTCATCTAGTTCAACTCCCTGCAATGCAGGAATCTCAACGAAAGCATCCTTGGCAGAAAGAAAGGAAAGCTATAAACGAAATACCGTATTGGCCTGAATATAAGCCGCACCTTTAAAATTGGAGGGGGGAGAGAAAAAATAAATAAAAAATACACGTAAGGTTGTGAAAGAAGCCGCACTAACTTTTCAGTGTCGGAATTTGGGGGGAAAGTGAGGCTTATATTCAGGCCAATACGGTAAATGAAATCCTTCAGTAGCCAATGCTGATCGCGCTTTATGTTCATGCTTCAAGTTGTTCTGAGATTGATCAGTTTCCTGTCGAGCTATATAATGCACTGTCGTTAGACCCATTTTCCTATTGTTGATTAATCTGCAGATAACGCCCTTGTAAGCCGGGCGATTAAGACTTTTGTTACACTGTATTTGCCAATGATTTTGAAATACGTTTACTTGTGTATCAGTGTATCCTTAATGAACTTATATTTGTGTGTACTTTTTTTTTTTTTTTTTTTTTGGTCCATGCATATATATGCGGTGTCGCTGTGGTTGTTTTTCATTTCCACTGTCAGCAGGTGTTTAAGTCTGAGAAACGATATATATCTCCTACCTGTGACAGTATTGGGGCAATGGAAGGAACTGCCTAGGAGAGTCACAGGATATTTATAGTGCAGGTGTAAAAGAGCAGAGAGAGGCAGCAGAGCTGATTTGGATGGAATAAGTGCTTCCTGCCTTGCTGCATTCTAAATTTAAGGTGCCAAAAGTGTAAGAAGGGTTTAAAATTTCATTTCTCACTGACATGGTCCCTATTAGCACTGTAAATACTGCCTACATAATTTATTTTTAACAGATGGGATGGGAAGTGCTGCAGTCTGGAATGCTTCTGTTCAGTCACGCCCTCTTCCAGGAAACTCCATTCCACACACAAACACACCCCCATAGTGTTGTGTGAACACCCAACAAACAGCCGGTCGTTATTCTGTGCCCAGTGGTGGGGTGTTTTTTTTACATTCTTCTCTTCTTCAATTGAACTTATAACCCCAAGGCCCGTTGATTTCAGTGAAACCTAGGCACACTTTAGGCTGGTTAAGACAAGCCCCCCTTCACACATTAGTCACATGATGGGAGATCATGTGATTACAGGGCCTTGGGACTGCACTGCCACCACTACTGAAGCAAGGCTCCCCTTGGCTCTACCTGGCTGAAGCAAGAAAGCCTATATGCATAAAAGTCTACATTTTGAATACCATTCTGATCGCCTCGTCTCAAAAAGGATATATTTAGAGTTGGAAAAGGTTCAGGAAAGAGCAACCAGAATTATCAAGGGATGGAGCAACACTTCTGGGCTGCATCAACAGAAGTATAGTGTCCAGATCAAAAGAAGTAAGAGTACCACTCTATTCTGTCTTGGTAAGACCACACCTGGAAGACTATGTCCAGTTCTGGGCACCACAGTTTAAGAAGGATGTTGACAAGCTGCAATGTGTGCCAAGGAGGGCAACCAAGATGATCAAGGGTCTGGAAACCATGCCTTATGAGGAACGGTTGAAGGAGCTGGGTATGTTTAGTCTGGAGAAGAGGAGACCAAGAGGAGATATGATAGTCATCTTCAAATATATTAAGGACTGCCATATGGAGGAGGGAGCATGCTTGTTTTCTCCTGCTATGGAGGGTAGGACTCGAACTAATGGCTTCAGGTTGCAAGAAAGGAGATTTTGACTAAACATTCGGAAAAAAAAATCTGACGGGAAGAGCTGTTTGGCAGTGGAACAGACTCCCATGAGAGGTGGTGGACTCTCCTTCCTTGGACGTTTTTAGACAGAGGTTGGATGGCCATTTCTCAAGGATGCTTTAGCTGAGATTCCTGCATTGCAGTGGGCTGGACTAGATGACCACTTGGTCCCTTCCAACTCTCGGATTCTATGCTCCTATGCATTTGGGTGGGTTTGCTTTCTTCATTTAGAGGAAAGTCGAGCAAGAGGTGACATGATAGAATTTTATAAAAATTATGCATACCGTGGAGAAAGTGGGCAGAGAAGAGTTTACTGTGCTCCCTCCTAACACTAGAACTCAAGCGCCAATTAGTTATCTAAATATCGACAAGAATCTCTCCACTAGATTAGGTGCTACACTGACACCCCATCCCTAATGAACTGCACACAGAGAATATAAAGCAACTGACTGGATAGGAAGGGCCTGGGATATTTTGGTGCCTGAGATAAACAATCTAAGTAGAACTCCTCCCCCACCTCCTCCACAGAGCACAATCACTGTATGATGAAGAAAACAACTCATTTCAGTTCATCAAATAAAGGTGAAATTTATGACAACTCTGTGAAATAGTAAGAATTATTTAAAAGTGCACCCATCTCTCTCTCTCTCTCTCTCTCTAATTAGCATGGATTATGCTGGAAAGTTCCCCAAGGACCATGCCCCAACAGGTCAGACATGTTAAGAGTACAATTCTATAAATGTCTATGCAGAAGAAAATCCCACAAGAATTCACTGAAGCTTAGTCCCAGGTAAACTGGTATAAAACTGTAGCCACAGTCTCTCTCACTTGGCCATCGATGATGACATCCAGGGTTTGTGCTTAGCCAGGCTTCCTCAAACTCTGCCCTCCAGATGTTTTGAGACTACCATTCCCATCATCCCTGACCACTGGTCCTGCTAGATAGGGATCATGGGACTTGTAGGCCAAAAACATAGGGAGGGCCAAGGTTGAGGAAGCCTGTGCTTAGCTAAGGGATGGGGACAAGTCAGTACAGCACCTGATCCAATGAAGAGGTATGGGTTGCTGGTACTTAAATACATATTTGGTGTTTATTAGAATCTGGGTGACTCTGCTATTTGGGGTGAGGTAAGGTGGGTAGTGACAGGGCAGGGGGCCTTTTTCAGACGTGGCAACCCATTTACAGAATTCTGTAGCCAAACAGGTTTGCCTTACACACACTTTGTTGTCTTTTGAGAACCAGGCAAACCCAAGAAGTTTCCTTTCCACTGGATTTTTTTTTTGCGCAAGAAAGGAACAACAGGGCTCCCTTCCGAGCAGTGGGAGCAACTCCCTCTGTTTCTTTCATCTCCCATATCCCACGGAAATGAGAAAAGCCCCCGTCTCCCCGATGCCAAATAATGCAGGGAAGGAAAATTATGACAAACACAAATGACAGCTGGCTCATAAGCCAAGTCAACATTTGTGGAGCCCTGCCCAAGGTCATGTACAGTGGTACCTCGGGTTACATACGCTTCAGGTTACAGACTCCGCTAACCCAGAAATAGTGCTTCAGGTTAAGAACTTTGCTTCAGGATAAGAACAGAAATTGGGCTCCGGCGGCGCGGCGGCAGGCCCCATTAGCTAAAGTGGTGCTTCAGGTTAAAAACAGTTTCAGGTTAAGTACAGACCTCTGGAACAAATTAAGTACTTAACCTGAGGTACCACTGTATTTTATATTTTACTATTTGACCGTTTTTATAATTTAAAAAGAACTCTGCAAGCGGCCTTCTATGAAGCTGCAAAAGGCAAATATATTATACAAATAAACACATACATAAAATATGCCAATGTTATTATTGTATTATTACATATCGAGGGAGGTGGGGAGGCCAAGACTGAGACAGATTCCGACTTTCCTAGCAAGTGTAGCCCATGCCCTCAAAAAAAGTTTCATCTTCCCCTTGATTATTTTTTTTAAGGTATTTCCCCACCTGTCTTGATTTAGGAATGCAAAAGTTTTAAAGTAAAAGTTCGGAGCACGCTTACCGGTAATACTGTGCAGCTCCAAGGGGAAGCAGTCGCAGGATCACTAACGCAGCTCCTCTGGCCAAGTATCTCGGATGCAGTTAAGCTACTTTTGGTCCTTCTAGAGTCTAATTCCAGAGCATTCCAAGAGTTTATACCAGCGCTGGCCCTTCTGGAATTCTGCTCAATTGCATATATGCGCGCACTAGTCCCTTCTGGTTTGTGGGGGTCCGTAGATGACCTATATGGATTTCGAGGGGTTGCATTTTCAACCGCCTTCGTCGCAGAGTCCTCCAAAGATTGCAAGCCCCGCCGCGTTCGCCACGCGCTTCTCACCGTGACGTGTCTGGTGTCAGGTGAGTTGGCCTCTGAAGCACCGTGGCTCTTCCAGTTGATTGTCTCCACAGGCGGTTCGCTGTTCTTCTCGCCAAATTCGGAAGGTTTTATCGTGATGCTGCTTTTCGAGACGACCGTTTCCACCCTGCTCCTAGGAGCAGGGTCCCCGTTCTTCTCAGCCTCGGCTAACTTCAGGGTTATATTGCTCTTGTTAATCGGCATCTCGTAAGGTGTGCTGGTCGCGTTTGTCCCCAGCGAAAGCTCGTTCGGAAGCACTCGGATGTTGCTGGCGGATATGTGCTGCTGTTCTTTTGTGGCATCGCTCGCGCTGGTCCTTTGAGTCACAGGCTCAGATGGGTAAATGGTGATGCTGCTGGTCATTTTGTGTGACACCGTCTTAAAGACAGGCTGCTGCTTTTCAGAGCTGGCTTCTGGCCCTGTGCCACCCATGATTTCCTTCACGTCCTTTTCCACAATCGCAGGCTTGATGACAGCTTTAGACCTCAGTGCTTCTCTGGGACTGAACTGCCTTCTCGATTTCGTCCCTGTAAGGGCAGCGGCTGAAGAAGCCCTAGAGGACCTGCTGAGCTCTTCCTCGCTGCTAGCACTCTTATCGTTTTCAAAAGGAGACGTTCGAATACCCCTCTTGGAGCTTGCGAACTCTCTAGATGCAGGTTCCCTTTTCAGCCCTACGTCAGCAGCAGCAGAAGCGGTTGCCATTTTACTCGTCTCTTCATTCGTGCTGAATTTTTCATGGCTGTTGGTGTTGATAGCTCTGGCCCTTGCAGAAGTGGGTTTTAGGCCCCCGTTGTTAGAGTTTGTGGCTGAGGCGGCGGTCTGATCCATTTCTTCCTTCTGAGGATCTGAGGGACTCTGCAAGAGATCTTCCTGACTTCTTGAAATGAGCCAGGACTTTGCTAAAGGCGGGGGCTTTACCATTTCGTGCGGAGGTTCTCTTTCCTGGGAGTTTACTGCCTTCGGACAGCTCTCTTCCAAGTGCTGCCTGCGAGATGAGACCAAAGCGGTTTCCATCTTTGAGGTGGTAGGTTCAGCAGCTAACGTCTCCGTAGAGAGATAATTCCTATAGGACAAAGCAGTTCCATTGGAGGCCCCCCGGTTAGTTTTTGAGATGCGAGTCTCTGTCGAAAGAGCAGGTTGTTCTGCAACCTGCGTCTTAATTCCCTTTTCAGAAGGCGATATGGAGGTTTCCGTTTTGCTGAGCTTCTCTTCAAGTTCGTCAGACTTACAGTGATGAGCGTCGTTTGGTGATTGGGAGGTTTTTTCGACTTTGCTCCTCAACGCACTCTCGTTCTTGGGTTTCGAAGAGGCTTTCCAAGACTTGTGCTCCTGTGCTGCAGGTGGGTAACGACTAAGCACAGATGGCTGCTCTCTAGATTTCTTTACCTCAGCCAGTGGGTTTCCACTGTCTTTCTGCGAGGAAAAGTGCGTGCCCAGCGTGGATTTGTCTTCTGTCCGTTTAGCATCGGTTGCTAAGGTGTCCAATAACGCTGATGTGCTCGATGCTTTGGCTGCTCTCCTGCTATTCAGGTTAGGGCTTGTGACCCTCTTGCTGCCTTGGCTCTCGCTATTAAACGAGAATTCTCGGTTGCGTATTCTCTCCCGCCTGTGCTGAGGAGAAAGCTCCCGAGACTTATGCTTAGAAATGGCTGACTCCGCTGTGACAGCTCTGTGTTTGGGTCTGTCGTGCTTCAGTCGGCTAGGTAAGTTAATTTCCTCTGTTTCTGCCTCACCATTCTCCAGCTCTTTCTGCTTCTTCATCTGCGTTTTTATTTCTTCAAGTTGGCCTATGAGGAGCTTGTTTTTGTTTTGCTCGCTCAAGTAGCTGTCATGCAGGTCATTATTCTTTGCTCTCAGGGTTTTGAGCTCCTCTTCTAAAGACTCAAAGTGTTTGATTTGAGTCTTTAGCTTCTCAATTTCTTGGTTGAGGTCCTTCACTTTGTTGTCTTCTTGATTTTTATTCTTCTGATTTTCTGATTTGTTCCGAGTTTCGTTTTCCACAAGCTTTAGGTATTCCAAACTCCCTTTCCTCCTCGTTTCCTTCGAGGACAGCGCCGAAGTTGTCAAGTCAACTTCAATCCTCAGGTCATTTCTGTCCAGAATACTATTGGATGATCTTTCTAGCAGGTTAGATGTGTTTCGCGTTTGATCTGCCCGGTTCAGTTTATTATTTTGCTCAAGCTTTTGTGTCAGTTCTTGTATTATTTTCTCATTCTGCTTCTCCTTCTCAGTGAAGTGTTTCTTTTCGTTAACGAACGTGAGAGCTAGCGACTTAAGCTTTTCCAGTTCACTCACTAAGCTCTGCTCAGTTTTATCCAGCCTGTCTTCAGATTGCTCAAGTTCTTTTACTTTTGCCCTAAGAACTTCCAGTTCCGTCGAGATTTTCTTCGTCAAGTTTTTCTCCTCGTTGAGGCTGAGGCAGAGCTGAGTACAGTCATTCTTGCTTCTGCCAAAAGCTTCCTCCAGCTTCTCCAGCTCTGCCATTCGCTTCTGAAGCCGCTCGATTTCGGATTTCAGCTCCCGAGTGAGACTTTCCTCCTCCTCCAGTTTCTCCTTCATCAGCTGGCAAAGCTCTTCAGCTTTCCTGATCTCCTCATCCTTCCCTTCAATTTTCAAGACTCTTTTGCGCAAAACTTCCACATCGGCCAGCATGCTCGAGTTGCTGCCTTCTGCCTGGATAACTTTGTCCTGCAAGTCCAGCAACTCATCCTCAGCTTTCTGGAGGTTTTTCGTCGCTTCCTCTAATTCATCAAGACGGCGGCCGAGACTCTGGAGCTTGAAACGTAAGTGACGATTCGACGTCTCTTTATAAGCTGAATAGTCCGCCATGTTTGTTCTACCCCTCTGCTTTCAGTTTTTTTCCCCAGAAGGGAGCGAGGAAATGGATTTTTATAACTCTTTATTCTTCTACTTGTTTCATTAAGTTCCTTGGGAAGATGACCAGCACCTGGAAAGAGAAAGCACGTGGTAAGTATAATGGAAAGGATATTTCTAACTGCTTTTCTTTTCAAGAGCTGTGATTCAAATTGATCTGACTGGTAGAGGAAGGGCGATTGCACAGTGGCAGAACACATGCTTTGCATGCAGAAGGTCCCAGGTCCAGTCCCTGCCATTTCAAGGTAGGACTGGGAAAGACTAATGTACACCCCCCTCCCTGAAAACTGCTGCCAGTCAGTGTGTAGACAATGCCAAGCTAAATAACACTTGTCTGTCACACATGCAGAACAGGTCCTGACGAGCCTGGATAGCTCAGTTGGTTGGTCGCAGGTTTGACCCCTGTAAGCTGCATATTCCTGCATTGCAGGGGGTTAGACAAGATCCTCAGGGTTCCTTCTAAACCTGCAATTCTATGATTCAAGGATTGTTATATTGCCACCAAGGATGCTGGACACGGGCGATGCAGAAGCAGCCAGCCCTTATGTGTTTATCCTCACAAGAGAAGACTGTCATGAGGTGCATTAAAGGCCATTGCAGCGCCTTTCTGCGAAGCCTGTTTAGAAATGACTCACATCCCGCAGGCAGAAGGTCATTTAGCAGCAACTCGGCCACCTGCGGCCTCTGCGAAAGCAGGCCACGCTCTTTTCCTGAAGTTGCCACTTTGAGCAGAAGGCATAGGCAGTGTTCCATGTCCAGAATTTCAAGATAATGCAGCCCCTCGCCTCCCCAACTCAGCCTTGAAGGGGGGGGCTGCGTATTTGCAAAGGTATGCAACCTTCTCAGCTCTGATCATAAGGAGTCCCATTATGCCAAGGGGAAGGAGGAAAACAACAGAGAAAGCCCCCACAAAAGTGACAAAGGGGGAGGGAAGAGAAGGGAATGCCCAATTTTATGATGACACAACATATACGAGCAAGCCAAAAATATACTCCTGTATCCTCCTTTTATTTGGCAGCGACCTTCCTTTCCAACGGTATCCTGATGCCATCTGTTTGCAAGGGCAGAAGTCTCTGTCCCAATTCCCACCTCAGGTGTGAGTCACAAGGTTATAATGCAGTTCTCCAGTTTTGCAAAGGGGAGCTGCTGTTCTTCTCCCCAAAGGGTCGGGAATTTCCTCTTCCCTGCCCATCACTCAGTACCTGGGGGCTGAGGAAGGTGCAGAAAGGGGGCCAGGAGGAAATGAGAAAGGGGTTGGAGCAATTTGCCTATCAGGAAAGGTTGCTTTTGTAGTTTTAGGAACATGGGGAATGTGCTCGAGGTGCATATTGTTTTACGTGGCGTGGAGAAAATGGAACACAGGCCTCTCACATAATCCTAGATTCCAGGAAAACCCAAGTTGCATGTTGGGTGGCTAGCACACAGCTCATAGCTAAACTATGGGATTTGGTGCCGCAAGGTGCGAAGGCCCACCAGCACAGATGGCTTTAAAAGGGAAAACACAGACGAATTCATGGAGCATAAGTCTACCAATGGCTACCAATCATGACTACCACCTCATGTCTGACCTGAGCCCATGGAGAACCACTGCCAGTCACTATAGAAATAATAGTGGTCTTTAATAGTCCAACTTGGCAGAAGACAACTCCCTATGTCCGTATGTCAGAAGGTGTGCAGCAGTGTTCTGTGACAGGTGAAACTTCCAAGTCATCTTCATGGGTAGCCCCATGTGAAACCAACTGCCTTAATCAAGGCTCAAAGTTTCAGAAGCATGGATTGGCATGTAGCAAGGTCTCGCCTTGCCATAAAATGGCATCCTAATTAGCCCAAGATAAGGGGGGGGGGACACCTCCTGGCAACAGCACTAGGATCCAGTATTACTGGATCCAGTATTACTGGATCCTAGGCTCTTAACGTGAAAACCGAGGATCACAAAAACCCTATTGGTCACCAGTAGGCTGATCCCCTCCAGACTAAGGCTATTTTTCAACCATCCCCACCTCCAGCTTGTCTAGGTTCAATTTTAACTTATTCGCATGACATTCAGACCCTGTTTCAGGACAAAGATAAAGCTTGTTCACACATTACACGGAACCCAGGTACAAGCTGTCTCTGTACATGTTCAAGTCGTTGTGTGAAAGAGTGCAGCTTGTTCATTTGTGCATTTCAACTATTTGTGTACGGTGGTACATCATGTTATGTACCACCCCCCTTACGAATGCTTTGGGTTACGCCCTCCACTAACCCGGAAGTAGATGCCCCTTGTTGCGAACTTTGCCCCGGGATGTGAGCGGAAGTCGCGCTCGGGCAGTGCGGCAGGCATTATTAGTGAAAGCACACCTCATGTTACGAGCGTTTTCTGGTTACGAACGGACCTCCGGACCTAATTAAGTTCATAACCAGAGGTACCAATGTGCACAGATTGTGCATTCACTATCAGCTGCAAACAACCCTGTAACTTGATCCTGAACTTTCTGTTATTTTTTAATTATTTCATTTATGGGTTACTTTACACATGAACAGTCCCAAAGCAGCTCAAAATATATTTAGAGTCAGGTCTCATCAGCGTAGCAATATATATTGATCACCCTCCTATCAATTTACATTGACAGATGAAATCAATTGGATCGTTCGGTTGAACTGCGAAAGCAAATCATTTGGAAGGCATTCCCCTAAACACTTGTCAAATGTAGCAGGCAACGCAACAGAAGATCACAGTCTACGGTACCAAAAGCTACAGGCAGATCCAGCAAGACCAGAAACGAGGAATTTCCCTTAACAAGTTCATAGAATCATGAAACTGTAGAGTTGGAAGGGACCCCAAGGATCATCTAGTCCAACCCCCTGCAATGCAGGGATCTCAGCTAAAGCATCCATGACAGATGGCCACCCAACCTCTGCTTAAAAACCTCCAAGGAAGGAGAGTCCACCACCTCTCATGAGAGTCTGTTCCACTACCGAACAGCTCTTACTGTCAGAAAGTTTTTTCTGAATCTCCTTTCTTGGAACTTGAAGCCATTGGTTCAATACGAAGCTCAATACAAAGATCACACATCAGGTCAACTAACGTCTTCTCCATCTCACAGGTAGTGCAGAAACCAGACGGGAAAGGATGACTTTCGAATGTGACCTAGAAGGACCCAGCACTTAACAGACCCCATGGGAAATGTAACTGCAAGGACCTTTACTCCTAATGTGCTTCTTGACTGAAGGCTCCTTTGCACAGCTATCCCAGAGGGATCTACCAGGACTAGTCCTCTGCAGCAAATCCTCATTCATCCCTACATAATAAAAGGGGCCACGCTAGCCTTGTGGTCTGATTAGCCCTGCTGCGATAGCCTTGCGACATTTTGCCTTCAGTTGCCAAAGAGCTAAGTGATGCTATCCAAATGAGCAATCTTGTGGTGCAAATGGCTATTTGATGTTATTCACAGGGTTCCTTGTCTGCAAACCTTATGACTACTGAAAGTCACTGAGAGCAATTATGGTGTTTATCTTAAGAAACATGGGTAATGATGGCTGGCACCTGTGATTTTAGTAGGAGCCTGTCACAAGTCCATTGCTGTCTGGGCTGTTGTTTCCTTAGGACCTTTGATCTCTTCAAGTGCTAGACAGGGAAAATTCACAGACAATGAAGGGAAGAACAGAGGGAGAGGGGGCAGGTGATGGACTTGTGACATGCCCCCACAGACATCACCGCCTCCTGGCTGTCAGTTCTTTTACAGGAGGAATTCAAGTGCACGCTGGTACTTTAGGTTTGTGCACTTAAAGTGGATTGAAGCACGACAAACCCACTTTTTAAAAATAAAAATAAAAAGTGTGGTTTGGAAAGTGACAGGGAAATGCACTGAACTAATGATTAACAAGATGGTGTATAAACACCCCACAAGCAAATCAGGATGAATGAAAGATTGTAGAGTTGGAATAGAGACTCCAAGGGTCATCTAGTCCAACCCCCTGCAAAGCAGGAATCTCAGCATGAGGTCCTGCATCCAATTTGAAACCATCTAGGACCCTGCTTAAATTTGCAAATGCGCTAGCAGTTTTTGAATGCTTATTGTTATGTAAGTGCCCTGTAAACAAATCAGAACAAATGCTCAGTAAAGACCAGACATAATCTAACCACCATGTAAGCCTTGGGCAAGCAAATTAGGATGAATACTAAATAAACAGGTCATCTTGAGAAGCCCTCTAAAAATAACCACCATCTGCACACCAACTCCACATTAGTTGAAGGCAGCGACTGATGTTTACACTCTATGAAGCATGAATGCTATTCAACGTTAAGAATTATTTCCAACTAAGTTTTACTCAAAGTAGTTCCACTGAAATTAATATGCCTAACTTAGTCGTTGTTCATTAATTTCAGTAGGTCTATGCAGACAAGGACTACCATTAAATACAGCCGGTCCAGTATATCTGAAGGAGCACCTCCACCCCCATCGTTCTACCTGGACACTGAGATCCAGCACCAAGGGCCTTCTGGCGGTTCCCTCACTGTGAGAAGCCAAGTTACAGGGAACCAGGCAGAGGGCCTTCTCGGTAGTGGCACCCGCCCTATGGAATGACCTCCCATTAGATGTCAAAGAGAACAACAACTACCAGACTTTTAGAAGACATCTGAAGGCAGCCCTGTTTAGGGAAGCTTTTAATGTTTGATGTATTACGGTATTTTGATATTTTGTTGGAAGCCGCCCAGAGTGGCTGGGGAAGCCCAGCCAGATGGGCGGGGTATGTATGTATGTATGTATGTATAAATAAATTATTATTATTATTATTATCCCTCTCAATAGGAGGAGCATTCCCAGGATCATCAACACTGGGCTGCTCCACTCACTATAAGTCACAGTTCTCTGGCGGGAAAGGACAGAGTCTGGAAAGGCCCCCTGCACTAGGAAATCAGTGGTGGCGAAAGAACCATCTTCCATTAGCCACACACCCAATTTCACTTGGAATATCCAGGGAATAAGCATGTACAGTGGTACCTCGGGTTACATATGCTTCAGGTTACATACGCTTCAGGTTACAGTCTCCGCTAACCCAGAAATAGTACCTCGGGTTAAGAACTTTGCTTCAGGATGAGAAAAGAAATCGAGCGGCGGTGGCGTGGCGGCAGCAGGAGGCCCCATTAGCTAAAGTGGTGCTTCAGGTTAAGAACAGTTTCAGGTTAAGAACGGAACTCCGGAACGAATTAAGTTCTTAACCCGAGGTACCACTGTATATAGGCTTTGCAGCCACCTTTCTTGTTTGTAATTCCTTTCACCCAAACAGCATTCTACCAATACTGATTTGCACATTCTGCACGATTGTGCAATGTGCATCCCTGCAAATTTCGGTTTGATTACTCTTCTGGCTCCTTTTGATTTGATCAGGCACACTTTTCAAAGTTACCTATTCACCCTTAAAGGACAGAAAATAGACAATAATGCTGAATTCTTGCTGAATTCATGGTGTGGTCCCAGAACTGTGGAATACACACAGAGCCCCAATTCTATAGAAAATTGTAGTGTTAAAGACGGTAGAACAGAGGGAGGGAAATGGGTCTGGGCTGCTCCCCTGTCAATCACCTGGCAACATAATAATGCCAGGTGAGTGTGGAGCTTGAAATCAAACTGTGTTGGCAGAACAGTGGGCAAAACACCAACCATCAACTAGCTGCCAGTGTGTGCAAAGCCCTTTGCACAGCAGGTCTTCTCAAATGTCGAAGATCAGCTCATTGTCAGTGCGTGAGAAGCCTTACATTGCTTCCCTGGTTCTGACTGTCAGCTTGTGCCTAAGGCAGTGTTGGCCAAACTTGGCCCTCCAGCTGTTTTTGGACTACAACTCCCATCATCCCTAGCTAACAGGACCAGTGGTCAGGCATGATGGGAATTGTAGTCCCAAAACACTGGAGGGCCACGTTTGGCCAACACTGGCCTAAGGAGTCTTGCATGCACCGCCAATCAAGGGACACGGGTGGCGCTGCGGGTTAAACCACAGAGCCTAGGGCTTGCCAATCAGAAGGTCAGCGGTTCAAATCCCCGCAACAGGTTGAGCTCCCGTTGCTTGGTCCCTGCTCCTGCCAACCTAGCAGTTCAAAAGCAAGTGCAAAGTGCAAGTAGATAAATAGGTACTGCTCCAGCGGGAAGGTAAACGGCGTTTCCACGCAATGCTCTGGTTCGCCAGAAGCGGCTTAGTCATGCTGGCCACATGACCTGGAAGCTGCACGCCGGCTCCCTCAGCCAATAAAGCGAGATGAGCGCCGCAACCCCAGAGTCGGTCACGACTGGACCTAATGGTCAGGGGTCCCTTTACCTTTCTCTCTTATCCTGATAACACCAGGAAAATTTAGCCACTTAGGTGCAGCTCCTGAAAACATAGGCTTAATTGCAGCCGTTTACAGATGCTCCACGAAATGCTAAGTTTTTCTGCTGATCTGATGCCCTTCTAAGGGGTGAGGGAGGAATAATCACACACACAAGTTTTTTTCAGCTATATGCACATAGCTGCAGCCAACATGACTTGCTGCAGGAAGAATTTTGGTTAGGCATGTCAAGGTAAGCCGGACGTTTAAAAAGAGAAGGTACTTTCCCATCAATGGAAATAGCCAAGAGATATGCATCCAATCAAACGAAATTGACTGGGATGTTTCACAATGTCATCTCCTCTTAGCACATTCCTCCCATTGCTAAATATATTTCTTGTAAACACACACACACACACACACACACACACACACGAGGACTAGGAACTTGTTTACAAAACCAGCTTCCCTGTGATAACCTCTTCAATCTTCATTAGAAGGCAAAAGAGTTCAAAGGCCTTTAAGGGCTATTTAGTCCAACCTGTGTCGCAAGCATAGCTATTGTCTTGTCTCACGCCCCATAAAATCGCCCATGCAGTGCAGGCTACAGTTACCTCGGGTTACATATGCTTCAGGTTACATACGCTTCAGGTTACAGACTCTGCTAACCCAGAAATAGTACCTCAGGTTAAGAACTTTGCTTCAGGATGGGAACAGAAATCGTGCTCCGGCGGGGCGGCAGCAGCAGGAGGCCCCATTAGCTAAAGTGGTGCTTCAGGTTAAGAACAGTTTCAGGTTAAGTACAGACCTCAGGAACAAATTAAGTACTTAACCCGAGGTACCACTGTATCTAACACGAGCAGAGAGCAAGCACACCAGGAAAGAGAGGTTACCGGCTCCGTAGACATTAAAACCAAGTGAGCCAAACCAGTTTCCAAAGCAGTGAACTGCCTTGTGCTGACTCATTGGTCCATCTAGCTCAGTACTGTCTACACTAACTGGCAGCAACTCTGCCCAGTTTGAGGCAGCAGCTTTTCCCCTGCTCTCCCTGGGCTTGAACCAGGGACCTTCTAATGCAAGACAGACTCTCTACCACTGAACTACAATATAACCAAGAAGAAGGGGGTTTACCAAGACCAAAACAATCTGAGCAGCCAAAAACTGTGAGCGTGCACAGTGCTCAGAATGGCTGGCAATGGTTGAAGAGGAGTGAGGGAGATAACCCAAGATGACCTCTAAATACAGAGCCAGCTCCTCTTTGTGTGCCAAGTGCAAGCTTTGGGAGCTCGTAGCAGCAGAAGCGACAGAGGAGGTTGCCAATGACTTAAAAAGATGAGCCCAAGCAGCTTTAGAAAGGTGCCAGGGCAAAAAGAGCACCTGCTGGGTCAGATTCAGGGCTCATCTAGCCGAGCCATGCATTTCCAACATGGCAAACCACAAACAGGGCACAGAGACAAAACATTTATGTTTGCTTTAGAGTGGCGCTGTGGGTTAAACCACAGAGCCTAGGACTTGCCGATCAGAAGGACGGCGGTTCGAATCCCCGCGACGGGGTGAGCTCCTGTTGCTCGGTCCCTGCTCCTGCCCACCTAGCAGTTCAAAAGCTCGTCAAAGTGCAAGTAGATAAATAGGTACTGCTCCAGCGGGAAGGTAAATGGTGTTTCCGTGCGCTGCTTTGGTTCTCCAGAAGCAGCTTAGTCATGCTGGCCACATGACTCGGAAGCTGTATGCTGGCTCCCTCGGCCAATAAAGCGAGATGAGCGCTGCGACCCCAGAGTCGGCCACGACTGGACCTAATGGTCAGAGGTCCCTTTACCTTTAATCTTTTTCAAAAACTCTCCCATGCTGTCCTCCCTGCCCCCTAGTATTCAGATGTTGACAGCAATTCAACATGGAAGTTCCATTAAGCGATCTAACAGCTGTTGACAGACCAATTCTACTCCACGAATTGGACTAATCCATGAGTAGGCAAACTAGGGCCCGGGGGCCGGATCCAGCCCAATCACCTTCTAAATCCGGCCCGCAGACAGTCCAGGTATCAGCGTGTTTTTACATGAGTAGAATGTGTCCTTTTATTTAAAATGCATCTCTGGGTTATTTGTGGGGCATAGGAATTCGTTCACTTTTTCCCCCAAAAATATAGTCCGGCCCCCCACAAGGGCTGAGGGACAGTGGACCGGCCCCCTGCTGAAAAAGTTTGCTGACCCCTGGTCACTAATCCCTTAGTAAAGCCATCAAATGAATCAGGGTCCATCTTCACATCTCGGGGCACTTCAGCAAGCAATAAATTATTCCGTCACCGGTCCAGCCTGGAACCTGAGACAGCCCTGACTTAGCCTAGAAGTCTGGCCTTGAAGGATGTTGTTCTGTACTTCTTGTGTTTGCACAATGACTAGGTTGAAGCAGCGTTCCCCCTTCATGGCAGAGCTTTATGGCAGAGCTGGGATTTGAGATGAGGTCTCCCCACTAGTAGTCCACCCCTGAAACAGGTGGTAGTGAGGAACCTGCCTCAGCTCAAGGGCCACATTTCCTTCTGGGAAACTTTCCGGGAGCCACATGCCAAAGCTTAAAGTTGAACACAGCAGCAAATGTGCATTTTACTCTTGCATTGTAGGCCCGTTTCTACACACATTCCTGCATCCCTCTCTATCCACCATTAAGGCAAGCAAGAGGTACGATCAGAGTTCAAGGACATATTCCAGCCAGGCAAAAACACTCAAAGAAGGTGTGAAGCAGGGCTTGTGAGGAAGCTGGCCTGAGGAGAAGGGGTGTGGTCTGAGGAAGGTCCTGGGGGCCAGATAGAGAAGCTTGGGGGCCACATTTGGCCCCTAGGCCTGAGGTTCCCTACTTCTGGTCTAATTCAACTTCAGTTTTTGCTCTGTGTGATCCCAACTGCACAGAAGAAACACTTACAGCAGGATCCTAGGCTTGCTGACTGAAAAGGAGGTTATACTGCATCTGTTGGGGCTCACTCCCAAATAAGCATGCATAGGATTGCAGCCTTTTGACAAAAACATGGGCTGTTAGCAAGAAGCCGTGTCAGGGTTTTTTGTCTTCAGAGAAAGCAGGACATTCGACAAATAGCGTTTGTCTCTGTGATAGATCCTATGTAGTTAATGCACCAGCTTTGAAAGACGAGGAAGGAAGACGCTGGCCATTTGAGGTTTCTCAAACCTGAACTTTGATTTGTTCACATATTATCATCACTTTGGACTGAGCTCCATTGGCAACCTTCGTTCACTGGCTGCAGCCTAAAGGCCTATTGTCACCTTACATTTCCCCTAAACCCAAAATATACTTTCAGAAAAGGGAAATGCCCCGGTTTGTAACTGTAGTGATCTCACAATATTAAGCATGAGTCTTTCCTGTCCTCCAGGCCCAATTTGCATGCTCAGCCCCTCTGCAGGCTGTTTGAGAGGGCCCTTTGGCCCCTTATCTTTCTCCCCTCTAAAGTTTGTTGTGCTTCCGCAAAGCTTGGAGTTCCCCCAACAGCATACTAATGCCTACTTTCTTCTGTAAGATAGTGCTGTTTTGGCTACATAAGGATCCAGACTTGGCGGGAAAAGTCACTATTAACACATTGCTGGGATGGGGAAGCTGTGGCCTTCCCATCAGCCCTAACCGGAGTGACCAATGGCAAGAAATTATGGGAGCTGTAAAACAACACCGGGATTGCAGGCGACTCAGGTTTTCTGCCCCTGGTATATGGGGGGACCACTAGAATTTCTCAGATACTACTGCTTACAGTGCCTATTCTTATTATTTATTGCAAGAATGTCTAATCCACCTTTCTGCAATGAAATGCATCCAACGCGGTTCACAACAACAACCACTAAGTCAATTCAAAGATTTTTAAAGCCAGCACATGCATTTTACTAATTCGGCCTCTTTTATGTCTACTTCAACTGCTGCTATTTATATGTGACTGCTTGCAATTTTTGTTCTTTTAATATCTGCACCAGCTGCTTCAATTGTGTTTTGCTGCAGAAAGAGTGGGTAGAAATCCTGGCCCCAGATGAACTTCTCAAAACAAGCCGATCCAAGGTCTGAGTGCCGTAACTGCAAATGCCAGCTCTCTTGTTTGCTGTACTGCAAAAGCCACTCTTTGGCTGTACATTGAATCAAGGCCACAGCTCCCATCACCTGCATCAAAGCACCCTATATATTCATCATCAATATATATCCTACCCTTCCTACCGAATGAGCCAAGGGAGGCAAACAGATCCACAATTTTTGGGGGGTGGGGGGGAAACACATTCTAAAGCAGTTATAATATCGAAATGCAGTTTATGTGTTTGACGTTGATCAAGAGCCTGCTGTAAGTCTTGGAATTCTTTTAGGACAGGGATGGGGAACCTGTGGTCCTCAGGACGTGGTTGGACTTTAACTCCCATCACTCTGTGATCCTTGGCTGGGGCTGACGAGAGCTGGAATCCAGCAACATCTGGAGAGCCACTGGTTCCCCATTCCTGTCTTAGGGGCTTCTCACATGCAGCTGTTGACGAGCAACAAGACTGCCGGCCTCTCTCTTCTCTTCTTAGCCCAACTTGAACCCTTCTCCTTGTTCCATTCAGCAACCGGTTGCCTCTGGGAGTGAAGGACAGGCCAAGGGGACAGGCAAGTCAAGTTATGATTTGCATGTCAGGAAGCCCTGTCGTCGAGTTAATCAGAAATGACAGATACCCCACCCATTTCAGCCAGAAACTGAGTCACAGCCAGGCACCTCGCTAGCTAAATGCCCTCGCGCGATTTCACTGGGACTGCATTTTCGTTAGGCGGAGGACCTAAAATTATGTGCTATGGCAGGGTGAGTAAACTGCTGGATCCTTGACACTTTACTGCTATGCTCCGGAACTTGGTCGCTTGGCTCCCAGCCTCACACACTCTGCTTATTGTTCTTGTACTTCCTTGTGGCATTCGAATTCCTACTGCGAAAACAATGCCAGGCCCTTGCGACACAGCTTTAGAAGATGCAGAATTCCTGTCTACATGTTGCTCAGGGCTAGATGGCTGCAGGGGACACAGACCCACAAGGTTCCACACGGGCAGAAATGCAAATCACGTGTGAAAGCGTTGCCAGTGGAACAACAGGGTCTTTCGTTCGCTTCTGCCTACTTTTGGGTTGCCTGTGTGAACTAACCCAACAGATGCATGGAATTTAGTATCTGGAGCAAACGTCAACAACCTCGAAACACACAGCTCTTAGGTTTTGTTTCTTTAAGACCTGCTGGGATTCAGAACATTCAAAGTGCTCACAACTCAAGACCCCAGCCAGGAACCTGTTATACAAAACAGAAAAGACAAACCTAAGGTATCACAGCTCCATTTTTAGCCTTCCTTGCAGGCAGCAGGCAGTGGCTGAATGTGCTTTATTCACAGGACACATCAGAAGGTTGTAATGGCACCCTCACTAAGTACCCAATATGTAGCTTTTTTTTATCTACCATACTGAAAACACATTTAATTATTCCACTGAAAAGGAAACATTACGTAATTGAATGTTATGTGTTAAAATTATTTTTTAACTGGTAAATGTCCTTAGCACATTACGGTTTTATCAATAACTATAATTAATTGCAAATATTATAAGCCATACTATGAAATACAAAGGGAAAGTGTTGCCCTGGTGAAGACATGTTAACTGCCAACTCATAACAAAGCTATGGATTTCAGTTCTTAATGCATTATAAACTGATACTTTACATTTGTCCACATCCGTATATATTTTTTGCTGTACAGGGTACCTCCGGTTAAGAACTTAATTCGTTCTGGAGGTCCGTTCTTAACCTGAAATTGTTCTTAACCTGAGGTACCACTTTAGCTAATGGGGCCTCCCACTGCCACGATGCAATTTCTGTTCTCATCCTGAAGCAAAGTTCTTAACCCGAAGCACTATTTCTGGGTTAGCGGAGTCTGTAACCTGAAGCGTCTGTAACCTGAAGCATCTGTAACCCAAGGTACCGCTGTACTTCACTTTTTAAAATCCATCTTACCACAAAGTTTTTGTACCTTTGTTTTTGTTCTCTGTATCTAAGATAATGAGTCGATTTAGCCAACGCAACGAATGCCCAAAGTTTCTCCATTCATTATTTTGATAGATGCATGC